GGATTAAATGATCTGACGCTGAGCACGGACAGTCACATAGAAGCCCAAAATAGTTTTTTAAAAAATTCTAAACGTTGATGGTGAAACCATCGTATCCAATTCTCAGGCTACCTGGACAAACATCCCCGGTTTTATGTCGACGACGGCAAGCACAGAAACAAGATTGGCCATTTCTTACAACTGCGCTTGTCGCATACGGCATAAAATCGGAAATATCGTCAGTCAGTCGGAAAATTATGATTTTTAGGTTTTGTATTTTCATGCTAAACAAAATTCCATGTTTCATCTCGAGAAATTTTCAATACAATTTTTGTCGAAATGTGGGCGTTCGTGATTATTGACGTTGTTTATCCATTTGTGCCATTTATGGATGGTAGGAAACGACAGCATCGTATATTTCTTGGGTGAAACATTCCCAGAAAAATCGTTTTTGAACAGCCATAGTCCAATAAAACAACGATTTGTCAATGGACGCATGGGGACACAGCTGTTGGAAATATTGTTCAAGAGCTTTATTTAGTGTTCGCATTCGTAGCTTGTGATGTATAGACGTCTTGGAGGATAGAATTCAAAGCTTTTAACTTCATTAGAGAATATATACAGTACATCTTGATTGTTGTTCATTGTTTCTATATGAGAAAAACAAAGTTAAAGTGAGTTTACAATATGCTTCTTGCCACACTTAGTTACGTTTCTTTACAAAAAATACTTACTTTCAAGATTTTATTTTGTTTCAAAGCAGTTCAAGGGAAGTAGAATTTCTTTCAAAGATATAGAATGTAAATTTTTCAGCATAAATTGTTCTGTTGTGTGTGCAGCTCAGCCACAAGGGATTGGTCAACAAAAGCCACTTCAGTAATCACCGAGAACAACGACCCCTTGCTTTTACTAAATGAGTCAAGCATCGTGGATATAAAGCAACAACATCTGTTTGCTGCTTCAAGCCTTCATTGATGTTATTTGGTGATCAGAATATATTCATTTAGATTCACCATAGAACAATTATTAGAAAAGCATAAAGAAAACTTATTAAAACTAACAACAAAGCACATATCTACCTGAACTTGGTATGAAAATAACTCAAGGAGATATTTGAAAGATTTGGTTTTCAATTCTTCTAACCATTCTTCGTACTTCTACTGCTGTACATAGTCAAAGAACATGTTCTCATTCTGAGTTCATTTTATGTATGGCACCAGTTGCATACACGTGTTGTGTTCTTATTGGTCATTTCTTGGGTGTGTCGCAATTATACATGATATCCAGTCAAAAATGATTTGTAATTGCGTCAATTTTACATTCGGTGTATAAAACAGATCACCTTAATGGCGAAATCACGATGCCTGATCACTATGCTAATTCCCCTAGTGCATTATTGTGCATATTTTGTAGTTAAAATTTACGTTGAATTCCCAGAAGCAGAAAGATTTTTTGCTTTCAATGAAGATATGTGATTTAAGTAGCTCACAACACAGATTTTCTCAGGGGCTGCTGACATTATCCCGGCTAAACGCGATTGAGTGAGGCATGAAATGATTTCGAGGCATTAAGGGGCTGTTCTCATAAGCCCGGTAGCTGGGATTCAGCGAAGCTTTAAATCATTTTGGAAAATGGCAAAGATTAAGTACTTCAAAACAAAAAAACTCATTTGAGAAATTTCTCAATGTACTGACTTTGCAAATTCACAAAACCTTTAAAATAAAACAAATAATTTAGTCTGATTTAAAAATTACGACTAAAATGACTTATGACGCTTAAGAAAAGGTTGTAAGTTTTGCGCTTGAAGTTTTTACTCCTTTTAATGACTCAAAATCATTTCACGCCTTGCTGAATCCCGGTTACCGGGCTCGTGTGAGCATCCCCTAAGAGGAGGAAGAAGTTCCAAGCGTAAAAATTACAACTGTTCATTAAACGCCATAAGTCATTCTTGTTGTAATTGTCGAATTAGGCCAAATTGGTTGTTTTGATTTTGAATGTTTTGCGTAGTGTAAAATTTCGAAATATTGTGAATATTTATTAAATTCAACGTACATACAAACTGCAGTTTAGGAGCAATGAAATAATTTATGTAATGACACTTATTTGGGGACATGCACTAATCACACAATGTATATATAAAACGGCTTCTATTTGAATTCACCTATTTGCTGAACGATATTTGTTTGTGGGGGGTAATCTTGCATATATTGCTGCTGCTTTTTCTAATCCAAAATAATATAGGCTGTCAAGAAAAATTTTCAGCTATGTAATGGCTTAGCCAGAGATGATTGGGGGGGGGCAATTCTCATATATGCATTATAATCTGCAGAAAACAATCGATTTCAAAGGAACTTAATACGGCAGAAGATGAAATAAACTAAACAAAAAATAAATACAAAGGCAGACAAAAATAGACATAGATAGTGGTATTAGTAAGTGCACACAAATATAGCAATTAAATAAATAGAGTCAGAAATACTTTGGTTTAGTTGATTTAATAGACTCCATTTTAACATATTGTAAGTACAAAGGAGACCTTCAAAAAATAGAAAAAACAGCACAAGTGAGACACAAAAAATTTAAATGCAAAAACATGACATATATATTAATTATTATACACCAAATAAGAAAAAAAGATAAGAAATAAAGTAGACATTAAAGATAATACAATGCAAACACAAGCTGGATTGAAATATTATATACCTTTTTAACGAGATACTACAAAAACAAACGAACGAGAACAAATATGCAAGTGTATTCTAATTTATTTTTGCTTCTAAAAGAAAAGTATAAGAAACAAGCGTAAGAAACGTCAGAAACATGGAAATAAACACGAACCATGATCTTCTTCTTAATTGAACTTGATAAAAAACAAGTTTAAAGAACAACAGAAACAAACGAAAACCATATTATCTGATTTTCTTTTTCCTCTAAAAGAAAATGTAAAACTGTAAGTGAATGAAACGAAAAAAACCCACATACACGATGTGCAAAAGTATGTGTATGTTAAAACAAGAACACATGTACATAATTTGAATATTTGAATTGTCATCCAACCTAGCTTAAATCAATAACAACAGTTATAGGAAATTGATTATAAAGACAAATTAAACCTAATCAACCTGCTAAACGTTCATAAGATTCAGTATACATGCTCTGATGCAGCGATACATGCTCGCTTGACATGTATGTAAAATGTACGTGTAAGTAATGTAACATATCTTTCACTAAAATTTTGCTTTGTAACGTTGTGTTTGAGGGATTTCTTTACAGCAAACTCTTTCATTATGGACGACATGTCAATGTTGCGAAGCAGATAATTTTCAATGCTAAGTAGAACAGGCTGTTTACTCGCTTCTGCGTCATACATGATAGGAGCTGATTCTAGATTAGCTTCAGTTTGGAAAAGGACAACTCTCCAGAACAGTTCGAGATCATGAGACTAAGATAGACCCACAGTGAAATTACAATGTTCGGAAATACAGTTTCCAGATTGTTCTCCAGAAGAAGTCTGTACATGCCAATAAATCCACGTTGTGACATGGTTGTCATCTTTCGTTGTGTAATCTTCGCCGTCATATTCATCAGAGGATGTTTCGTTCATCCTCGTTCACCAATGCGCCGAGAAATATTAGAACTGAGTAAAGCGTGGGGTCAGTAGGTGGACGTCCCTTTTGCCTGATATGATTAAATCGGCCATGAGCACATACAATAATGGAAATTTTCGTACCTGTAAATGAACTAATGCTCGAGCATGCGCAATCCACTCCACTAATTGTTCATTGTTATGGCAACGACTAACTAGATGCACTTGCACTACTTTCATGGCAATTAGCTCACTTAGTCGCAAATTATCAAAGAAATCATCTGGGCATGCGCAGTAATGACAATTATACCACAACTTTTGTAAGTCTTTGAATTTGTGTATATATATAATAACTGAAAACTTCATATAGTAGATGTCAACTAGCAGTGGAAGCTGGGTGCGATTAGGTATGCTGTGGCTTAGGGGCCCACACTTCGGTGGCGACCGCACTCTCCCTGCGTACACCGAGCATTGCCCATCGCAGGCGATCTCGGCGTCTGATGGGCGGAAGCTTGCTACGTATTTGCATCCCCAAGTAGAATAGCGTGGAGGGACCGAAATCTCCTACCGAAACGTTAACATGCAGCGTTCTAGTGCCTTACGCTTAAGAAGGTATTGGGATGCATGGACCGAAAATGGGGTTTTTTGCTTTCGAATTTATCTTTCTGTTTACAAGAGTTCTTCGCATAAAAGAAACTAGAACATCCTAGTATAATGCAAAATTTCAAACAACTCCTTTTTTCTTATAATTTAAACTCTAAGCATGTTTATACGTTTTTTAACTTATAACCTTTTACAATGTAGCTTTCTAATAACTTTCTCGTGAAGAACGAGAGCCTCCTTATACAATTTAACTCTCTCATCATGAACGAAAGCATCCATGGGCTTCATGGAAGAAAGGGATTATCTACTTTTTTATAATAGTTCCTACAATGAGAACATTTAATAAGCCAAGCAATTTGTATCGTCTAAATTGAACTTTGCTTTCAACCCTTATGTTATAAAATTTTTATTCATTTTAGATAATAATTTTTTTTGCCTTGCAATATTTTCATGATTCAATCTAGAAGTAACTTCTCTTCTTGAGCAATTTTGCGATTAAACGATATACTTTTCGGATTCAAAAGAATTATTGAGACAGCCGTACAATTTATTACGTACCTAAGCGTATATAAAGCATTTCCAAATCATGTACAAAATTTCTTTCACATGACCAAATTATCGTCGCAGTAGCTGCAATATATATGTAAGTATTGTTGTATTCGAGTGCGTTTACGGTTCTTTGACTAATGATCAGCAGTTTTGTGTCTTCATTTTTTGTGACAATGAGTCAATGGATGCAACACTTTGAACACTCCGCTGTCGATGAAATTTATCTTCGGAAATATTTTCCGGATGCGCCTACCTCTGAAGGATGTTTTTTGCTCAATGCAACATGGCGGACAAGACAGTTAAAATTAAACATTTTGATGAAAAACTTAAAAGTAGAGGCTGGTAAGTCGAGCTTGTTGGTGTAATTGAGTTCCTGCGAAAAGTGTTTGATTTATTTTAAAATCTCACGATGTCTATTTGCTAGGAATCTAAGCCTGGATGCAATAAACGAATTCTTGCAGCAACTCGAACTATCGAAACGAGAGCATTCCGTTGAAAACGTTTGCAAGTTGGCCATCAATGTAAGTATACTTGGTGTCAGACTGGGAGAAAGATTAGAAAAGTGTTTGAATTTCATCAAAAAGCCAGACATGCATTTATTTTGCTATAACTGTGTCGTACAACGTTTGAAAATCCTAGTGCAACCTAAAGGAGATTGGTACTAAAAGACTTTCTGAGTATGTGAAACGTGGACAAGTTCAATCGGTAATGCTTACGCTATTAAGTATTACATGTGTGCGATATTGTTAAAACAAGTTGGCAATGAGACTCGCCATCCTTATTTCATCAATTGATTTGATTATACCTTCATGTGATTTTGCCTTCTTCTCGTCAAAATCATGTTTTACATTGTTGCAAATGTATGATGTCGCACTATGATGATGCCCACTTATGATGAACAGTACTTCCTTGGATATGGGCTGTTAGCCTTTGAAAGTTTAAAAGAAATGGTATTTAAATATCTAGGTGGAAGGACCCTTTGTCTTACAAATACAGAAAATTCGAAATATCTCTGCTCCAAAAGCTAATGAAGAATCATCAATAGCACCACGATTGCTAAAACTACAACTCACTGATGGTCACACAACATGTTTTGCTCTGGAACATTCACATATACAAAAGTTAAGGTACATAAAAGATAAAAGTTTCTCCGGATTTTAAAGATTTTTTATTGAGCTTTCGACTCGTTGCTTCGAGCCTTCATCAGAATGAAAAATATTTATTTACACGTGCTTTTTAGCTTGGAGACGTTTAGAGCGTCTAATTGGATGAGTGGGTGGATTAATGTGATTGGATGGGGTGAAATGCGTTGCCATGGGTTTTGGTGTATTGTGAATATGATTGGTGTTAATAATATTAGAGTGTAGTGTTTTAGTTTTGGTGTTGTTTGTAGTTTTTATGTCCTGTTCCTTTAGTTGTGAGTATATGATGGGTATGTCGATATGTCTGTTTATTGTGTCGTTGTCTTTACTGTACCAAGCTTCTTTAAATTCGCGTGCGTGTTTAGTCTGTGCGCGTCCGAGTACTTTAGTTTCTGTCCAATCAAATGTGTGGTTGTTTCCGTGGGTATGTTCTGCCGGTAGTGAGTTCGGATCTCGTCGTTTTATGGCGTTTTTGTGTTCTGTGAGTCTTGTTTCAATTTTCTTAGATGTTTGTCCTATGTATTGCTTTGAACAGTCTTTACATGGTATCATGTAGATCGCGTCAGTTGTATCATGAATTGTTGTTTTGTCTTTATGTTTGGTGAAACATGATTTGAGTTTTGTGTAGGTTTGTGGGCGACGTTAATAGTAAATGGTCGAAGAAGTCTGGCAGTCATTTCTGATGTTCCGTTTATGTATGGTAATGTGACGATTTTACTGTTTCGTCCGGTTTTTTGTTGCTTTTGTCGGTTTGTGTTTTGTTTTGTATTTTGTATATAGTTTTGTTTATGAAGTTTCTAGGGTAATTGTTTTTAATAAATGTGGAGTATAAGTAGTTGCGTTCTGTTTTTTTGGCTTCTTCCGTATTACAATGAGTGTTTATCCTGTTGAAAAGTGTTCGAATGCAGCTTATTTTGTGTTGTGTTGGATGATTGCTGTTGAAATTGAGTATTTGGTCTGTGTGGGTGGTTTTGCGGTATACTTGTGTGTTTAGTGTACCATCATCTGTTCTGGTTAGTAGGATGTCGAGGAAGGTAAGTTGTTTGTCGTGTTCTTCGTCTTTAGTAAAGGTAATGTTCTTTGTGGTATTGTTTATGGTGTATAGGATTTGTTCAGTTTTGTCTTTCTTGACTATGGCAAAGATGTCGTCGACATATCTTTTCCATAGTCTGATGTTTGTGTTGTTTGTGACTGATTGTGTTTCGAGGTGTTGCATGACAGCTTCTGCGAGGAATGTGGATAGTGGTGATCCCATTGGTGTGCCTGAAATTTGTCTGTAGTATGTGTTTTGGAAGGTGAATTCAGTGGAGAGGCAAAGGTTGAGTAAGTCTAGGATCTCATTTTTGTCTAGTTGTGTTGTAGCTTGCCAAGTTTTGTCGTTTGTGAGTAGTTCGTTTGTAATTTGTTTGGCGATGTCTAGTGGTATGGATGTGAAGAGTGATGTCACGTCGTAGGATATCATGATTTCGTCTGGTCGTAGTTTAATGTGTTCAATGTTAAGGTATGATTACAGGATGGAAAATATTCTCAATATTTCACATCTATCTCTGCTACCATGCATAATCTTCACAGTTTTTCATATTAATGCTTGCCACCACTATCTTTCACTGTGTATCTGATTAGTTTAGCTGGACTTGTGAGATTCAGTAATTTGCATGTTGTGGTTTACCTGTGGTAAAAAATATATATGGCAAACAGGAAATCTTTTTGTATCTCGCAGGAGACATTTAGAAGATATAGAGTAGATTTAGAATATGGGTAAAGTCAACAAGTCAATCAGATTACATAAGTTGTAATATGTATTCTGTAAAGTGAACAATACCATTTCGGAAGTTTCAAGGCAACCACCAATTGCGATGTGTGAAGTACAATGTGCAGACCCATTTATTGGTAACGGTCATCATTTTTAAAAACAATCCACAGAGCAGCTTTATTTGAGAACATTTTGAATTGTGTGCGTTGAAAAAGTAAAAGCTATGATGATATTTTTACGCTTTAGCCTGTCAACTCTACCTGGTACTAAGATACGTTTGAAAGGCGTCATTCCCTTGATATGTGGCTTTATGCTGTTGGAGTCTTGTCACGTCGATATTCTTGGTGGAAGAGTTGAACACCTTGTTTTGAAATGGGAAGCTAATAAGGTAACTGTTTTTTGAGCGTCCTAAAATTGTGAGCTCTTCCTTTGTGACAGTCGAGTCTATGAATTATACGTAGTCCAATTCAAATGTTTTGAGAATTTGATATAATACAAACAAAAGATTTTCATAATTGCCTGGCTCACCTTTTGGCGACGACGTCTTTAGTGATTTCGGAAATTCTCCAGTACACAAATAGTCGCATAGAAAATCTATACGTTTTGGTGACGACATCCCTAGTGGTTTCGGAAATTCTCCTGTTCCTAAATAATACGATAGAAAATCTATACTTGAATGAAAACACCTTATAGCAAGCTTGGAGTTGTTTCAGCTTTGTGTCGATATTTTTTGTAGTCGTGGCCACGATAAAATTTTAACATTAGGAGCGGTCCGTTTACCACAAAGAAACTTTATAACAGTGGATATTTATAAAAATTTATCTCCCTGTCCTTGCTAATGGCCAACGTTTGCTTACTCTCTTTAACCAAAATTTCAGCTGTTTGACTAAATGTAAGAAAGGTCCTTTTACATGTACATTTGTTAAATGCAATACATTCTGCTATTGTGAAAAGCTGTTTCTGCCAGAACAACCTTTTCATTACAAGTAAAGTGCATTTATGAGTGTGTAATTATATTATCTTCGAAGTTATTACATTAACGCTCAACAGATGAATTGCAAAATTTACCCATCTTTTTTAGGCCATGTTTTTTTTTGCATTATTATCATCATTGGAATATATTGATTGTTCGATTATTATCGATGTTTTTTCACATCGAATTAAAAACTAATTCCTTTGCAGAGTGCAAGCCAACAGAGAGTTCAGGGTCTTCCTCGTGACGAAGGCCCCCCATTGTTCACGCGTTTTGATCCTAAGACAAATGGGATGTCAACGAGTAAAATAGTATGGAAAGGTAGGTAGCATGTCATCAATCATAATTGTTAAATGATAATTTATTTAACGTCAAAGGAATAAGAGGTAGTTTTCCAAATTATGCAAGCAAGAAACTTATGTCCAAACAAATTGGTTTATGTTCAAACTGGTGATTTTCGGCCAAATTTTAGTCATGCAAGGCTTTGTTGCTCGAACGGCTTGATTGGTAACACACTTTCTTTATATAGCTCTGTTATGACACTATATGTTGAGTTTGTCGAAAATGGTCATATTCCATGTTTTTTGAAAAGAGCCCTTGGTAGTTTTATTGCAGGTTCTACCTAAACAAAATGCCAATTAACAACTTAAGTCTTCCACTAAATATTTGGCTTGCAAGGCTTCACGAGAAAATTATAAGCAAATGTTTCAATGATGGCAGTCTCGTCCTTGATGAAAATCATAAAAGTGTACTACTAAAGCGCTGGATTTTTTGTAATTTGTCGTATTGTCCAAAAAACTAGAGGACGACTTTTAATTAGAGCTTGGCGTGTATCAGAGCAGGCCTGTTTACTATTGAGTTTCTAGTGAAAGTTACTATTGGAATCTACTGTGTGTAAAGTAATGATTGTATGATATTGTCGTTTAACAGCCAGTGCTCGCGAAAATATTGCCTCCAAAGAAACGGAGGTTGATGAAGATGATGGCAAAACTGAGAACAAGGCTTTTAAGGAAAGTAGAGACCAACGAATTCAGAGTGCTTCAGACCACAATAAAGTATCTAAACCTACCACAAGTGGTAGCACAAACTTGAAGAACAGCAGTGAAGGATCGAGCTGTGCTGTAAGTCACGTGTTTACTGTTTTCTTTGAATATTTGATCATATTTGACATTATATTAAAGTACCCCTATCGGCAAAAATTTTTTTGGCGTCAATAAAACAAGGCGCGCTTGAAATTTTTCAATTCGATGAAATGGTCCTCTTATAACTGGGATTTATTGTTGGCTTTCAATTGACCTTGTCTGTCGTGGCAAGTCTTGGTTGAGTCACATTCTGACGTCATGCAAGGTAAGGGGGGTATGTATTCTGTATTGAGGAGTCCCTTGAATGACGTCACAAGAATAACTCGTTTCAAACTTACCTGACGACGGACAAGGTCCATCAAAAAGGCTGTTTTGCCCACTTTAAACCGCCATGAACATGGAAAAATTTGACCAAACTAAAAATTGTTTCCACAGAAGAAAAAACACCAATGAAAATTTTTGCTGGTAGGGATAATTTAAATGTCAAATTTTTGTCCAATGTTTTTTTCTCGCCTAACGACTAATTTCGCCCTTTTGACGCTTCTAAGCACCCAAGCTCTAGCGGTAGAATTGATCATGATAACATCGAATGGCAAGCCAATGAAGGTCGCCATGGGCAAAAAACATCTGTTGAACCTCAAAGTAAAAGTAGGAACACTCTGTTTCAAAAGAAAGATGGGCAGGTTGGTTTGTGACAACGTTTCACTTTGTTCATATTAATATATCATGGAGCATGCGTGGTTTGTTTATGTAGAAATTAGTTTGTAACTTTAAACAAATCCAGCTTATTTGTCGTATGCAAAAGGTTTTCATAGTGCTATTATTGAGTGCATTACCGCAGCAGTTTTTATCTCTTTACACTTGAAGTTAGAAACAGCCTTGTTGCTTTTTCTTGTGTGGAAATCATGTTTTTTCTTTTTATTTTCGATCAACTATTTTTCGTTAGAAAGTCCAAGAGAATTTCAATTCTAAAAAGAAAGAAGTGCGAAGCAAAGGTTCTATTCAAGATAAGAATTATTGTAGTTACAGCTGTTTTGATTTTATTTTCATCTTGTTTCGTATCCATGAACAGAGAGACACCATGAAAAATTCAGTGATGAACAGCACATATCAAGACCTTCGGAAGGAACTCTTTGGGATTTCTTAGAAACCAAGCTTCCCCCAAAAAGTGCGTGCAATGTTGATAATTTTCTTTTACAATGTCTCAAAACTTAAGGAAAAGTCACATTCCTTCTTTAAAGAATTTGTGGATGCGTTTGTGGACAGCAGCTACTATTTTACAGTTTACTTAAGGATTCAAACAAACGTGAAATTGTCTCTTGTTTTTCATTGGCATTTCGTCTTTTAGTTGCATCAAGATATTAATTCTGCAATGTGTTACATAGAAATATGTTGCATTTTACCCTTGTCATTTAAGACTCTCAATATGACGTCGGATGTGATAAAAACGTAAAAAGTGGCCACGAGCTGCCGTGACGAGTATTTCTTTTTTTTACGTAGTTTGTTTTTTTTTATGTTAAATTCTATTGCTGCTCGGTTTTTGAAAGATTCTGTTCTTTCATCTGTTCGTTCGTACACTTTTCAAACACATGTAAGATGGCTCTTGGCCCTCTTAATTTTCTGAACGGGTTTTATCGTAAATTTTTGATATAGATTGTGTATCGGAAACTGCTGACGGGAAGACAGAAAATAGCGGCACCTATAAGTCTGAAAGCAGAAAAAATGAAACTCAACGTAATGTTGATTGTAACAAACATAACAATCTTGCAGCGTTGGGAAATCGCCAAGAGCAAGCCGTTATAGTCGGTGATAGTACTGAAAAGCGAAACAAATCTCGCCAAAATGATAATTACAGAAGCAAGGAGAAAAATCCCAGGCGATCAAATATTGAACATAATTTTAATGAAAGTGATAATCGCTCAAAAGCTCGCTCCTGTAAAGTAAATGACAGGAATCGAAATTCGTCAATAACTGATGGACTGAGCTCAAGAAATCACTGTAAGTACATATTTCTTCATTTTATTGTGCTTTATTAAACCTCGTACTGACCATAAATTCTGATCATATAGGTAAATACCGACCCAGCGAACGCGAACCCGCTGTCACGAATGCCAAAGGTAACGGGGGCTCACATAAAGAGCAACATAAAGAAAGCAAATGTGACTTGAAAGCGAATTATGAAAAGAAAAAGTATCCACAATTATTAAATCCCGATGGCAAACGAGAAATAAATTCTAAGAACAGATGTCATGATATGGATATCAAAGATATGAATATGAATAAAAATTTGGAATATTCGAAAAATATAAGTTCGCGGAAGTATGATCAATTTGCTACAAAAAATCAATCTAAGAATTCGAATGGTAAACAACGTTCTTTTGATTCCGAAGCTGAAGAGACGGGAAGGGTTGAAATCTGCAAATCAAAAAGTGAAGATCGTTCACAGAAGGAAACTGGAGAAAGATTGGTGGAGATCAGTCAAAGAAGACAAAACAGCATGTCTGTAAACAAAGCAGTAGTGGGCAACCTCGTTATGACAGTAAAATTACTGTTTCAAATAACAAGGTAATGTTGCCTTATTGTAATATGCCCATATTTCTTTTCAAATGAAAAATACGTTTTACATACATTGGTATATATTCTTTGATGAATTTCAAATTGCTTCTGGCGTGCTTTATTTTTTCTGCTGCATCGAAAGTGATTACGTCTGTGTATTTTTAGCATTGGTGGACAGAAGGCGAAGATTGTATGGCAATTTATGCCGAACACGGCCAGGTATATGTAACTTTTCACCCAAGTTTGTTGTTACCGCTGCCTGCGATATTGCATGCTCGGATTTGTAAAGTAAACAATTATTTTAAAGAATCATGTAATGGATATGGGAAGGTGATTTCGTTTTTCAAGTCCGACAATTGTATTATGATATTTCGGAAATGAGAATGAAATTTTTGAAAGACATTGCCTTTTTTGCAAACTTTTGCCTTTGCCTTTGATGACCTCTGTTTCTGATCATCATGTTAACCTGAAGAGTTTCTTACATAGTACTACCTTGCGAGGGTGATTAAAGTGGAACCTCGTCGAAAAAGTTGTGTCATAGTTTTCGTTGACACTGGCGTCCAGGATAGTCTTAGTTGGTCAAATCTTTTGCCATTGGTAAGTTGAGCTTTGTGTAGTTTTCAACGAACGCTTCATAAACCTTTAGCACTTGATTACAGTTTACGAAAATGTCCAGCTTTCAAACATTATCTCATCTAGGTTCTAGCACTTGGTTACCGTCTCCAAAGATGTCGAGCTTTTTTTATATATTGCCTGTAGTGATCGCATGTTTTACAGTAAAATATATTTTCTTTTTCTTATTTTATTTTACCACAATTACAGGAAATGTTATCCACCGATGGAGGACCTTTACAATCTGAAGGAAGTGAACTCAACGAAGAATCATACCCTCCTTTGCAGAAAAGCGAAACAGTCGAGCCCAGGAAGGATTCGAGGCAAACACAACAAGGTGAGTTTTATTTATTTTGCATGGTTGAAATCGCGTAAGAAATACCAACCGTTTACCAACTGATTTATAGCAAAGATACATGGAAGTGAAACTGAACGACGGAAGCACCGACCTACGCAAACATTTTATAGACCGCCGAGAGGAAATGCTGATTAACAGTTTACAAATTTTCACACTAATGATTGTTAATAGATATTTAACGTATCATTGTTCAATGAACATATGAATACACATATTTTCCTGAAATTTGGTATTTTCTGAAAACGATTAATGTACATACATTGTGGGAAGATATAATCCACGATTGATGCACAAAATGCGTGTGAATAAAAATCAATTAATCTGCGAATCAATGCTTGCAAACTGATTTTCCCTTGTTCAAAAATTCTCGATTGACTCGGTCCATGCAATACAAGCCGACACTTCTATAGAGGCAGCAGTCAGTTATTTGCACTGACATAATATGACGCCAACTGGGAAATATCGCTGTGGATTCTCTAATGAGGATATATGAGGCATTGGTCAACAACATTGTTGATGCACTCCAAACTTTGTCTCCTGTTTTGGTGATTTTATTGAAAATTCGCATGTCATTTAACATCCCATATTTCTAAGACTTAATTCTAGTTCTTGAAACGCATTTTCTTTCTCTTTGGCTCCCATGATACCTACACAAAAGCATTTTTTAGCGTCCTTAAATAACTGGTTGAAATGAAATTCAGTTGAATATGGTAGCTTTAGAACATCAAAATGCATGTACTTTAAATGAGTGAAGAATGAAGCATAATTTACTCAAATGAATTACTTAAGATGTCACTTGGACAACATTAGGCTGGCTGCTGTAAGTGTTCCTAAAAAGTAAAATAGAAAATTTGAGCATTTCTCTAGTTGGTTATAATATACATACATAATGTTTTTGTTTAGTGCATTACATTCCAATTTTTTATTCATAATTCTAATCTTGCTGTCAATGTCGATTAAATATAATATTTACTGCGAGAATCTTTTTTATTGTTGTTATTTTACGTTTTTCAATGAATATACGTACACATTACCTTTAGCAAACGTTGTCAGTTTTTGATGCTTTATAGCATATTGTCTATAAAGTTATGCATTTTTAAAGAGGACTTACATTGCATTTATTCTATGGAAGGGCATTCAAACGTTTCCTCTTTATATAGTTCCCTTTCTATAGTTTACAGTTTTCTGCATGATAGTGACCAAGGTGAAGAGACAATTTTGGACTCATTGTTTGTTGTAGTTACTTACGCTTCCATCTCTTTATCGTAGTTGATCTTCGTCCACATGAATAGCGTTAGATCCCCCATAATTCTAAGCGATCTGTGATAACTTATTTCATTAAAAATTAAAGAGCATGTATTTGTATATGTACAGGTTGCAGGAAGGACCAAAACTATTTTAGTTATGACACTAAAACAATCAGAAATTTATGAAGAATACCATGTGTGAGCTTCTTTCTTTTCTTTTCCATAGGAGAAGGTGTATCTACTTTTTAAAGTTTTTTGGACATCCTTTTCAGAAATATTTAATTCATGAAATAGTTCTTATCAAATGAAATCAATCAATTTCTTAGTAAACTTGAAGAATATATGTTGTATGGCTGACGTAGTTTTTCTACTATCCCTTCGATTCCTAAGTTGTTTCTCCACTTCAAGGCTTCTATCTTGGACACAAAAAAAAATTAAAAAAAAACTCGCAAAGTTTGAAAATGAACAAGAATCACACACATGTTGTATTTTGTAAACACGAATGGATGACGTCATTGATATGCTAAAGTAAATACTAGGAAGGTGAAATTATTGTGAACTGTTTTCATAGGTTTAGCATACATTTGAACACCGAAGGCGTGAGCGTTTCTTAAGGGTCAGAGGGCAAATTGTGCCTTTTAAAATCCTCCCCTGCAACCTGCAAACCTTTACTTTTATCCTTCTTATCTTTTTCAGGAACTGTTATTTAACTGTTAGGCTTTTGTGTCGTGTCACTTCGAGCACAAATTGTATTTTTATCTGTTTGAATAGATAAATTTAAAGGTCATTTGAAAAAAGCTCTTATGAAAAACATGTGTATAAAGAAAATGAAGCAAAATATATAAATTGTATAAATAAGTCCGAAAATGGATATAATGCATATCAATATTAGCCCCCCTCCTAATTATCAATCTTCTTATGCCCATGAAAATGATTATGTTCAAATACACAATTGATATTATCGTAAATTAATATTTTGATGATATGATTGATTTCGAATAATGTTATAATATTATAATATAAACATTGCTTGGAAATGGAAAGTGGCGTTGATTCGATGGCTTGTATATTTTATGAGGAGAGTAGTTCTTTTTTGGGGTTAGTATAATTTTAAGGAGGAATATGTCAATGCTTCCTTTCGACAAAATTGCTATATAAAGTGCAATTGCAACTCAAATTAAAGTTGCGTTCAACTTCCGTCACGACTAGTGCTCTTTTAAGGTAAAAGCAAAGTTTTATGTGAGAAATCGTTGGCAAATAATTATTTTCTCCATTTTGCAGACATTTGAAATAAAGTAGAAAATGCAACGTGATAGGAAAGATCTATTATGTCTTAAATGCCACTTGATGTCTCTTACTACGTCACATGATCTTCACACCGATGTCGTGTGAAAAGTGAGCTACGTCTTTTCTATCACGTTATCGCTACTACGTGTCCCGGCCAACACGTAGTGAACAAAGAATTTGTTATTCAAATTAATCTATGAATTTCTAATAAGATTATTTAGTTGAGACAATTGTCATTTAAGCGATGCAGAATTGTAATCACTTTGAAATTTATCTCATTTAACAAAGAAACGTTGAAAAAGCCCAAAATTTCGCTGAATACCAAATTATCTTGAAAGTGGTAAGTGGAGTAGAAATTTCTTATCGATTTCACTATATATTTTCAGTTGTATGACTATGTTATTTAATTTGTTTACAATGACGCAAGTCATTTTTACCGAGGTCACCTTTCAGTTTGCTGATGTTAGTATCAATCACAGCATTTGACCTGTTCAAATCACTGTCAAAAAATCGTTGAGATGTATATGATTTAAAGTGCTTTTGTGCGGAAAAATGCTTCTCGATCTCAATCGACGACTGAATTTACCACAATTAATTTGGACAACAAAGCCAAATCGTCAAATAATGGTGGATGTGTGCATTTAGATAGGAACACAGCTTCTGTGGCGTTAAGTTCTCCAAGCACACTTACTTTAGGCTTGTAGAGACTCAAGCTCCCTGAGATTAAAGTGGTTTCAAGTTTGTAACTCACTTCATTTTGAATAATAATGATGTGGATTTTGTAATCAATGAAGGCTCATGTACTGTGGTATATGTTTGGCTGTCGGTGTCTCTATCACCTACAAATTCATTGACTAGTTTAGATGTAATCCTGCCATCTAAATGATGAAAATGTTAAAAAATCTCTTCAAGATGCGCTTTTCAGAATGTCGTCATGCACCCGGAAATTCCTTATTTGTGATGAAATTTTATTAAAAATATTTATGCTAATGTCTCTTTATAAACGCACCGGCAGTCTGATTTTATCAATTATAAGGTTGCATCGAGTAAAATTTCTCATCGAAACTATGATTTTTTGACATGCTAGAAAAAGATGCTTTAGTGATTGTCGCAGCCCCCAATTACACGCCATAAAATTTACTACAATCTTTGATTATCTTCATGAAAAAGGTTGAATTAAGAATGCTGGCGTATGCTATTAAATAAAAGTATACAATAATAAAGTTTTGCAAAATATTCAGAGAAAAGTAGATTATAATTGTAAAATAGCATATTATACGTGAATGGCAGGTTTCAATTGCCAAACTGCGCTCAAGTTTTTCACAATAAACGAAAGACTATGCAGAAGCATGTTCGCTTCCCTATGAATCTTTGCAAAATGCAAAGTGTTTGAAAATGTGTTCTATCATTGATTTTCCCTCGATCTCTATTTCATGCATTCTACTGTAGAATTATAACATCAAACATGGCAAATTCAGACAATGAAGGAGGAAAGAGGCGTAGTAAAATCGGCAAGGTGAAAGCTTTTGAGGAAATGCTTCTGAAGGATGTGCCAGGTATGACCTGTTCAAGTTCTTGCATTTTTCGTATGACGCGATGTGTGTACGTAAATGAACAGAAAATAGCCAACAATCAATTGAATCTAGTTTTGACTTTTCGTCACTTCAATCTCCAAGTCACATATATGTAAAGTCGCCTTTAATAGATGTAATAATTCTTTGGCAAAGAGTTGGGAAAAAACCTATAAACCCATGCAACCCGTGTCGTTCATATATATCAACCCAGTTGCCAACTTTACTTATGTCTTGCTATTAATTTTTATCGATGGCCCGTTTCTTTTTGACTGCAGCTGTTATCTTCTATGATTTAGAAATCTCATTATTGATGTTGACGTTAATTGATGTTGTTTTGACTGTATTAATCTGTCAGAAAACGAATGAGTTTTGTGCATTTATTGCATCTGTATAACATGCATGAGCAAATGAACTGGTGATCGCACTTCGTGTTAAGGTGGTGCAATCCTTGATGTAATTATTTGTTGAGTGCAGCTGCTATCTTCTATGATTTAGAAATCTCATTATTGATGTTGACGTTAATTGATGTTGTTTTGACTGTATTAATATGTCAGAAAACGAATAAGTTTTATGCATTTATTCATCTGTATAACATGCATGAGCAAATGAACTGGTGGTCGCACTTCATGTTATGGTGGTGCAATTCCTTGATGTAATTATTTTTTTATGTTTATTCAATTTTTAGTGAAAAAATTCGACAAGGCATAATTAATCATTTTTAGAAACTCAATGGACTTAGAATGAAATAACAGAAAATCAAATATATTATGTATCATATTGTGATCTTTTTAATCTCATATGGTGATAACATTTGTAATGTAGATGGTGCCATGAAAGCAAACGAGCCTTTGCAAGGAATGTTAGAAGGTCATGTAGATAGTTCTTTGGCTTTAACTTCTACTCAACCACAAATTGTGCGTAACGCCGCTCTACTGCATTATCTTTCTACACTGGCGTCGTCGCGTGCGATGGGCGATACATTTGATTTTCAATTTGTTAAGTCTTTATTGGATTCTGGGGCTGACGTTAATACAACAGATGTAAATGGACAAACCATTTTACATGAAGTAGCCAGATCATGGCAAACAGATGTTGCTGTGTTTCTTTTTCAGAATGGTGAGTTCAGCCTGATTTCAGCAATATTCGTGGTCGTGTGGAACTGTGTATATTATCTTTGTTTTTATTAATTTGTCTCGAAGCTCAAGTCTTTATCACTTGCTTTTACTGATTTTATTGAACAATATCTATGATGGCAGTCCTGAATTATGAAAACATCATATATCTAAAAAATATTTTTCGCTCATTGAGAGCAAGAGCTTGGGAAAAAGATTTGCTGTGATGAATCTCCAGCAGATATTTGCATATGACAAGCGCAATTCCTTATTAAACAATACACCGTAACCTCCGTCTTCTATAAGCACTGAGTAGAATAACATTTCTTCAGCTTTCCCAATTGTCCCAATGGCACTTACGCCAGCGTAAGATAGAGAAACTATGATCAAAGATTTTTGTACAACTCAAGTTCTTGATAAAAGAACTATTTTGACCTTCGCTTGAAGTAGAGAAAACTGCAGTTTAGTTAAAAATTATATGTACCTCCTTAACTTCCTTTGATAATTGTTACATTTTTAACATCGCAGCAGCCAAAGGGGGTCGCTTCCTCATATAATACATTCAAGACTGTAGTCTGTAGTCTGTATTTGTACAGTGAAAAAATAGGGCTATGATTATATAAGAGCAATTAATGTTTTCTTTCCCCCCCTCAAAAAAGCCTTTTGGAGACACTGGTTATTCGGAAAGTAAATGTAATGACGACTTTCTGAAGAATGAAAATTGCTTGTGAAGAATGTATAGATTTACTCTGTATCATGAACATTGAAGGCATGCATTGTCTGGTAAATGCCGATCAGCAATTTTGCTGGCGTGCCACAAAAAAGAATCGTCATCTGCTTCAAATGACGTAATTTCTTATTTTGAGGTGCGCGTATTGATATTCAAGATAGTTTTGGCCGAGCCCCTCTTCATGTTGCTGCTGCTGTGGACTATCCAGAAATGGTCGAGTTTCTTATCAACAACAATGCGAACATAAATATTGCCACTTTCAATGAACTGCAGACGCCAATACACTACGCTGCAAAAAATGGAGCTTGTCGATCGCTGAAAATGCTTTTAGCCTATGATGCAGACATTATTTCAAAAGACTCAAAAAACAGAACTCCACTACAGGTATTTGCAACAACACGATAAGCATTGTAAAGTTGGTTAAAAGCCGAGCTGATATGGGGAACACATGATAAGTTAAACCTTATGTATTTATGATGTATTAAAAAATAGACAGGTAGGTAAGACCCTTAAAAGCACCATGTACAGAATCTTTGGACTCTCAAGAAATGACTCCCGGGTAACGACCAAAGATCCTCGAGAAGTTTCTTAATAATCAATTGATTTGACAAATGTTTCAACAATTGATTTGACATATGCTTGTAGCAAAAGGCAATACTAATAGAACATTTAAAGTTCTTCTCCAACCATACAGAGCTTCTTTTTTAAAAGAGAATGAATGTAGAAATATTTACATAGCACAATTAAACCTGCGGGCTTGCCCCGTCAGTGGAACAAGTAAATCACCAAAATATAAAAAATCTTTTCCTCGCTATCGATATAGGCTTGAAGTTATACGGCCGACTATCGTAAACATTTGAAAATGGAAAAACTGTGTTGACAAGTATTTTTAAAGTGTCAAAAATAATTGAACAGCAATTGATTATTTTGTATAGCTTGCAGCCGAAATGAATCGAACGAAGGCAGCCAAACTGCTCTTAGAGGAAGGTGCGCCGGCAGGCGTATACGACAGTACAGGCAATTCAGCTTTATCACTGTTGATCGAAAAAGCTCCACAGGTTGCAATGGAGGCACTTGGACAACTGCACTCCATCGATCACATCAGCAGACGAGAATATTTTTTTCTCGACCATTTGGAAGGTATGTTAGTAATTTATACAAAAAAACTCTTTTTGACTATGACTTTCATCACCTGCTTCGTCTTCATACCTATTGATTGGTTTTGCATTGTTGAATTTTGGATGAATCTGTAAGTAAATTCAAAATTTCATATAAAACTTGCCCTTAGTGGAGTATTTATTCATAGTTGTTATTTGGAGGTATAAGCATATTTGATTATTTTATTGTGACGAATATTTGTTTTGAATAAACAGCTGCTGCATTTTCAAAGTGTCCATCATACAAAGTTTGTTACTGTCTTAAATATCTTTCAAATTTTATGAACTATCTTCTCAACACTGATGTTTGCATGCTTACTTTTTGAATTGTTGAAATATTTTGATATGAACGATTCGTCATTTCTCACTTCACCATATTGTATCACCGTGCTTATTTTCGTCGCTTCGTTATATAAACCTGTCAGTTTTTATGCAAGTTGATCACATACACAAGAATAAATGCAAGTAAAGACGTGTTAATTGGGCTAAATTGAACATCACGCCATGTGTGGTTGCAGGAGTTACGCTAATTGTGGTTACTGAAGTTATGTTAACTGTAGTCACTGAAGTTATGTTAACTGTAGTCACTGAAGTTATGTTAACTGCAGTCACTGAAGTTATGTTAACTGCAGTCACTGAAGTTATGTTAACTGCAGTCACTGAAGTTATGTTAACTGTAGTCACTGAAGTTATGTTAACTGCAGTCACTGAAGTTATGTTAACTGTAGTCACTGAAGTTATGTTAACTGTAGTCACTGAAGTTATGTTAACTGCAGTCACTGAAGTTATGTTAACTGCAGTCACTGAAGTTATGTTAACTGCAGTCACTGAAGTTATGTTAACTGCAGTCACTGAAGTTATGTTAACTGTTGTCACTGAAGTTATGTTAACTGTAGTCACTGAAGTTAGGCTAATTGTGGTAACTGAAGTTATGCTAAAAGTACAACATAGCCTTTAGCAATGATCGAGGTTTATTGTTAGAGCCTTGCAAAGAGTGACGTTATCTTTGGGAAAGTTTTTATGATGGAGGACTAAATGAATGCCTTTTAGGTGCTAGATTGAATGACACTTCATCACCGGCTCTTACGCCGCTGGAAGTGGCGACTAAAAGCAATCGCCTCGACATAATAATGCATCCTGTCATTCGTCGTCTTATTTCTGTAAAATGGCGTGTATTTGGTAAGCTCGGTGGAATTGGTGCTCTTCTTCTCAACTTGCTCTACGCTACATTGTGGACAGTCTTGGCGGTCACAATTCCTACCAAGGATAAAGACGCTTATTTACCTCTGCCTGAGAAAGTATGGCGTTGGATTATTGCCGTTCTTATTGCAGTATTGACAATATATGAGATTGTGCAGCAAGTTTCAGGTGTGCACGAATGGCTTCCATATTATTTGTATTTATCGATAATTAACGTTCATATATATTTCACATAATGATATTGCATGCTTTAGAAAACAGTTTTTCCTCATTAGAAATTTTTTCTGCAAAATTAAACAATAATCACAGTCATGTATCTCCTAATATTCTATAGTAAGAGTTTGACTTGACAAACCACGTCTTTTTAAAGGGACCTTAAAAGTTCAAAAAGAAAATTCTGAATGGCGTCAATGGCGGGTGGACGATCTCAGCCGTGATCTTCAATACTGCCATCCACGTTGGCCTCAAGAAAGAACTTACCTGGAGGCTGAGATCAAGGCGGTGGAGAATCCTCCGATTCTGGCAAGCTCTGATTACTGGTTCTACTACGATTGGGTTGCTTTAACGCTTATTCTTGCAACTATCTCATCTCAGTTGGCATTTATTATCATTAAAAGCGACTCTTCGTATCGTGTTTACGCCCGTTTTGCATGCGCACTGCTTCTTATTCTTTGGATTCGTATCATGAAGTCAGCGAGACCGTTTGAAGGACCTGGTGCTTTTGTTGCCATATTTGGTCATATCATAATGGACATCTTAAAGTGGGCACTGCTCTTTTTGCTAATCTTCATTCCGTATGCAGCCTCTTTTTGGATCACTTTCGGAAGTGACGCAACAGGAGGCAAAGTGAATGGATACAACAAGCTTGATGAGATGTTGTTTAACATGTTCTCTATGGTTGTTGTCATGGATTATGGTTACGAAGATTTAGAACGCTCTGATGAGCACATGGCACGTTTCTTGTGCGGAACGTTCATTATTATCATGGCCATAGTACTTGTCAATGTCTTGATTGCAATGCTTTCGGACACCTTTACCAGAGTATATGGAAACGCCGTTGCCAATTCAATAATGCAGCGCGCCAAGACGATTATTACACTTGAGCGCTCCTTGAGCAACAAGAGAAGAAGACGCTATTACGATTATATTCGGAATACTTGCAGTCCCGAGGTGGTCACGATTCAGCCCGATGTAAATAGCAGTGATATAAATGATCGCAAATCCGTGGAAGAGATGCGCGATGACGTAAAGGAAATGGTAGATCTTGTGCAAAACCGTTTCGGTCGCAGGTATAGCCCAATCGCGATGTTTTACGCTGGAATTTATTGATGAGAATCGTTTACCTTTTGTCTTAAATTTTACAGCATACGAAGAAAGATCCTCGAAGTTTTATTTTTACTCTTTCTGATAATATAATTGCGTGGCGAAACTACCATTTGTAAGCTTGATTTTGAGAGCGTTGTTTGTTTTAGATATGGCAAAGAAAAAATGTCAGACTTGGACGCAGTAAAACAAGATGTGGCACATCTGTGGAAGAATCACGAAAGGAATGCTGCGGCTGTAAAAGAAATCAGAGCTACTTTAGAGAAAATGCTTGGGCTTGCGAACAATCAAGATGATCAATCAGGCTTTGGTGGCAGCAGTTTTGCTTGATGCAAATTCGAGAGTCAATGTTTTACTATTCCAATGCCTGAACATTTCGTTGACAGCTCTCGTCAAAAATACAGTTTTGAATTTTGTGCATGAGGCACGAGCTTTGCGAACCAGTTCTGGCATGGGAATTTAGAATAATAAGTTGTAAAGATTTATTTTTTATATACATAAGTCCTGTGGGACTTACCTTTCATAAAAGCAAGCATGGCAAGCAAATCCAAAATTAGCGGTAAACCGGAAAAAATTAACGAGTTGTGTTTTTTTGCAACGTCTAAGCAACTCAACTGTGCATGTTGGTAGATCACGTGGCATTTCTTAAATGGGTAAACGTACGAAATTATCATTGATATTAAATTTCCACCGACAGAATTCTTAATGATTGCGTTAAAAATTCATTAGAAATCTTAGAAATTATCATTTTACCTTTTAGCTACTTTGGCTTGCTTTTTCCAAAATAGTTTGATCGTCATATTTGGTGAAAGCTATAACTTCTTCTCCAAAAGATTTCTATCATAGTCTTGTAATTTGTACGCAATCAACTGCTGAACTTTTGACCTTTCTTATTAAATGCTGCAGGAACTGTCAGTTGCAGTCGGTTCAAGCAAACTCCTCGATCAAAAGCTTGGTGAAAGCATCGAGTTGCTGCAAATGATAAGAGATGGATATGGAAACTTATAAAATGAACAATTTTTTACTTATTTTTTACGTATACTTTATACACTTGTATGCTGTTTTACCAATATATTTTGAATGATGTAACTATGACCAAATACCAATATAATTATTGAAACGACTAAATCAAAATAAAAAAAGATCTCCTGTCAATAATTTAGATGTTGATATAGGAATTGAAGACAAAACATACATACGTCATTCATGTCGTGGAAACTTGAAGCTATACATGGTGTATTGAAGTGGTGGTCAAATTTGCTGTTTTGTGGGGTAAACGTGGTTACTAGTCGTGCAAAAAAGTCATCAGTATTATATTTTTTCGAAAATTGAACATAAAAGACTATTACCAACAAAATTTTTGGCAAAGTCATAAGTAGACAATAGTGATATTCCTAACAATCACGTACACAGTTACACTACGCTCTCTTGTCGGACAAATTGAATAATACAACCTTTCTTCTTTTGCAAATTAAATAGCAAGCCCTTTAGTGTGGCAAATCAAGTCTTTGTCTCTGTTAGGTTTTGTGAAGTAGTCATCTACATTTTTTATAGTATTATGCAGTTAATACTTTAACACTAATACAAAAAAGATATCACAGATAACTATACCATCACATTAAATGTTTAACGACTATCTCAAAATGTTTATAAAGATATAACGTAACGTAATATTATATTTGCTTCTTTACTTTAATGTAACATAAAACTGACTATTATAGAAAACCATTAAGAATTGTCATGGTTACCCAGACTACACATAAGTGCGTTTCTATAGACAATTATTAAGGTACTTACACTGATCACACTTTGATTATCTTGAAGTATTTATTAATGATGTGAAGAATGTAAGAGCTTACGTTGACAACCTCCCCTCCCAATCTTGAGACTCAAGTATTATACACAATTGAAAGCGAAATAGTCATATGCTAGAAATTCACTTCCTTCCAGTGAATTTTGTTCTTATAGCTATTGTTTCCAGGTCTCGGGAACATTTCAGTAGCTTTCGACCGTTTAGTACTTCCTTTTTCAGCAGCTAATAAAGACAAAGTTTTTGCGTTTCTAGTTGCTAATAAAAACAAAATTTGATAACTTTCGTGACGTAAATGTTTAGCTGACAAGTATTTTGAATAGCTGCAAAAATTTCTCACAAATGGCTTTGGGAAACACTCTGTGTCGATTAATAAATGCAAAAAAATACCAGTCCCAATCCATATAATCAGCAACAACACCATTCTAGCACAAACACATGATTAATTTACAGAAGTGGTCGACTAACTGCAGAAAAAAATGCATAGATTTGGTTTATGTCAATTCTACGATGAACAGAGTTTCCTTAAAACTTCAATAGCTATATATCAAAATTGCATGTAGAAAGAAAGAACATTTTCAACATAGACCTGACCACAGATCAGCCATAAATACCGCTTCCCTTCCATCGAAAAAACTGACAAAATATAATTGTCACAAACAGATAATGATTAACACATATTTCTTCATTTAATATGCAGAACATTTTTAGCGTATAATAAGTTTATCAAATTAAAGCGTTAAAGTATACACCCCCACATTCGTTGATGAATATTTCAATTTTGGCTTGGCTCTTCATTTATCTAGCCACAATCGTTGAAGTCAAAAGCTGTCATCATAATATTCAACCCACTCAATGGCAACTGCACAAAAATGAATATTCTATATGACTTGTCTATTAGTCCAGCCATTTATCACATTTTTAGAAACGTTTAAGACAGATATCTGTTCACGGTTTCAAGTAAATATATTTATGTTAACACTTACGTCAATAGACGATTATAAATTCCGGAAAGTAAATATTTATTTAATTTTGGAAACATTAAAATACATAATACTTCATAGAATATTGCATTGTCAGACACATGCAGCAATCAGATAGCTCTGTGATAGTAATCTTTGTTTCCGTAAAAACGCAAAAATATGACGGCCAAAAAAAGAAGCAAATAAATATTTTCCTTTTCAAGAATTTCTCGTGTCAGATTAAAAATTCAAATTGAAAAAATAACCTTTACGCTCACTCATGTCTACTCTCAGTAGTTATTGACAATAAAATTAATAAAATGCTTTAAAATTCAAATTGGAAAATTATTGCTTGGTGTATATATACACTGGAGACAGGGGGGCTAGGGGCTTAAGTCCTCAAACTTTTTGCAATAGCATAGCAAAAAAGATAGTTAGACTGAGCTGAAGACGTAGTTTATAGAAGTGTTTTTGAAGAGTTAAGACATCATAGTAGAATTGAAGAGTTAGCCCCCGCACTTTATATGTTGCTCCACCTTCTCTGGTGTATGTTAGAAATACTCGATCAAACCTCAGTCAAAAACAACCCTGTAAAATTCTTTCATGCTCATAACATTTCTGTGAAATTGTGTAAATCCGGCACATGATAAGTTTGGTCGATTTCGTTCATTAATTTAGTTTAGGTAAGCTAAAGAAATAATTCAAACTTTAACTAACCATATCTTGCAGACATTTGCTGATCACAAACTTACAGTACTTTCTTGAAGGGTAGCTATTTCAATTATCTTTATCAAAATAAATCATTAATGCTGAATATATGAATCAAATAATAGGTTGTTTACGGACTAAATTCTCATGATTTAATTTAATTGTATATGTACGCACGTTTTTGATTAGTCTATTTAACGAGTCGTATAAGCTTATTGCTGATTGGTACGTGTTATTGCATGTTATGCTATGATAAACATTTATGCGTGCGCATCTACAAAATTGAGTTTCAAACACTCAGATTTCGTATTTCTAACTTAAGAGAATTCCCTTCAAAAAATCACATTGAAAAAGGATCAACGAAATCTGTTGGTCGAGGTGAGCAACTTTTTTGACAAATTTGTCATAAAAAAATGCATCAAAGACTTCACAAATATATATCAATAGATTTATGCTAATTACGCAGACATGCAGAATGTAAATTATGTAGCAGCTGTACGCAATGCAGACTTGAAGCAGTTACCACTTGCGAAGGACATCTATAATGGCGTCCTACTGGACTTGGTATATATTCATTCTTGTGGCTCTCGATTGGCTTGTTGTTGTCGTTGGTGTTGTTGGAAACATTCTTACAATAGTTGCCCTCGTCAAATACAAAGCTATCAAGAACAAAAGCATCAATTTGCTTTTTGTCAACCTCACTGTTGCAGATCTTGGTGTGCTGCTGGTTCATCATTCTTTCCAATGCATTCAGCTCTACAACAAAGGACGATGGATCTTTGATGATCTTGCCTGCAAAATAATTCCACCTGTATCTCGGGCATTTCTAACTGTTTCCATTCTTATCCTTTCCGCCATATCGTACCAACGTTACAGATCTATTATTTATCTTTTCAAGCCTGCTCCATCAAAAAGAGGAACAATAATTCTGACGGTTATAATTTGGGTAACAGTTATATTCACGTACGGTTCTCTTGATGTCAATTTTCGACGATATGATCCTCAGTCAAGGCGTTGCAAAATCAAAGATTCAGCGATGACTTTTTTTCTCTATACCATTGTGGAGAAGGCATTGTATGTCTTTTGTTTCGCCTACATCACGTACATGTTCCTGAAAATACGTCCGGTGCTTGCACGGAGTATTGACGTTCAAAAGAATTCCTTTTTTAACAAGGCAGTTTCCCAAAGTGCTCAGACTTTAAAACTCCTGCGGCCAACATTGATAATTTTGTTCATGTCTCTTGTACTATCGTGGGTCTTATTGACAACGGTTTTTTTGAATGTTAAAAGTTTTCATCCATCCCAGCGCTTATTGATGTATCATATTGTTGGAATACTGATTGTGCTCAACAGTGCAGTCAACCCCTTTATATACGTGGTCAAGTCGCGTTCTTTTGCTCAATCTTTTGCAAAAATATTTCATTTGGGACAGAAAAAGTTCAAAAGGACGATTTAGGATAAGACGGCGCAGTTTGCTCTTCCTGTACGCTAGCTAATGTGTAATATTACGATTTTAATGTGATTTGTAATAGCTAATGTGTAATATTACGATTTTAATGTCCACACAGTGGGCATTTTTAGTAATTATAAAATAGCTACCAGCTGTATCTAGAAATTGAAGTTCAATAATTTGATTTTAATATAAATATATATAAATTGTGAATGTATCGCGAAGTTTTTGAATTTGCTTATGAATTTTTTTGGTTTAGCAAAGGATGGCAGGAGATGCTTTTTTGAAGGAGAACAGTAAGCTTTGTGTTGTTCGAGGAATTTCATAAAACGGCGAAAATATGAGGCTCAACCCGTAGTTTTGAAAGTGGCATAACTTGTAAAATTACTTCAGTAATCATGAAAAAACGCGACACGACACGTGAATAGTTAATGACATACAAAAACAATAACTAAATATTGATAAATCATACAAGCAGATGTTCGAAGGTTCAAACACCTTGAGACATTCAATTATTTTTCCTGCCTTTGACGCAACCGCGATATGACATTGTTTTTTATTATGCCAGAAAATAACGTTAAGTGTGAGTTTGTTTTCCATGTTCAGCATTGACCTTATTAGTCTCGACAAGACTTAACTATGATTTATGAGTTGACATAATATACGTCTTAGTTTGTTTGTGTGATAAACTGTATGAAGAATCTTTGACAACTCAATGTAGATCGGCTGGGGTATAGATTCTCATGAGTGCTTAGTGAATGAACATGAAAGAGGAATTTGTCAATAAACGTTAATCAATTGCAGTTTCATATTTTATATTTCATAATAAGAAAAACAACAGCATTTTATGTTGCCAAAGGCATGTATTTGTGTTTTAGCTACGAAGGGGGTGAGAATCAGGGTAGATAATGATAACCCATTAAAATTTTTATAACTTCCTTGATAATTTTGTTGTGCTAATTGTCAAGTGAGCTTCTGAAATACGACAGACGTGACATTATTATGACATGGAAGCCAAAATTACAAAATTATTTATATACTAATAGCTTTCGTAGAAATATATTATTTCCGTGTGACGCAAGCTTTCTAATAGTCCATTGTGAGTATAAATTGCAGTATGTTGTAACAGGTTCGAGGCATACGTTTGCAAAAAGTGTTTTATCTACAAAAGATTTTAAGGACAAAGTTTTAAACAAGTGATTTAGTATGGACTGGCTCGTTTCACTTCCTCGACGTAATGTGATATTCATAATTCATCATAATGTTACAACGTAATGTGATTTCTCTGATCTTTGGACATGAGGCAAAAATGCAAGCTGTATATCCATTCCAATGGTATACGTAGGTAGCAAGTGAAAGTTAGGAGGGGGCTAAAGATTTTTGGGTGCAATTGTTTATTTAAAAAGAGCATGTTTCTTGAAAAAAAGGACAATTCTTTATATTAAATTTGAAAATTGGGAGGAGGAACGTGCACCAACCGTACCTCCCGGTTCCTACATCACTGGCTGTATCTACATACAATCTTTTGATTCTAATATATATAAAGCGTGTTGAATTGGCTTACCAATTTTTGGCTTGAGAAAAGATGATAGGCCTATTCATTTTAAAACCAGGACACTGAGTTTATTGTCTGCCCCCTGTTTGCCTCTGAAATCTTTTAATCTCACTATTATCGCATTAGAAATTAAAGGGTTATCTAACGAACGGCAAAGTCAAAAATAGATCACTGAATGCAGCTGATCCTCAAAAAAACTTAAGGATGAGCTTCAAGAGCGTCAATTTGAGCAAAGAGCAAATGACTACAATTCGAAAAAAATTTTACAAATTGCAGCAAAAAATTGCTTGATCCATCGCATTCGCTTAAATCAACTCATTTCGTCAAAAAAAGAACGTAAAAGATTGAGAAAATGTGTGGTATCGACGTCCCTGGAAAAACACAAAGTTATTCCAAATCGCCCGACATGTATGAGAATTGAGAAGAGTAGTGCTTTGCCCTATCTTTGATGCCTTTATTACTTAGCCAGAGACGCACTTTTCCAAAAGATATATTGAGGTTTTTTGATTGTTTTCTGTCTTACATTCAACATCGAAGAAATATAAGAATTTTGGCATGATTTCAAGGTATTATAATTAATTTGAGCTTTGAAGACGTCAGAAATAATCATTGACAAAAATAATCATTGACTTTTCAAACAATTACAAGTATTCGTAGAAAACGAGCAATGTGCATTAATAGGACTAGTTTTTAACACGTTTATCACTAAAGTTTTAAAGCAGTTGCATTGTTAAAAGTGACACCATAGATGGCCCAGAAACCTGTTGAGGTTTTTATGCAATCGATTTACATACGTAAATACTAAATACATTCCATGATTTATGTGCAATGTTTGTCATGCATGTGATCTCACATGACTTCCACGTATGTATAGTCTTAATGGTCTTAAAACAATCATTCAGGTCGAGTCAGATTCGTTGCTCGTATCTTCTGGCTCACAATCTGGTACACAGTGATTTGTAGATATGACGTCATAGTAACATATGACGAGAATTATTTACAGGAGTTGACTAATCACAACCGACATTGTTTACTTTGTGAATAATAAAAGCAGATAGTTATAAATTTACAGGTATTGTATTAAATTACTTTGTATGACAGCACAGAATGGAAGGGGAAACATATAAATGAAGCTAGGTTAAGGAGAATACAGTTATAAGTGTCAACAGAGTGTTTACGCTTATATATATGAGAAGGCTTTCGTGAATTATTAGCTTGTAATTGTCAGAGAAAAAAGAAAGGGTTGAGAAGACATTAAAATCGGTAGAGTGAGATGTGTTTCACATATGAGAAAGAATAGCAGCTAGTGGTAGACAAGAAGGTTTTCTTGTTAAGGGAGAGATTCCCAAGTGTTCTGATACTCTGGTTTGCAACTGACGTGTGGTTTAACCCACATACAGCGTGGAACAGCGTCGAAACTTAAATGAGAGATGTTTAGAAGAGCAAAAATAAAAAAACAAACGTTGATAGGAAAGACAGCAGTGCCGAGTCAAGTGATTTGAGTGCAAATCTAGATACAGTGTAAGCCAATAAGCCCTCACCTAAATAATTGCATGTCATTGTATCTGAAAATGTCTTAAGTTAAAAACAAATGCCATCATTAAAAAAAACGTTTTAGTTCTAATATACTGCCGTAATGGCCGCATATTAAAAATCATATGTCAGACTATCATATTCATTATGAAAATTAGATTAGATTTCTGCTTCTTGTGAAGCAAAAAAGCCGATGACCCTGACCATCAAAAATATGTATTTTACCGTATGTCAAAACAGATATTTTTAATGGTATTTTACTTTTGTTGTGGTCGAAGACTCGAAGATCCGTCTTGGTGTAGGTTTCTAGCGTAAAAACAAACGTTGTTGAATGAGGCGTTGAAGATGTTTGCTCGACGACATAATTGGCAAGTAATTGTTTCAACGCGTAATAGAAGTATTTTTGAAAATGTGCTTCGAGTGGCAATCATAGTGACGCGCGTATATTCTAATATGTTGGTTTAAATACGTACTCTAAAATTTTTCGTTCGACTTCGTGTCCTTTCGAATAACGCTTACAACTGTCTTGCCTCAAAAAGTGTCAGGTCACAGTATAGACACAAACAGTAGTCCCACTCTATAGAATTTTTTGTGTAGCGCAGATCCTATAGCGCATGTGATTAGCATAGTGGCCGCCAGTCAATTGCTTTTTTTGGCAATAGGAGGGCAGATAAGGCTGGCCGCAGCCAGTAATCTAATTAAATCTAATTAAAGGGGCAAGTGCCAACAAGAGTTCTTAATACCTACTTTTCTTTTCAAAATTGAGTTACAATGCATTGGAGAACATATACAATTTATATCCCAAGAAGATTAATATAAAAAATCTGATCACGTCGTCTCTAACGGTATTTATGAAATATTTAATGGCTCTCGCTTATCAAAAATGAAATAATTCCTTTGATTTCAGGGCTCATTCATATCAAAATTACTGCTTTAATAATGCTTTCATAATCTCTAAATATAATTGGGAAGAGAAAATTGGTTTTTCTTCCTAAATCTACTAATTATACTCTTGTGACTATTTACAAAGAAGATATTCCTTCAAGAAACACTTTGTCTCCACTGTGGTCCACGTAAATTACGTTGGCAGGTGTTGCGTAATCATTTTCTTAAATTCCATGGAAGAAAATGCTGAGTGAACAGTTGATCCAATCACAAATTTGCTATACTCCAAAATCTATGACTAGATTATGGTTATTGCTACATGAATTCATGGTAGACAAGCAATTTTAAGTGCAATGCATCGCATTCCAACAAATATAACTGAGAGGACTACCTATAAACTATATGATCTCATTTTAGTGCTGCACATAGCAAGCTGCAAGGACACCGTTATTGTTTACTAGTGGACTCATACAGTATACATTTGAAATAAAAGCATGTTTAATCGATTGCTTTTTCAGTGAGTTGAGCAGCAACAATTCGAAATAATACATCACAGTAATAAAATTTTTAAGCTTTAAAATACTTAACTCTGGGAAAATAGATCTGCATGGAATGATACTCTTCCGCATCTGTCACTTGTCGTGTGCACCCTTTTCAATACCTTCTTTCCTTCTATAGTCTATATACCGAAACTATACCTCTTAGTTATCATTTCCATAAAGGAATGTTTAAGTGTTTCATTGCATACTGCATGTCAATTCAAATATATCATAATCATAAGCAAATGATCGACTTTTCATTACTTGATTTCAAGTGTATGAACTCTGCTGACTCATATGTACTTGTGTTTGCATGAGAAATAATATGATTTTTGAAGTGCCTATTCGTTGTTGCGTGAAATTTACTCATGTTTCTGAGTAAATTATATGATTTAGATTGGTGAAGTTTACCGCGTTCTTTCACCAATTATGGAGATTTGTTAGACTTTTTCCGTACGCTGCCGGTACGATATTTCCGATATCTTGTTCTTGAAGTGATAGAAAATCCCCGGGTGTAAAGGGCAAATCCTTTTCCGTCTTGAAAATTTGTTCGTTGCATATATTTACTGTTTGCAAGTTTTTTTGTTTATAGAATGAGAATTTTGAATTACAATATTGGAAAAGATTCTGTCAAGCTGAAGTAAACCAATGTGTACTGTACGTCGTGTAAATGATGCTGGACATTGTATAGTACCTATTTCGCCGAAGCACGACTGCAGCATCGTCTACATACGGTGAGAAATTAAAAGAATGTCGAAAATAAGTGTGTTGTTATCTAACGTTGTTGTAAGTACATAATAAAAAGAACTTTAATCAACGCAATTTTTTTTATGAAGTGATTAAACAATCTCTCCCATTGATATTTGTTGAATTATATATATCTAATTAAAAATGTCATTGAAACTTTGCCGCTTTCTGTACTATGATAAAAAAAATAATGCAAATATGTACATAATAACATTAAGAATATAAATAGCCACGCACAATTCTCACCTTACTCGACATTCATACAAAAATCTTACAAATGAGCTAAATGAAATCAAGGTGTTCATGTGTCATAAGGCGTTCATTTAATAGTTCTACTTGGTTTTTCAGTTGATTTACTTGTGCTTGTAGATCGGATTTCTCCTGCTCTAATGTTTTTACTTTTTGCAACACTTCGATTTCCTTAAGTCTTCTTGCTTCGCGACTTTTCCTTGCCCTTTCCGTGTTTTGACAGCGTTTCTTCCAGTACGCGTCATCTTTCATCTCTTCCGGAATGGAGCGCTTGCGCGAGCGTTTTGAGATCGGCCTAGGATCATAGTTTATTCGTTTTTGCTTATAATTCCAGCTTAAATGTTCGTTGATATACAAGGTCTCATTTTTTGCTGTCGTTTTGTTGTTACCACCGCGAGTCTTCGGTTTGTACAAATCGCAAGTTCCCTGTTGATTGTTGTACGTGCATTGCTTGTTTAAATTGTCAAGCGTCTCCGGACAAATATCAAGTCCTTTGCACGCGTTAAATAGCGTCTCGATCTCGCTCTCCTTCATTGCTCCGAACATGTCAAGGTCAGCTTCACTGCCATCCAGGCTACCATCGGTGGAGTCGTTTGATTCGCTATAACCACACAGTTCTTTATCAATAAAGAAGAAATCTTCCATTTGTGCGTGATAACGATTGCGAGAATCTCACGACTTCTGTATGTAACGTGATGGTTTGTTGAACAAATGTTATTTGTAAGCTTCTACAAGTAAATTTCCCTCAATGACTTGTTGCTGTGCTTGTTCTCGGCAAGTTTATTTCTTACAATCAATCCTCTTGTGTCTTGAAGCGTATAAATTATTTTTGTAACCAATTGCAATGGACTCCTTTACCAAAGGTTACCTTGAATGGACAGTGGTCACTCGCAACTTCCTTCAGGTTTTCCAACCTCTCCTTAATCCTGTCGTTCTGAAATGCTCAGGGTTTGATGGTTACGTTCGCTTTTCAAGGTTTCTATATAGCATACTTAATGAGCATTTACAAAGAATGGCGTGGGCGACTACAATATAGGTATAAACATTTCTGCAAATGCAAATGTGTTTGTATTCCGTTTTCTTCAAACATAGACATATACGTGCGGACAGGTGATCTGACACAGTCGGATCCTTTCGAAACATTTCAATCGAAGAATAAGATCGACTAATCGAATCCCACTCGCTATTGCTGCTTTTCCCAGGTAGAATAGGGCGCCTATTCGATATTACGAGGTAACAAGGGTTTGCCAGGTGGAATAGAAAGATGTTGTAATTGTAAACAATGTCTGTTCTTGTTGAATGGGAAGTGTTAGCTATTTGGATACTTCAATGATCGTAAACAGTTCTACAGCAATCACAAGAAATCATCAGTTTATGTATTTGTACTTGCTGATCTGTAGGATCGTCTAAAGAAAACTTCGCTTGCTCAACACTCTATATCATTTCTTTAACTCGTGAACTTAACTTGGTAAAATGAAAGCGAACGGAAATGTGTTTGCGTGTTTTGCAAGTGCTCGACCTTGCAGTTTGTCGCAAATGATTTTCAGCGGAAACGAAAGAACATTTCGAAAAGCATCAATGGCTTCAATGATGCTCGTTAAATTTTAACCCCTCGGTGATGATTTTATCTGACTGCCATTAACTTTGGCAAAAGTGTCAAAAAATTTCTCAAAGTGCAAAAGTAGCCCTTTATTTTCGATGGACTAAAATTATTTAATGCAGCAAGCGTATATATGTGGGAAATTTCTTATTTTATGGCACGATCAATAAATAACCGTTGAACTAATAATTTAATCATTGCTAGTCAACTTGATTTGATGTTTCGCTAATTACCGCTCTTAGATTGTGATATTTCCTTTCTGGTGAAAGACATTTGTAAACGTTAAAAGATCGGTGAATATTAGTCTCAAAGAATTCTCCCAATGCGTCATTTTACAGATAAACGTTACACTTTGCGCTTAATGCAAACACAGAGATTATAGCGTGTTCAATGCGTGTGTTTAGAAAATCAGCTATTGTATAAACGCAACAAGCTTTTAAAGAAAAGAAGAAACAAGTTCTGCAATATTACAAACAAGGGCACGCGATCGATCATATCAAAATGCAACTGCATGAGTATTTCTTGGGATGGTTGTTCAGAGTCTTCAGACCTTTAACAAATCATCAAATATCTATTATAAAATTCAAGTGCCCACTTATATTATGACGCCCCGTCAAATGTTTGATAGTCTCGTGCTGTGCTATAGACTAACATTGCTTGGAAACAAGTAGGCAGAGCAATTGACGAATACAAAATTTGTTAAATGCTAAGTTTAATGTTTGGATACTTTTTCCCCACGCAAGTGTCGCATTTAAATTTTCTATATATAACCAGGAATATCACATTTCTGAAAGACAAAATTCGTTAAATTTAATTGTTTTAATATACTTTACCAATCCGATGTCATCCTACTTATTTTGATCAATGAAAGCCTTTTATTTTGGAACATAACCATTAAGGGTTTCATTTTACTTACATGTGACTTTCACGTGCACCTTTTAAGTGTGCAGTGCTCCAATTGCTCAGTTTTTCTATCGATGTTTGTACTCGTTCTGTGCATGTTGCATTAGATAAAAGCATGTTTTGTTTTGTGAGTTTGTTTTAGAACATTACAATAACGCTTTACGATCATTCATGATTATTGTAGGAAAACATTGCCTTTCAATTCCGAAATTTCAAATATACGTTCTTGTTCAAAATATGCTTTGCTGAAATGTGCAATGGGTAGCATATACACGGAAGGTTGACACTCTATTTGGTTGACGTTCTGATGTGACGTGTGTGCTTGGTTCATTGCTATCCCCTAATATAACACACCTGTACCACCAAATGAAACAACAAATGTCAAGCAGGATAGTTTTATGGTTTACAAGTAGCTATATTGATTTTTCATCATACTGCAAATATGTAGTGAATCTTTTGTATAGAAAGCCAGTGTAAGACATTTGTATAACTGGGCGGCAGAGTCTTAGGGATGTCTTTTCTTTCTGGGAAGCTAACATAAGATTCATATTGTGAAACTTAAGACTTTTCTTCCTATTACGTTGATTGCACTAACTCTATAAGCTACGAATTATGTCATTTCCTGTGCTAGGTTCCCCAACGATAAAATAGGCTACATCATTGTTTGATGACGATGTCCATTTTAGGCGTAAGTTGGGTTGCTATGATAAACTTGCGCAAATATCCGCCGGTGCTATCTTGATTATAGAGATTGCATCCTAACTGGCGCAGACAATACGCAATACGGGCTGTCTTAGACAGTTGTACTGTCTGAAACAACATATAAGGCTTTATATTCATGCTGTGTATGAGATTAGAGGTTTGGACATGAAGGTTAATATGACTCAAATATCTGCTATAAGTTTATTGTTTCAAATCTGAGTTGTATGTGTAAAATGTTAAAATATCCATAAGCTTTAATTTCGGAGAGTAAAACATCTGATGTAACGTGTGTTTTTTAGATAGCGTGTTCTATAGTTTCTTTTTAATAACATTAATATCACAGGGAGAATTTTCTTTTTGAAAGTCTCTTTTGAGATATTCCGGTAATTAAATCATCTACCCCCTCTAAATAATTGGTGAGAAATGTTCATGTTTGTCGGTCAATTGCTTACATTTTTGCTCTTGAAAAATTTTTATCGTCAAAGAACAAATCACGTGTCACGTGTAAGTTGAAGAACATCACGTGTTTGTGTGTATTTACGTTCTTGGTTTGCGTGATGAGGAACAGCCCTTTTTCCATGACATCAGAAATTATTAGGAGGAGTCTCTTTGATAGTTAGCTAGAGCTTGAGAGCTCTATCCAACTGGAAGTTTAAAGAAATTTCATTCTTTTTTTCTTTACGGAACAGCAGAAAACAAGGAAATAGAAATTCAACTAAGTTTAACCACATCCACGAGACTCTATAATTAATTTGTACGTAATATTTTAAACCACATTTTTATAAAATGCTCCTCTGTATTTTTGCCCAGGGAACCTGTGGATGAAGTAAATTGTTGTCAAGTGTACCAAATTAAAGATAAATCTACAGTCAATCAATTGAAAATGTTCGTGTGAAAACCCAACTAGCTACGTAGCTTGGATGCATTTGCGGATTTTCGTACTCACGTGTATTTGTGTGCTTCAGCTAGGATAATGGAAGATATAAAAAACAAACACTCTTTGTTGAATAATTTATTTCGCGCAGAAATCCAGGCGCTGACTTATTTCTCAATCGGTAAGCTTTTTCAAACATAAATCTAGATTCAATTATGTGTTTATATAAAAAACCAATGACGTACGATGCGTTTGCAGAATTTCGTTCTCACGTGTATTTGTGTGCTAGAAGATAGGATAAAGAAGATAAAAAAAACTAACACTCTTTGTTTAATAAATTGTTTCGTGCAGAAATCCAGGCGCTGACTTATTCCTCATTGCGGTAAGCTTTTTCAAAGCGCCCAATTTAGCTATGTAAATGTCAACAAAATTAACATATAATTGTAATAGTTTTCGTGTATAATCGTAGCTATTGGAGAATAAATTTCAGATGAATTCCTAATTATCATTTAGTGAGTCGTTTAACGCCGGCAGATCTCTATGTTTTAGTGTATTTTTCTGAAAACGAATAAAAAAAAGACGAGTGCTGTGCATTTAGCCAACACAGCAAAATGATGAGTTGGTGTAATTATATATTGTTGCAAAGGGAAGACAACAGATTTATGTCCAATTCTATGCGGAAAGCAAAAAAATAACACAATGGCTATGTTCCGCATTCACTTAGTATGTTTCAAGAAAATTAAACGATTATTCTTATTTAGAATCTTCATCTTGATGTTTGTGGATCGTCGGCAGTTTTAGACGTATAATTAAAATCAACTGCAACATAAAACATTTTCAGCATTAGACATTCTCCTCTTTAGTTGCAGACGTGCAATCCTATCATTATCAACAAGGCCCAGGAATGCTTTTTCAAACTGAAAAGAAAGCTAGCTATTTTCGATATTAAGCTACAAGTTTGGATGTATGGGAGACGACAAATGTCGAAAAAGCTAAAATTTCATTCACTAACATCTCCTCAGACATAAAGATGAAAGTAATTGTCGTTTACAAGAGATAGTTTGTAAAATGAGCACCCCTATACATCTGTATATACTTCAAACTTGGTTTTACAATAATGACTTTAGCTTTCAAATGCATAAAACTGATAAGACACATATAGATACTGAACTCAATGTACAAATAAATAGTTACGACACGCTCCGATATAATGTTACTAAGCTTGGGCAAATATCGACTTTCAGATTAATAAAAGCCTAGATCTGTTAATTATCTCGACCGCTATCTTAAAAAGTTCATTTTCAAAAAGTTTTTGCGAACAACTAATCAGCTTTTTCAAATTTGCAACAGAAATTGAAACATGTTATATCTGAAGTAGTGATGCAGTAAATTAAGTCTTCGTTTGTTTATGTTCTATGACCATACTCATGATTGTTCGCGAGCCATGATTTTCCGGAGCATGCGGTCGGTCTTGGCTTTTCCAGAAAAGATTGGCATAACATAAACGTTGTATATTTTATGAAGACTTATAAGATCAAACCTTGATATTATTTCGGTACATGAATGCACACCATGAATTCCACAATTGACAATTAACCTTTATCATTGAAAACTGTGGCTATAGAGTTAAGTACAAAAAGTTAATTTACTATTGTAAAAATAGCATGACAATATACGTGACTATGAACGCTTACAAGTATATGATTGTTCAATTAGTCGTGGGAGTCGGACTATCTAATTTGAGGCTCTCACGTAGCTACGAGCTGGGCTCATTTCTTGCGTAAGGTGCATGCCCTTATTATATTTTCCACCTTCAACAAATTACAATGGTATGTATTAAAAAAAAGCGAAATGTAGGATTAAGTTAATTTGTTTACGCGACTTGTCTAAATACATACATAGGTTGACTCATAAAGCCTAATGCCTTATTAACTCAATAGTTTTTATCTAAGTGACTGATAACGTTAAGTAAATTGTTGCTAACAATTTCTGGCATTATTTTAATTTCATTCACAATTGTTATATTTCCATGTTCACGAAAAATTCTTCTAGAATATATGTTTGAGTGCACCCTTGTCAAATTTTTTGCAAAGCACCCCAGAGTGCACCGGTCTTTTGAAACAATAAGCGTCAAACTAAAAGCATTTGGAATAGGAAGCGTACGTCATTTAAGTGACAAATGTACGTGATGAATTAAAAATTATATATATGTTGTTTTCGTGAGGCAACTTTGTTGTCTCTATTCAACTCGATTTTTAGAAGTTTGTGACTTCTGAGCGACTACGATATGTCAATTAATCCACATAGTTATATGTCAGTGCAAGATTATACTATGACAAAAGCAGATTATTTTTTATCATACTGCCAAATTGTAGTTAATCATTTCTATAGTCTATCGGTGTCAGTTGAATAGTAAGCCACTGACGAATCTTTATCTTATTTGTATAATCTAAGGCAAGGGATGTTTTGTCATTTCTGTTTTGTAAGTTGATTATAGTATTCATATTGCGAAACTCTGGGCTGTTCTTCTCATTACCATGATTACGCAGATCCGAAGAAGTCTTCTGAGGTCATTTCCTGCGCTTTGTTTTGCAACTATACACAATAACGAACTGCCCATTTATACCACTATAAACATAATATAACAAAATATGCATGTGTACAAATTAAACCCTGCATTCACTTTAACATATTGTAGTGTATTCCATTTATTCCAGAGGTTAATTATAAGGCTCACATATAGTTCTTAGAACACAATGTATTATGAAATACGCCGTTTAAACATGACAAAATGTTTTAAAAGAACCCACGTCTTCTACAGAAACTGCTGATATCTTAATTAGATTTAAGATGACCAATAGTTTAAAAACTTGGAAAATTTTGAAGTTTGATGGATTGCTCATGAACGCTCGTTGCAAAAATATAAGTAATGCCAGCACATACGAATCCTTGAAACTTATGGCGGAAAGTAAGGTATTTCATACATCACTGATTCAATAAAATTTATATATATGTATTTATACTTGTTCTTGGACTTAACATACTCATTTCTCGTGAACCCACGATTTTCTTGACATCCTTGTTCCAAAATTTTCTTCACAGGACTGACATACAGTTAATTTAACGGCATTGTACACAACATAAACATTTTGTAAAAGATTCATAGTATTTCTTTCGGTACTTGAAAACACACCGACAATGTCACTTCAATTTGTGACTATTGTGTCAAATGTCTATAGAATTATTTCTAAAAAGGTATTTTTTGTACCTAAATTAGAACGTAAAAGAGTGTGAATGAATGATACAATTTATAATTGATTATTTGTATTGTATATACTCGGGAGACTGACTTTAACTATTTGAATGTCTCAACAAGTGGTCTCGACACGCAAACTGCATGGGCTCATTCTCCTTTGTTGCAGTTGTGCAATCATTAGCAATTTTTATCTTTTCACTCTTTGAAAATAAATCCCTAAAACACCCAATCAAATATGATTGCTTATTTAACTTTTCTATACAAATATATGGATTTTCAACCCAGCTTTTTAACATTTCACTTCAATGTAGCTCCTTCAATATTCTTGCTGGGAAGTCTATGCCTTCTGGCGTCTTTCTTATTTGTACAATACGAAAGCCGAAAGTAAATTATGGATATATTCTAATTGTTGTTTTGACTTAGATTACTATACTGTTTTCACTATCACTAACACATGGGTGTTGTTTTTAAAAGGAGACGAACAACTGAAACAAGAAGTATCGTGCCAACTGTAGAAAGAAACGTCGAACTGAAAGAATGAGGAAATGCTTCTGTTCTTGCCATGGTGACGAACTAAGAATTAGGATTTGTTTTTGCCCAGGAATGCTTTTTCGAACTGAAAAGAAAACTAGCTATTTTCGATATTAAGCTACAATTTTGGATGTATGGGAGACGACAAATGTCGAAAAAGCTAAAATATCATTCACTAAGATCTCATCGGACATAAAGATGAAAGCCATTGTCGTTTACAAGAGATAGTTTGTAAAAAGAGCACCCATATACATCTGTATATACTTCAAACTTGGTTTTACAATAATGACTTTAGCTTTCAAATGCATAAGAGTGATAAGACACATATAGATACTGAACTCAATGTACAAATAAATAGTTACGACACGCTCCGATATAATGTTATTAAGCTTGGGCAAATATCGACTTTCAGATTAATAAAAGCCTAGATCTGTAAATTATCTCGACCGTTATCTTAAAAAGTTCATTTTCAAAAAGTTTTTGCGAACAACTAATCAGCTTTTTCAAATTTGGAACAGAAATTGAAGCATGTTATATCTGAAGTAGTGATGGAGTAAATTAAATCTTCATTTGTTCATGTTCTATGACCATACTCATGATTGCTCGCGAGCCATGATTTTCCGGAGCATGTGGTCGGTCTTGGCTTTTCCAGAAAAGATTGGCATAACATAAACGTTGTATATTTTATGAAGATTTATAAGACCAAACCTTGATATTATTTCGGTACTTGAATGCACACTATGAATACCGCAATTGACAATTAACCTTTATCATTGAAAACTGTGGCTATAGAGTTAAGTACAAAAAGTTAATTTACTATTGTAAAAATAGCATGACAATATACGTGACTATGAACGCTTACAAGTATATGATTGTTCAATTAGTCGTGGAGTCGGACTATCTAATTTGAGGCTCTCACGTAGCTACGAGCTGGGCTCATTTCTTGCGTAAGGTGCATGCCCTTATTTTATTTTCCACCTTCAACAAATTACAATGGTATGTATTAAAAAAAAAAGCGAAATGTAGGATTAAGTTAATTTGCTTACGCGACTTGTCTAAATACATACATAGGTTGATTCTTAAAGCCTAGCCGCAGCATTAAACCATTTAAATGTAGCAATTAGCTATAAGCTTATAAAGGTTAATGCCTTATTAACTCAATAGTTTTTATCTAAGTGACTGATAACCTTAAGTAAATTGTTGCTAACAATTTCTGGCATTATTTTAATTTCATTCCACATTGTTATGTTCATTCCACATGACAAAAGGTTTTAAAAGAACCCACGTCTTCTACAATAACTGTTGATATCTTAATTATAAAATTTTAAATTTTGAAGTTGGATGGATTGCTTTATGAACGCTCGTTGCAAAAATATAAGTAATGCCAGCACGTACGAATCCTTGAAACATATGACGGAAGGTGAAGTATTTTATACATCACTGATGCAATAAAATTTATATATATGTATTTATACTTGTTCTTGGACTTAACATACTCATTGCTCATGAACCCACGATTTTCTTGACATCCTTGTTCCAAAATTTTCTTCACAGGACTGACATACAGTTAATTTAACGGCGTTGTACACAACATAAGCATTTTGGAAAAAATTGATAGCATTTCTTTCGGTACTTGGAAACACACAGACAATGTCACTTCAATTTGTGACTATTGTGTCAAATGTCTATAGAATTATTTCTAAAAAGGTATTTTTTGTACCTAAATTAGAACGTAAAAAAGTGTGAATGAATGATAACAGTTTATAATTGATTATTTGTATTGTATATACTCGGGAGACTGACTTTAACTATTTGAATGTCTCAACAAGTGGTCTCGACACGCAAGCTGCATGGGCTCATTCTCCTTTGTTGCAGTTGTGCAATCTATTAGCAATTTTTATCTTTTCACTCTTTCAAAATAAACCCCTAAAACACCCAATCAAATATGATTGCTTATTTAACTTTTCTATACAAATATATGGATTTTCAACCCAGCTTTTTAACATTTCACTTCAATGTAGCTCCTTCAATATACTTGCTGGGAAGTCTATGCCTTCTGGCGTCTTTCTTATTTGTACAATACGAAAGCCGAAAGTAAATTATGAATATATTCTAATTGTTGTTTTGACTTAGATTACTATACTGTTTTAACTATCACTAACACATGGGTGTTGTTTTTAAAAGGAGACGAACAACTGAAACAAGAAGTATCGTGCCAACTGATAAAATAAACGTCGAACTGAAAGAATGAGGAAATGTTTCTGTTCTTGCCATGGTGACGAACGAAGAATTAGGATTTGTTTTTGTTGTTAGACAAACATGCAAGTCTGTTGCGCTGTTTTACTTTCTCTATTCAATACCTTTTTTAGAATTTCGTACTTCCGTAGACAACGCACCTCTATCATTAAAATTTACATGTATTCAAACATTTTGGTTGCTTGCCATGACAAGTGAAATATGTTGTTATGGCATAAGCTTTTGAAATTGCTAATTTGAAATGAAGCATTCCTACAGTCTACTAAAGAATAAGTTACAAGAGCTCCCGCTGTCCGTTGAATAGTAATCCACTGCACAAAACCCTATTCTTATTCATACATCCCTTAGATGTCAGTTCTGTCTTGATTGATATGTCATTTCATAACGATGATTACGTAAATCCGAAAAAGGTCATTTCCTGCGCTTTGTTGAGCAACAAAACAATAATCTATATTGCTGCCTGAAACTAAGCTTCAAACTTACCACTTATTTATACTATGCCGTATCTTAAGGATCGAAACAGGAGCTGTACTTTACCTTGAATTTTTAAGTTATCAGTAGTTTTTATTTTTAGACTAAATATTAGACATAATACTATGTGGTAACTTGATGTATCTTATACCGACGTGAATGGCATGTATCTCTTTGTCAGTTGTCAGTTCTTAGACTTCTTTTTGCTAATATTACATTTATTATTGGGAGAAAGGATCGAGAATCTCTTCTTTGTGAAAGATTCTTTTACATTCAAACTAAGTGGTAAAAGAGTTTTGTATTTGCTGATCAATTTTAATCTCACGTTTTTGCTTCAGAGCTGCTGAAGCAGTTCTCACGTGTAAGGGGAAAATATATCGTGATTAAATAGGATCACATAATTGGCTGCTAAAGGAAGATTAAAGTTTAAGGTTTGGTCTTCAATCTGGAATATTGGGAAACGCAATATTGTTAGAGCAAGTCAATTCAAAAAAAGAAATTGTTTCAATTAAAACTTTAGTCGTAATTCCAAATCTTTTAGAGAATGAGTCTTTTCATAATCATCATTTATTTAGAATATTTACAGAGACTATATATTGACAAGCCTCAACCAACTTTCTTACATAAGCAACATCACATGTGAATTATCGTCAATAACATTTTCACATTATTATCAGTGACGCTAGCAGGATCTTAATTTGGAGGGCGCAAAACACCCCAAATTACCACTGACGTTTTCAAATTTCGTATATAAAGACCTTGGAAATCAGCCCCCCCCGTTGTCGGTACCACTGATTATTATGAAATGCTACTTATTAACTTTGCCCAATCAACTTTTGGATAAGGTAAAGTTAAAGTGTAGACAAATGCTCTTAATTAAAGATAAATTCATCGTCAATGTGTGTTCAATGTTCATATGAAAACCAATTAAACTCCGATATAGTTGAAGAACTTTGCGCGCTCAGGCATATTTGTGTGCTGAACATAAGATCCATGATAAAAAAACAATTCTCTTTGTATCGCAGAAATTTGTTGATCTCCTTCAGCAAATTAGTTTGCACTCAGATAAAGGAACTTCGATACTTGTAAACAATCTTCAATGACTTTACAGTTTCATCGAATAACAACTGTACCTGTCTCAAACCAACTCTCATTCTGAATAACTAGTTTAACCCATATTTATACAAATGGTTTCGTCACGTATGAAATGATAACTTTCGTGCAAATGACATCAAAATATGAGTTAGTAGATTACATGCTAATAATTGGGAAACTATAAGTACATACTTGTTTATCATTTTAAGTAAAATGAAACTACAATTATAACACGCAAATACAACTTAATAAAACACGCCTTAATTTTATCGAGCAATTAAAGAATAAATTGATACATTAGTAACAGATTGCACCACTTTGTTCAATAATCTGTTTCGTGCAGAAATCTACGCGTTCGCAGATGTATAATTGTAAAGTTAAGATAACTCCTCATACCGACCGTGTTCATTAAATGCAGTGCTGAAAGATACGGCTGATTTCCTAATTATCCTAATCAATGTAGGATTTTGAAAAAGTACTCCAACCAAACATTCTTCAAAAATTTACTTGATGCTTGTATGAATCTACTATAGCCATATGAAATTTATGACAGAATGAGAAGCATTTCATGTTTTAATCATGGCATCAGAAAATATGCTTGTAAGTATTTTTGAATATGATTTTTTGTTACCCGTAATGCTCTTGCCTGCATTATATCAACGGCTAAAGTTGTCGAAACATCAGCCAACAACAACGAAAACAGTCCTTCTCAGGACTATACCAACCTGGACGATCTACATTTACAAACATGTAAAATTTTTACACTTTAATTTAGTAGGATTTTTTATCAGGATAAAACAAATATCATAAAATATTTTATTAAAAAATAGCTAATCTTAGCTACAAGTTTAGTTTGGAAACATTTTACCTGCCTTCTCTAACATCGTTTAAATTTTTTTTTATTATTTTTCAATTGCGACTAACCTCCTGGGAATTATGAAACATGACGCAACATACAAATATCACCTATACTGAAAAATAAGCTAGCTCAGTATGATTTTTAATCATTAGTATGGTTTTTCTTTTCTGAAAAAAAATCTTTGATACTATAACACGTCTTTTGCTTAATTTGAGAAGCATAAGAAAAATCTGAAGAACTATGCGTGCATCTTTCTCCGTGGAATTCATTCCATGCCCTCAAGATTGTTGCAATTATTTTAATTCATGATCGTTCAGCCTCTTTAGTTGCAGACGTGCAATCCTATCATTATCAACAAGGCCCAGGAATGCTTTTTTAAAGTGAAAAGAAAACTAGCTATTTTCAATATTAAGCTACAAGTTTGGATGTATGGGAGACGACAAATGTTGAAAAAGCTAAAATATCATTCACTAAGATCTCATCGGACATAAAAATGAACGACATTGTCGTTTACAAGAGATAGTTTGTAAAATGAGCACCCCCTATACATCTGTATATACTTCAAACTTGGTTTTACAATAATGACTTTAGCTTTCAAATGCATAAGACTGATAAGACACATATAGATACTGAACTCAATGTACAAATAAATAGTTACGACACGCTCCGATATAATGTTACTAAGCTTGGGCAAATATCGACTTTCAGATTAATAAAAGCCTAGATCTGTAAATTATCTCGACCGCTATCTTAAAAAGTTCATTTTCAAAAAGTTTTTGCGAACAACTAATCAGCTTTTTCAAATTTGCAACAGAAATTGAAGCATGTTATGTCTGAAGTAGTGATGCAGTAAATTAAGTCTTCGTTTGTTTATGTTCTATGACCATACTCATGATTGCTCGCGAGCCATGATTTTCCGGAGCATGCGGTCGGTCTTGGCTTTTCCAGAAAAGATTGGCATAACATAAACGTTGTATATTTTATGAAGACTTATAAGATCAAACCTTGATATTATTTCGGTATTTGAATGCACACCATGAATTCCACAATTGACAATTAACCTTTATCATTGAAAACTGTGGCTATAGAGTTAAGTACAAAAAGTTAATTTACTATTGTAAACATAGCATGACAATATACGTGACTATGAACGCTTACAGTACATGATTGTTTAATTACTCGTGGAAGTCGGACTATCTAATTTGAGGCTCTCACGTAGCTACGAGCTGGGCTCATTTCTTGCGTAAGGTGCATGCCCTTATTATATTTTCCACCTTCAACAAATTACAATGGTATGTATTAAAAAAAAGCGAAATGTGTGATTAAGTTAATTTGCTTACACGACTTGTCTAAATACATACATAGGTTGACTCATAAAGCCTTATTAACTCAATAGTTTTTATCTAAGTGACTGATAACCTTAAGTAAATTGTTGCTAACAATTTCTGGCATTATTTTAATTTCATTCACAATTGTTATATTTACATTTTCACGAAAAAATTCTGCTAGAATATATGTTTGAGTGCTCCCTTGTCAAATTTTTTACAAAGCACCCCAGAGTGCACCGGTCTTTTGAAACAACAAGCGTCAAACTAAAAGCATTTGGAATAGGAAGCGTACGTCATTTAAGTGACAAAATGTACGTGATGAATTAAAAATTATATATATGTTGTTTTCGTGAGGCAACTTTGTTGTCTCTGTTCAACTCGATTTTTAGAAGTTTGTGACTTCTGAGCGACTACGATATGTCAATTAATCCACATAGTTATATGTCAGTGCAAGATTATACTATGACAAAAGCAGATTATTTTTTATCATACTGCCAAATTGTAGTTAATCATTTCTATAGTCTATCGGTGTCAGTTGAATAGTAAGCCACTGACGAATCTTTATCTTATTTGTATAATCTAAGGCAAGGGATGTTTTGTCATTTCTGTTTTGTAAGTTGATTATAGTATTCATATTGCGAAACTCTGGGCTGTTCTTCTCATTACCATGATTACGCAGATCCGAAGAAGTCTTCTGAGGTCATTTCCTGCGCTTTGTTTTTCAACTATACACAATAACGAACTGCCCATTTATACCACTATAAACATAATATAACAAAATATGCATGTGTACAAATTAAACCCTGCATTCACTTTAACATATTGTAGTGTATTCCATTTATTCCAGAGGTTAATTATAAGGCTCACATATAGTTCTTAGAACACAATGTATTATGAAATACGCCGTTTAAACATGACAAAATGTTTTAAAAGAACCCACGTCTTCTACAGTAACTGCTGATATCTTAATTAGATTTAAGATGACCAATAGTTTAAAAACTTGGAAAATTTTGAAGTTTGATGGATTGCTCATGAACGCTCGTTGCAAAAATATAAGTAATGCCAGCACATACGAATCCTTGAAACTTATGGCGGAAAGTGAAGTATTTCATAAATCACTGATGCAATAAAATTTATATATATGTATTTATACTTGTTCTTGGACTTAACATACTCATTGCTCGTGAACCCACGATTTTCTTGACATCCTTGTTCCAAAATTTTCTTCACAGGACTGACATACAGTTAATTTAACGGCATTGTACACAACATAAACATTTTGTAATAAATTCATAGTATTTCTTTCGGTACTTGAAAACACACCGACAATGTCACTTCAATTTGTGACTATTGTGTCAAATGTCTATAGAATTATTTCTAAAAAGGTATTTTTTGTACCTAAATTTAGAACGTAAAAAAGTGTGAATGAATGATAATAGTTTATAATTGATTATTTGTATTGTATATACTCGGGAGACTGACTTTAACTATTTGAATGTCTCAACAAGTGGTCTCGACACGCAAGCTGCATGGGCTCATTCTCCTTTGTTGCAGTTGTGCAATCTATTAGCAATTTTTATCTTTTCACTCTTTCAAAATAAACCCCTAAAACACCCAATCAAATATGATTGCTTATTTAACTTTTCTATACAAATATATGGATTTTCAACCCAGCTTTTTAACATTTCATGCACTTCAATGTAGCTCCTTCAATATACTTGCTGGGAAGTCTATGCCTTCTGGCGTCTTTCTTATTTGTACAATACGAAAGCCGAAAGTAAATTATGAATATATTCTAATTGTTGTTTTGACTTAGATTACTATACTGTTTTAACTATCACTAACACATGGGTGTTGTTTTTAAAAGGAGACGAACAACTGAAACAAGAAGTATCGTGCCAACTGATAAAATAAACGTCGAACTGAAAGAATGAGGAAATGTTTCTGTTCTTGCCATGGTGACGAACGAAGAATTAGGATTTGTTTTTGTTGTTAGACAAACATGCAAGTCTGTTGCGCCGTTTTACTTTCCCTATTCAACACCTTTTTTAGAATTTCGTACTTCCGTAGACAACGCACCTCTATCATTAAAATTTACATGTATTCAAACATTTTGGTTGCTTGCCATGGCAAGTGAAATATGTTGTTATGGCATAAGCTTTTGAAATTCCCAATTTGAAATGAAGCATTCCTACAGTCTACTAAAGAATAAGTTACAAGAGTTCCCGCTGTCCGTTGAATAGTAATCCATTGCACTAAACCCTATTCTTATTCATACATCCCTGTGCCTTAGATGTCAGTTCTGTCTTGATTGATATGTCATTTCATAACGATGATTACGTAAATCCGAAAAAGGTCATTTCCTGCGCTTTGTTGAGCAACAAAACAATAATCTATATTGCTGCCTGAAACTAAGCTTCAAACTTACCACTTATTTATACTATGCCGTATCTTAAGGATCGAAACAGGAGCTGTACTTTACCTTGAATTTTTAAGTTATCAGTAGTTTTTATTTTTAGACTAAATATTAGACATAATACTATGTGGTAACTTGATGCATCTTATACGACGTGAATGGCATGTATCTCTTTGTCAGTTGTCAGTTCTTAGACTTCTTTTTGCTAATATTACATTTATTATTGGGAGAAAGGATCGAGGATCTCTTCTTTGTGAAAGATTCTTTTACATTCAAACTAAGTGGTAAAAGAGTTTTGTATTTGCTGATCAATTTTAATCTCACGTTTTTGCTTCAGAGCTGCTGAAGCAGTTCTCACGTGTAAGGGGAAAATATATCGTGATTAAATAGGATCACATAATTGGCTCGTGTGCTAAAGGAAGATTAAGGTTTAAGGTTTGGTCTTCAATCTGGAATATTGGGAAACGCAATATTGCTAGAGCAAGTCAATTCAAAAAAAGAAATTGTTTCAATTAAAACTTTAGTCGTAGTTCCAAATCTTACAGAGGATGAGTCTTTTCATAATCATCATTTATTTAGAATATTTACAGAGACTATATATTGACCTCAATATATACCCTGACTATATATTGACCTCAACTCTCTTACATAAGCAACATCACATGTGAATTATCGTCAATAACATTTTCACATTATTATCAGTGGCGCTAATTTGTTGATCTCCTTCAGCAAATTAGTTTGCACTCAGATTCGTTTTACACTTTTGAGATTTAATAATAAAGAACTTCGATACTTATAAACAATCTTCAACGACTTTACAGTTTCATCGATTAACAACTGTACCTGTCTCAAACCAACTATCATTCTGAATAACTAGTTTAACCCGTCACGTCACGTATCATACGTTTCGTCACGTATGAAATGATAACTTTCGTGCAAATGACATCAAAATATGAGTTAGTAGATTACATGCTAATAATTGGGAAACTATAAGTACATACTTGTTTATCACTTTAAGTAAAATGAAACTACAATTATAACACGCAAATACAACTTAATACAACACGCCTTAATTTTATCGAGCAATTAAAGAATAAATTGATACATTAGTAACAGATTGCACCACTTTGTTCAATAATCTGTTTCGTGCAGAAATCTACGCATTCGTGTTCATTAAATGCAGTGCTGAAAGATACGGCTGATTTCCTAATTATCCTAATCAATGTAGGATTTTGAAAAAGTACTCCAACCAAACATTCTTCAAAAATTTACTTGATGCTTGAATGAATCTACTATAGCCATATGAAATTTATGACAGAATGAGAAGCATTTCATATTTTAATCATGGCATAAGAAAATGTGCTTGTAAGTATTTTTGAATATGATTGTTCGTTACCCGTAATGCTCTTGCCTGCATTATGTCATTCATTGCTTTTCCAGTAGATGTATATGACATGAAGACTTTGAATCAAACTTAATTTGCTACAAAAAGAGAACTGAATGACAAAAACAATAGCACTATAACTTTTTTGACTGGGTAAAATGTGGCACGTGTCTGAAACGGGAAATGTGGCACGTAATAAATCGTGACTATGAATACTAACAAGTTTATAATTGTGCAGCAGGATGCTTGGTTTTCTTGCTAGAAAATTCTTACATACCAGCACGTTTCAAATAAAAGCTGTAGAGTTTATCAATTATGATTTGCTATTGCTAGCAAATGAAGTAGATGAAGACATCAATTGCTCAATGTATGGATAGCTTTCTTTTCATTGGTCGATGTGTACCTTGTCTTTTTTATTTATATTCTTTCCAAGTCTTACAGTGCTTTGAGTTCCAATTCCTTTGGTCAGCTTTCCCAACCAGTGTTGTAGCTAGCTACTTGATATCAATAATGTAGCTTTTATTTTCAGTTTTGATAGTGCCTGCATTCCTTTACCATTAGAAAGACACATTTCACCATTTCATTCATGTTGTATGTATTAATCCTGGCACATTCTATTTTCATCCTTATTTATCCATCAATGTTGTCAAGCATTCTTTGTCTATTCTTGTTGTGTATATTTTTGATGCTTATCTGTTCCTAACAGATGCCATTGTGATTTCTTTCCGTCTTTTAACTTTTTATGATTGATTTTTAGCCTTTTCTTCTTCAAGATCTCTTGGCATTTTAAACGTCTTAGTTCGCTGTGCGTCACAATCTTGCGCGTCATACTCAAAAAGTAAGCTTATTAACCTTATTTTCTTTCAGCAAACAATGATTAATCGGATTTCAGAGAGAGGCTTATCATTCATGATTTTTAATTCTCTTAATAAATTTATATTCTTTTAATAAATTTATTTTGATTTATTTTATTCGTTACTTTTATAGGTGACCCACCTTTTCATAAAACCTAAATTTTCCAAATACTAATTTTAAATATTTAATGTCAAAGAAAATACTAATTTTAGATATTTAATGTCATAGATCTGTGGGTAGTGCTAAAATCTCCCTACAATATAGCTAGCTTTGAAATTGTGTTCTGTTGTGGATTGAGGTATTTATATCATATATCGATTTTTGTGGTATTGTCTTGTTGCTATGGTGATAATTAATAGTGCTAAAACCTTAGAGTAATAGAGTTCACTGGTATGAGCCCATATTATCGATCATCCTACGTCCATAGTATCGGCTACTTGCCTAAAGAGCTTGCAGATAAACCTCAAATGTTTTCCACACATTGTCAAGCTCAGCGCTTTCCAGGAGATTGATAAAACTGTAAACTTCACATATTTAGTCTGAGTTCAATCATACTTCTACTAAATTTGAGCATGTAAAAACTTTTCATTTATTTTTCTGGTACCAAAGCAAAAATCTCAATATTTGTTTGAATGATGATTGAAGGAAAAAATATGATCGCATATTTAGTGAGTAGTGAGCTCAGAGCTGACTCGCAGATTTACCTTTGATGGATTAATTTTAAAAACTAGGTCCATGGTGGAGTCTGTAAAGGCTTATATACAAATTGTGGCATTTTCAAGTTCTTTTAATTAGAATGTTTTCATCGAAGTGCAGTATCAAGTAGTTGCACGTACAGCAAATTGAAACATATTATCTTGTGGAGACAATGGGTTCTAAATAATTGGTAATGGCTAGCCGCAATATAGTGTTACGTTTCCCCTCGTGTGATTTTTCATAAGGGGAACACCGTCCCCCCCCTTGCAAAACATCACTGAATAGAGCTGTAATTTTACCATTCTTTCCTTGGACTGGTACCTTTTTCATGTTAATTACCAGCTAGGAGCTACGATTGAAAAAATTATCTATGGGTTTCAAAAGCAGGCTGAGGCCACAGTATTTGATTGTGCAGTCAGATTTAAAAACGGCGTTCCGTCATTATTCGCGTTTTTGTTCATACTTTCTGCAACAATTTCCAGTTCTTCCTTATAATAAAATCCTCTTTCATCCACATATAGTTGTCCCATACCAATATGTTCAAATTCAAAATTAAAAGTTGACAGTTGACTTTCAGATTTTTTAAAATAAAACAAACAACCCTTTAACGGACCATGGTGAAATGCAACAGCCAATCATTTCACAAGAAAGGCAAGGACCCACTTGCTGCATTTTTGTAGAAATTAATCAAGCTGCTTGAACCATCTGAATTTTTTATTGCTCCTCTTACTGTGAAAAAACTTTTCGTGAAAGTGTGCATGAGAGGCCAAACCATTGTTATACACAGTTTTTGGATCGTCGACTAATATTTTCTAAATGTATTTATTATTTAGAGAAATGGAACAATTATATCAGTTAATGCTGTTATATTCATTGTTATATTTGACTAATATTTATCAAATTGAACATTAATGGAATTTTAATGAAACGATTAATTACATCGAGAAGCAAATGCGTCATAATGTTAATAAACCGACATGTCAGTCAATTAATACTCATTTGTACTTTATATTGCCCAGATCCCGAATTTGCTTTTTCTGAAAACCGTCAGATTTTTTGTTCATAAATTACATTAAATATCAGAAGGCAAAGAAACAGCTTTGTACATACATATTCTACATCAGAAATGGAGAAGTAGCGTTTCATAAAGTTATCAATAAATTCATCTTTGTGAACGGAAATTCAATTATACGAAAGGTTTTATTGACTACACCTAGAGATTATCTGCATAGTTGTACGTCTGAAACGCAAATTCTGACGTTGTATCTTAAAAAGTGGCTATCGAAATTTGGAGCAGAACGTTTCTTACTGACTTTCTTTCCGATAGAAATTTGCTTATATAAACCAAACACTTATTTCAAGTGGTATTTGAAGTATTTGGAATCATCCAATTTAATGATCGAGCCAGGACAATGTCCGTTTATGTCGGACAATGTTATATTCGAAGACGAATTTCAATTGTTATGTAAAATTCCATGGTGTCATAAGTTTTTAATGCCTAAAGCATATAGCAATTACCAGATTTACAGGCACGACATACTTTGCTCCATCATATCTCATATATCAGGACACTTTGATCGGTATTTTAAGATCCACGTAGAAAGTCTTATTTATTGTCTTGAGATCTTCGGTCAAACGTCTAACGTATATGTAATTTGTGAAATGGGACTATGTGGTGAGTGCATGCTCAATATAATGACCTTCTTTATCTCATAAGTTTTTAGCCCACCTTGAAAGATGAACGATAACCTTTTCTGTCAGCGCGATGACTTTCATGTCTTACAATGATAGGTTAAATCATGACCGCTGAAAATAGGCCAAAAGATGTGGACTCAAAATATAAATTTAACGTCATCCTACAAAGCCGTTTCGGTGATAATTTATCATATATGCCTTTGGGTCACTGAATGTTTGAATTTTAAAAACTTTTTCTGAAGCTCTGCGAAAAGTAAATTTAGCACTCGACCCAGTGAGGTATGTTTATTTAACAGCCATTCGATTTCTTTAAAATTACAACTGAAATTTGTGTCATTGCACACCGAGTTTTTCAGCATTAAACATTCTCCTCTTTCAGTTTTCGTTTTCTATAAAAGAAAAGGCATTTTTCTTTTGCTATATGCGATCTACATTTAATTTATTAATTTTTGTTGATAACTGTTAATGAAGCCGATCTAAAAACCTTTCTTGTATAATAAGCTACCAGAACGATCTCGTCTCTAATTCATACTTTGCAAATACTCTCAAATCCATACTATTTTGAACGTCAAATTATCATCTCGTCCACACTGGTTGCGAATTTCTAAGATAAAGGCATTTCTGTTTTCAAATTCTTCATGCAATTTTGAGAATACACAAACCTTAACTTGGCTGCATTTGACGTGCTATTTAACATTAACATAACGTTGAAGGCAATGCACGATCTTCGTGCAACGCACTCCAGAAAGCTTTTCACTCACTTTTGTGACATTTATGTCACGACCACGATGATTTTTTATTTCAACCAACATAAGGAGGCGTGTCTTTGTCACGAAATATTTGCCACCATCTTAGGATAGTGAGCTTATCGCTAACTGCGTCGCTAATTCAAAACTTATGTAGTTATACATTTTCCATAGCACGCCAGCTTTGACAACTCGAGCTTGGCGCTAAGCTTGTATAAGAGGTTTCTCGACCGTGCAAGCAAATGAAGATTCTCTGGCCTTCTATATATGGTCTGAGCAAATACTTCCCTCTACATATATCTTACTGCGTGTCAAGACGGGTCGTATCTCTTGAGAGAAATGGATGAGAAGGCGAAGAAGACATGTTCAAAAGATTCGTTCAAGCAGCGTTTTAAATCACCACGCAAGACAACATCGCACTCTCGGCGAATGAGTGCGAATCAAAAAGAACGACGCCGGACTCAGAATATTAACACTGCATTTGCAGAGTTGCGCCGATGCATACCAAATGTCCCTCAGGATACGAAGCTGTCGAAAATCAGAACGTTGCGTTTGGCTACAAGTTACATTAGCTATCTTCAGGAAGTACTCGAATCCGAAACGACACATAGAGAAACAGCATCACCGTCCTTGTCGAGGAGTGAAAGAATGACAGATATCCACTCAACCGGACGTTACAAGGCCGCTATTATTGCAGTAAAGGTATGATCAATGGAACCTGTTGTTCAGGATACGATATTGTCGGGAAAATAGTGTGTAAAAATTGGTTTAGCCATTTGGTAGCCTATAGGTTGTTTCAATTCTTCAATTCTGCTTAGATTAAAAAACTCCATGAACTCAAATGAGCTATAACTATATATTTTCTTCTTCTGAAAAGTTGTGTTGAAATGAAATTTTCTTTCATGAAAGTAATGCAAAAATAGCGCAAACTTCAAAAATAAAACGTCGTCGATAATAATAAAGAAGTGCAATCCATATCTATGTCGATATAGCTGAAGAATATGTATGAAAATTTATGAAAAAAGTTTTATGTTGCTCAATTGAGCTATCTCAAAAATGGCCTATTGAATGACAGCATGTTCCATGTTAAAATTTAAAGTAAAAACTAATTTATAATTCTGTGACGCATCATATGCAAATTTCTGTTTGTTCAATATTATTTCGTCTTACATTCAAAACTCTTTTCGCAAAGCCATAAATGTTTTAATTTCGAAATGAGAAAAACAATCTTTTCTTTGACAATAAAAGCTTAAGAACACACAAAGTTTTCCGTGCTTTACTTTAAATATGCCTTCACGCCTATGGCTATGTTGCTATATTACTTCTTTAGCGACAACATGATAGCGGTTGCCAGCGCCAATGGCAGCCACTTGAAAACTTAAGATCGCCAGACTAATTTGAATCAGAGTTATGTCCTAGATGACAACCTACTTTGCTTAAATGGCTCAAAGTTTTTCTACTTTCTTTTCCATTCAAGTCGATATTTGTTCATTTGAAACAATTCAAGTTGCATTATGCTTTGACACTTTAAGGCATAGGCTGGGCTTGCAATTAACAGTTAATCGATTTTTGTTTTGTTTGACAACAACAGTCCTAAGTCATTAGTAAATGTCCAACAAGAAGTCATTTGCAAAGTATAGAGGCCAAATATGCTTTTGTTTTAAGTCATGCCAATGAAATTAAAGAATCTTCTCAAATAAAATACGGTTTCGCATGTTGAAATTTATATCACATGTGTATTCTGCCAATAACATTTGTTTGTCAAAATTAACATAAAAAGCGTCAGAGGAGACAACGTCAAGAATCCGTAACATAAACTTTTCTTCGTGGTTTGGCGTATGTTAATCCGTCTTGATTTAAAGTAGCTAAAACTTTTGGGATTGCAATATGAATAGCTGTAGTTGTACGGTAAACAAAGTGTACAGTTTCACAAACAAAAACGTTATCTGATTTTAATTTCCGTCTTTGTTCAAGCTGTTGCTAATTCACGTATCTATTTGTCTCGCAAAATAGTTCACAAGAATACATTAAACAATTTTTTTCAAACTGTAAATTTACGATTATTCCAGGGAAAGTGTGAATGTCAAAATTTTTGACACCTTATAATAGTGAGAGCTTAAGTTGCGAATGGTCAATGATGCAAACGCGACTGAAAACGACCTCTATTGATCGTAAATATGTTTATATTTAAATTTTCTTAGTGGCAGAGCTTTCTTTGGGAAAAAGAACACATAGCTTTCATCCTCATATCGGTTTGAGATCAAACATTTTCAGCAGTTTGGTGTTGGTCATGCTAAGTATGTTAATCCCCATATTCCATGTTATAATCAATAACCATGTGCTGTTCGGACTTTATTTCCCCATTTTCTCTTTTTCTATCCTATATAAACTATATATCAAAGAATAATGCTTTGCATGCATTGCAAAAGTCCAACAATCATTACATGTTTGACATATTTGCAAAAGACGAGATAATTCACTATGCATGTTCTTTGTATACGAAGAGCGATTAAGTGTTCCGTTTTCTACGTGAACCAAATCATAACTTCTAAAAATTGGAAAGTTTTTCAGCTTTCTTAATTTTAATACGATTTCTTCTCCTAATTTTTGAAACTTTTTAAAAGAGAACTTTAGGTTAGGCCATTAACAGTGTGACATGCATCTCTTATTAATTTAATAAATTGATAAATTCACCATCAACACCTTTAGTGTCAATATATCGAAAATGCCTTTCAAGAAAAAATGGAACATATCGAGTAGCCCTTATTGGACAAGGCAATAATGAGAGAGACTGAGTGCGAAACATATTATGTATTGCATATTACAGTTTGTTGTTTGTTTAAATGAAACAGGACGAAGATTGGGAGGAAAGACGCGATCTTGGATCTTGGCCTCACTATTATTCTTGGAAGTATAATCAAGAAGACAGTTCTTCGCAGTCGTAGCAATGCTTTAATTGGTTTTCCTTCAATCCGATGAAGAAGTATCATTCAGTGGTAACATGATATATATCACACAAAATGCACGAGAGTACAACGTGATTTCAAATCGTCTTCGATTATTGCTTATGTTAGGTTCATAGGTGATTTTCGCTGTTGATGGAGTGATTGATTTGGAATAATCTTACTTATTTGCCTGACGAGCTCATGATGGTGCAAGTATTTATTGTGATTTTAATGTTCCAGCCGGGGATTTGTAATCCTTTGTGAACATAATGTGTAAAAGTGTTAATTGTTTGTACTATATAAAGACATGTAATATATGTGTTTCAAGCCACTTGCTATTGGCTATGAATATAAACAAGTGTACATACATCATGGTAAAAGTCGTTTAAAGCTTTTTTAACAGACAATTTTATTGATTGACATGCCCCTGAGAAATGTAAAAAAACGGCGTCATTTAATCATTTGAGGGTTGCTTGGCGCCGCATGTTGATATACTATAAACACAAAAAAGCACTCTGTGACATGCGTTATATTTTAACATATACAGCCAAACTGTGCCCGTTTTCAAGAAAAATAATTATTTTTAAATTACTCATTCGACATTTTCGTATGGAATGTATGGTTCTTGCTGCTAAAGTATGTTTTGTTGGCTATTTTCGTTCATTCGAGAAACAGTTTTTTCACCTTAAGAACTCCAGCCTTATACACTCAACAATTACGTATCTTAATTCCAATACATAACTCTGTTAAACTTCTATTGTTGCAACCCAATGCGAAATGGTGAAGACCGAATAGTCTATGAACACACTTCTGAATTTGATCAGTTTTTTTACCCTCTTCCTGTTGCTTTATCAAATATTTTGTTTTTGTTTCATTTCAAAACAAGTTTAAATTAACTGTAGCTGCCACTGACCAAAGCTAAAGTTAGACCAACATCTAGGGTTGAGTGATATTTAACCATTCTCATCATATCAATATGTTTCCCGAGGGAAACTCATTCATGCAAACTTTTCAAATTCCGTTGTTTACCTATTGAGGCTCATTCTAGTTCTCCTTGGCGCCATCGTACAAATTCGTAGAATGCATATAAGATGACCATACAGTCTTCACCTTTACATCATTCAGTTTTGAATTTTTGATGAATTTCACTGTGGAGTAAAAAATATAATTGCATGCATGTCTCCGTCTTTCATCTTTCCTGCATAAACATGAGTACGACTGTTGGTGCTTCAAAATTAATAAATTGCATCATCATCATTATTATCGCCTCATTTGTACGCTTCCAAGAATTGCTTGTGACTTTTGTGTATTTCCCTGCCAATAGTTACACCTATAATGACAAGGTTTTTTGATGGTTCAAACTCATATTTTAAAGAAGCAGAATTTTGTTCACCGACATATTTTCCCACACCACTAGTACAATGACCAAAAATGTAGGTATTTGTTATTACCTCATTCAGTTTTTCTTTAGAACAGGAAATTATTGGACTTTCCAGAATACAGTAAAAAATTATCGTTTGGCGTATGTATATATGTTGCTGAAGTCATGGCAGTTAAGCACTTTTGGTATTGGTTGTAGCTAATTAAGTGTTAGAAGAGTTCATAATGCACACAAACGAATTTTCTTTCTTATGATACGAATGCCTTTGCCCGAAGTACTTTCTGCGTCGTGCAGTTTTCATGATATACAGAATTGTATCTTATAAAAGGTATTATAGTAAGCTTCCAAAGTGAGAAATCGTTAGTATTTCTACAAATGTTATTATATGACGTCAATTATTATCTTACGTGTTATTATAATTGCTTGAGAGGTTTAGATATCAACTTTTTCATTTTAAATATTATGCAGTCTTTAGAATATTTGTAAAGACAGTGACCATCACATTAATAACTACTGTTGATAATATTTTATGGTAAGGTGAAATTTGGCTCCAGCAAACCATCTTCCAAATGCATGACCAGGATGGATACGGCTAACGCTGTGTTGTTTATTTAAATACTTGACTGCCATTCTTTCTGTGATCATTTACCAATATCAATACATAGACTTCCATGGAAATGAGCTTTCCTTAATTGACGTCGTTGAATAGTAGTTTTGGAAATGAACAAAAACACTAATTTCAAGTTTACAAAAGCAAACAAAGAATTTGATCTTGTGATTAATCACATGTTGTTCCTTTCTCAATAATATGCTGCAGTTTAACCCATGAGGACAGATGATTTTACATTGACGTCTATTGAAGTAAATCTAGGCGTGTATAAATTCTTGGTAGAGAGACATCTAGCATTATTTGGAAGTCTAGAAGAAATGAGTTGTAATTAAAGAACTACGAAGAAGAATATAAAAAGGATTTCTTCAGTTTTCTGTCATTTATTACAAAGTTAACAGTTAGTCTTAGAATACTCATGTAATAGAACTTAGCGTATCAATCATTCACTAACAGAATGAAGCTGCTTAACCAGCATGGAAAAGTTCATTATGATGTTATACTTGCCTTCTTTATTCTCAAAATGACAATGCTTGTGATAGGATGGCTATTAGAATCGACTTGGCTTTAATTAGTCTGGACAAACTATAAGTTTGAACTTCAGATGATTCTATTCTTAAAGTACATAGTTGCAAGAATATTGGTGTCCATTGACTTGAAATACATTTGTCGTGATTTAAAATTTGTTTGCAATATGATGCTGCGTGCAGGCTGTTGTTATAAATTGATCGAAATATACTTATATAGTGTACTAAGAGATTCAAGACGCAAAATATTTTCCCATTATGTTTATGTCCTAGCATTTGAAGCCCTTGATGAAATTTACAATTTTCTTTTATTCTTTTTATAGAAAAATCCTATTAGTTATCACAGCACTATGATTATGGATCTTTACTCTATACCGACGCCAATCGTTTCAATTACTTTCAAATTTCAATAGTTTTTGTCGTTTATGTGTGATGGTGATTCATGACCTAGAATGCTTGTGTGTAGTTTGGATTTCTCGCGGATGCCAGTTGTTTGTGCATATAATGATGATGGGCCCCATTGTTATATGGACCCTCCTTTGCGAGGTCATCTGACATTACGAGGTATCGACTCTGCAGCAAATATTCTTTGAATGATACATTAACTTTTGAAATTGCTTTCGTTTCTCACCGGTGTTGAAGGACGTGGTTCCAGTGGGGGAGGACAATCCAAAACATGGTACAACGTTGATTGTGATGATTTGATATACTTAAGACGAATTCTAACTACGGTACAAACCGTACGTGTATATTTTAGAATTTAGTTAAAGATGGTGTTTTACCCAAGTCAAAGTATTGGCTGAGTTATTTGCTTGTGTTCCGATAAGCCTTTGCCGTGAGGCTTGTTTGACGATCTTGTCAAAAGCATGAACTTCATGAAGGAACACCTCATTACTACAAGCGATACTTATGGAGGACGATGAATGGTTTAGCAGATTATTGGTCAAAAACAATGATGCTCTGTCGTTCATCAAAACAAAAGGAATGGTTAGTTTTTTTCAGAGATGGTGCATAAAGGTTTAAGAAGAACTACTATTTTGTACGGCCAAAAATCAAGTCAAGACAGATGGACAGGAAGCTCAAAAATTCAGGTTTATATATAGTTACTTGGTAGTGTAGGTGAGCTTCACACAATCCCAAACATTGCCGGACAAGTTTAAGTGCTATGTTTGTGAATTTGAAGCATATTCCGATGATCTATATTGACAAGGAATGGCTTTAATGGTTTCAGTTTGCTACAAACAGAAGAATTTCCTCGCGCACTTCTGTAGCAGCAACTCACTGATTCCTGTCAAGTTTTCGTCATGTTATTTTTTTTCTTTTCATAAGCAAAATACGCGATGAGGTTGCAAGTCTTTAGCTGGCTTTCACTTATGACTTTTCAAAGGTAAAAAATCGGTTCAAACTATAATCAGTTTTGTGGTCAAATTTCTTACAAAAATGTATATTTTCCTACTTAACTCCTGAAAAAAATATTACTAAAATTCCATAAAAAGTGCTTCTTGCGGACAACAAAAACTATCAGTCATTGTCAGTGAGTTGGCACTCACAACACAGCTGTACCTACCACAAAGACACGCAAGAGAGAGTCTGGGGAGAGGAACTCCTGTCAAACATAACAAAAGAAAGATATTAGTGTTAAGAAACACATGCCATTGCAGGTGACATCTTTTTTTGTTTTATACATATAGAGAATATTGAGTTTGTTGTTCTCGTGTGTATTTCTCATTATTTCTCATCCCTTGTTTTCGAGGTTTTCAAACATTGGCAAACAAGATGAAGAGAGCAGAGAGCAGAGAGCAGTTGAAAAGTTAGGAAAGCACACTCCTGACGAGAAAATGGATTATGGAAGTTCCCCACCTCCTTTTCTTTTGTTTGATTTAAAAATGAACTTTTCAAAGCCTTGTGAAAAATGGTGAAAGCCAGCTATTGACGTCACTTTTCTTGTTTGGTTCAGTTTTCATTTAAAATGATTGCCGGCATCTCCAGCCAATTTTAAACATTTTCAAACGTAAAAGCTTCAAAATCCTCTAAGATTTCATTCTATTTCAAATTATGCGACCAAAATAGATCACTGATACTCACGTTAAGATAGGAGAGCATGGTTTGGAATGTGAAACCCCTGCAAGTAACAAATATATAAAAGCAGTCCAAATAAATTTTACGCGTCACATTTTGAAATATGGAAAACATTTATTTGGGAATCTGCAAAATTTTTCAAAAATGCTGCTCGTGGATCATCAGAATCACCATGAACAAAACTTGTAAAAAAACTTCAAAACATCCAACGCGATTATGTCACTTCATAAATGTTTATTTTTATTTCGGCTGGAGGGTTTTTCACCGGAACCGCTGGTTTTCCCTCCATTTCGTTTTGGTTTCGAAAAAAACAGTGTTCAAATGTTGGTGCCAAAATAGAGCGAAACCAGTTGGCCTTCGGGTTAAATCCCGAAACACTGCTTCATACACGGTTCTTTTCCGAGTGGACTGGTAACCACTTATTGATTAACACAAGATGGCGACGACATTGGCAAGAAAATATGTGTAAATATTTAAAATATTATTTCAAATGCTGCTAGTATCTGCGCTTTTTTTTCTGATTATTTTTGAAAATATTGTAGTGCGTCGTTTCGGTTATCAGCTGTCTCGCTAAAGTTTAGATCGGTTGCATTTCCTTTAAAAAGGTAAGTTGTGATGGCCGGTTGACTTGGTTGCTAACACGCTAAGCGTTTAATGTCTGTAACTAAGTTTATAAATCAGTTGAAGTTAAAAAGCCTAAATTTTAATTATTTTTGACATTGTTAAAAATACGATAAGTATGAGTAAAATTTATTCATGCTGATAATTTTGCGTTTTGCTTATTTAGCACTCCAGCTTTATATTGTCTTGGTGAAAGAAATGCTTCACAAGATTTCTATGCCAAAAATAAGAGACTTCGGAGGCCAACGTCACCGCATTTATTGATATACAAGTGAGTTGCTCATGTGTGGAATCTTTGAACATTTCATATTGTGACATAAGTGCAGAGATGAATCCAGGACTAGGACAACTATATGGAGTGGGGAATGGGAGGGGGAAGGAGGGTACTTTAGTTTGGTTTCACTTTGGTTTCAGACTTATTTTTCAAATACATTTAATGGCTGCTTGTGTTTAAAGGAATCAGTTTTTCTGTTTTTCTATACCTTTTCTTATCCACTAATGCTTTCATAAAGTTTGTATATACTTCTTTCATTAGCCAATATTTCCAACATGTTGATATGAAATGGGCCTAGTTTGAAGTGCATGACTTCCAAATTTCTCTTGTGGATCATTCATGTTTTAAATTCAGTTTTTAAAACAAAAAAGAGGAAATGCCATAGATAACCTTAGAATTTGTTGAGATTCAACGCCTTATCATTAGCAATACCCCTCATTATCAATCATTGATTACAATTGGAAAATCTACCAAAAACATTTGATGTATTCTTCTCTTACATAAGTACGTAGAAGTCAAAGTGACAGCTTGATGTCATAAATAATCACTTTAAAGTTTAGAGTCCACAAAATGACTACTTGATGTTCTTGCAAAAATCAGTTGTGGACAATTTAAATTATCTTCAATTTTTGCATTTCTTTGAAGTTTTGATCAACTTTTGATCATAGTCGATTATATCTCCACCACTATAGGGAAGTAATTTTGAACAGAAAATACAAGTGTTTTTGTGGGAAAAGAATGAATTATAAGCTATGGTCTCATTAAATTCTACTATATTTATAAATACGTCCAGTTATAATGTGGAAAAGTAACTAGTGACAAGTGTTAGAAGTCCCTTAAATATTTTTCAAATTACATAAAAATGTCCCCCAATTTAATGAAATTGATTCAGAATAGTAAGTTTTTTTTTTTATTGAGTTCATTTATCCTTCAACAGGTTTGAGGCACCAAGTCTTCTATCTATCAGTCACAGAATTACTGGAGTTATTCAATCTGGAGGTAAAATTTTGTGCTTGACTTGCTCAGTCTTAGTGGTGAAAGATTTTGATAACAGTAAGAGAGTTTAAGTTTTAGTCTTTTAAATTCAGAAATGTCTTTTTCTTCATTTATGATTGTTAATTTACTTTGCCATCTTTGTTTGTGTATTATTTTTAAAATCGCATGGTTACATGTTATGAGAGAGAGTAAAAGTTTGTTTTTTATTTCAAATCATGGATATACCTCTTGCTGCAGTTTAAAAATGACATGTACAAGTTATTTGTTTACTGACGATAATCTTAAAAAACTACCTGTGCTTGATTTTTATTTGTTTTCTATTGTGTTTATTTGTAGCTTTGTCATTGGCTGCCATTGGCCTCATGTTTGCCCCAGAGAACTTTGAATACTATATCAACTATCTTCATGCACTTGAACTGCCATATGCTGTGTGGATGTCTGCAAAAATGTTACTTGCTTGGCCTTTTATTTATCACTTCTGTAATGGAATCCGCCATCTGGTAAGTGTGAAAATTCGTTCCCTTTGCAAGCATCTATAGTTTTCCATACTTGGAATGAAAACTCCTTACAAAAGACCATCAACATTTTAGACATAGAATGCATAATGTATGTACTCCAATATATTTTCAAAGAACAATTTTATCCAAAAAGTAACAAACATGGGCATATGGGCCAACAATTTTTAAGATGATGGCAGAAGGTTTTTAATCTTAAATCATCTAATTTACCTAACTTTCCAGTACATATTTCCTTGCTGGCCTTGTGTGCACAACAATTTGGGGGGCTTTTTCATAACAAATCAAATTAGATGATTAATAAAGACAAAAAGAATCTCCCCCCTCCCCCAAGACTTTTGCTACATAACTAGGAAAAGTTCAAAATGGCTAAAGTACCAATTATATATGAAAGAGCTTCAAATATCTTAACTAATGATGTAGCCTACATCGTCTGGTATGATTTTTTTTGCATTGAGAAGTCTAAATATATAAGAAAGAACATGTAAGTATCCAGAATAGTATTCCTCAAACTCACCCCGTTCCAGGACAGAGAAAAATCTTTCTGAAGGAACCCGTTGGGCACAACAACATGTGAACAAACACACCACTCTCCTCAATTAATAGAGAGATTTAACAAACACGATGTATCGTCTAGGACGTCGTGAAAATATTTTCATATATGGTTGTGTCCACGCCATATTTACGCCATTTTCACGGCGTCTTAGACGACATGTCGTGTTTGCTAAATCTCTCTAATGTTCTAGCTACGGCTCCGGCCTTTAGTCAATACTGAACTCCGGCTTCAAACTCCCGCTCGTGATATTTTACAACACAAAATCTGGTGTTGGCTGGTTGATTTTGCAAGTCACTGTATAACAGCTCAAGGTGTATTATTAATAAAATTTTTGTATGTAAAGTTAAATTTCCGCAATCCGACTTTCAAAGATAAATTAGCATGTGCGAACGCAATCCAGCGTCATGTTGTGTCATGCATAAAACGTTTTAGCTACGTATTTTCATACAAGCTCTATAATTTTAGCCGATAGTCACCGTTCGTTAATACCAAAATGTTTTGATCGGATACGCTTACTGAAGTCTGACAGTAGCTACTTTGCACCACAAACAACTGCTGCCTGAGTTACGCTGGAGATGAACAAACTCCGGCTCCGGAAGGCTAAAATAACCGGAACTCCGGCCTAACTTCGGTGCACAGCACTGCTGTTTATGCAAGGACAAGGTGTAAGTTTCAATCATGTGGCGCTTCCTTCAATCTCAATATTTTCGTCGTGTTGCATTGACAAATGTTTAGCTAAAGTAATTCTGCATTTAGTGAGTTACACGTACGTACCCTCCAACAATTATGGTGAATATTGTAGAACGTAGGTCCTCCAACTATCATGTTGTAGATTTCAGGGCAGATTCCAGACGTTGAAGTTAGTTTAGGTGAATTCAAAACTCTGCTCTGAAGAATGTTTTTCAGGCTCTGTTCTCCATGCGTGTTTAAAAATTACGCTGACATATATGGTATTGTCTGCAGCCTCGTAGACATTCCAACTGATTGAAGATTCATAAACTAGCATGTCAAAAGATGGCATGTAAAATTTTATAACAGTATACTGCACTAAAACGAGGACTAAACTAGGTAGTTTAGCACAGACATAATTCCCAAAGCTGTTTCTTCCGCACGAAACTCCTTCGTACTAAATACAAACGACTTTTCATTAAGTGACATGTTTTTTTCTAGGTATGGGATGTTACAGCTAAAGGTCTGAATAAAATTGGAATTTTTAGAACTGGTAACATTATTCTTTTGTCGTCTTTCATATTAACTGGCTTATTGGTGTGGTTTTATTGATCAAATGCAAATTATGCAAATATTAAAGCTGTTTCTAACAGTATTTAGCTAGATTTACTTTATAGACTTCACATAGCATGCGAAAAATTGTGTTTTAGTTATTTACCTTCACAGCAAAGAACGTAGTGTTAGTATGCTTTTTGTGAACCTGCTGGAGATTGTGCATTGTTTATAGTTTGTTATTAATTGAATATCGTTTAGACAAACGAGGATATTTGTTTTTCCTGTTGCGTAGCTATATTCAGTTTTGCTCGACTGATTTCCTTTGGTAAAGAAACTCATTTTGATTAGTAGGAAGCAGTCGTGTAAAATTTTAAGATGTAAATCCATTGTTCACGTAATGCAGAAATTTATGTATAGTTCCTTGACTTAAAAAATAAAATATGTTTACTGTGTTTGCACAGGCTTAACCCTAGGCCACACTATCGTCTTTATTCACGAAAACGAAAACAAAAGGAAAATTTGTGCACGAAACACATGCCAGACACGACGTAAAGTTGCAAGCATGTTTACAAAGATCAGCAACGTAAACGGTATTATTGCTGGCTGTGTCTCTGTAGTAGCCTTTGCAGTAACAAAACAAGTAAAAAAGAAAAGGTGTCTTTCTCTGGCAAGAAGGTACTCCTGAAATCGAAAGCAAGCATTTAGCAAGACAATCAAACGCCGATACTAGATTCACCCAATTAACGACATGATCGACTGGGATTATTTAACAATTTGATTGAAAAGTTACGAAAACCGAACAAAGAAAACAGATTCATAAAATACTTGCGAATGACGACAAATTGTTTTTTTCTCGCATCAGATTTATTAAAACCTCATGCCACCCCGTCATCTTTGTGTAATAAAGTTTTAGAATTATTAGCCAATTTCATGCGTTTTCGTTAACGAAAAAGGTCAAATGTTCAACTCTTCTAAAACGAAATTTTCGTTGAGTTTTCGTTCAAGATTTTCGTTGCGGCAGTTTTCGTTCTAATTTTCGCCAAACATGGACGATAGTCTGGCCTAGGCTTTAGCAAACCAAGGAGACCTTTGGGAGAACTTGAGAGCAGTTCAATGTCATTAATTGAAGTTTTGTTTGCACTGCTGTAAAGTTTAGTTGAGCTGGATTAAGGGCCCAAAAAAGAGCAATAAGCGTCGTTTGGTGCTTGAAAATCACATGGCATCCTTTTAGCCACCTTGTAAGTTTGGTCGTGCTATGTAAATACTTACGTGTTCACTCAGTGTAAAAATAATACATTTCTAAAGAATTGAATAGGGCTGTTGATCTTAAATTTACATAGCACGACCAAATATGCGAGCTGGAAACGTCACTGCGTACCATCTAAACGCTGGAAATAATTATATCGTATTTCATGGACATGGTAGAATATGTGAATACTGGCTACTATAGAAATCACCCTTCCTTAGTAGTTCTTGCTTTCAAAAAATCTAGTTCTAATTGCAAAAACAATTGAGAGTAAAAAAGTAAACTTTTTATTCTTAGCGTCTCAACTAGTAAAAATGTTTACTTTTTTACTGATTGTCAATTGCTTTTTGTTTTACTCAAATACTCTTTGGCGGTCGTAATTTTAAGTTCAAATTACCTTCATAGCATTTTACTTTAGTAAAATGACTCTCTAGTCATGAAGTTTGTTCAAGCTTTTACGTTTAAGATAAAGCTTTTTAATTATAGCTACATGTGTGTATTTTCTATAATTAGAATTTCAGAATTTACTTGTATTTTACGCTTTCAACCATAAACTTGCTTCAAGTAAAAAACTTTACACAAGACCAACAGTGTACTTACCGTTACCTTCGTTTTCACTCATTGCTCTTTTTTGCATGTAGTTGTCTCAAAAAACTCCCAGCAAAAACTTATTGCAAAAGAAGCATTATAATCAAGTTTACTTCTTATTCAGGATTACAGTTCACATTGTACTAAAATGCAATCTTACTTTAATCGATGATAATGCAATGTTAGTCTATGAAGGAGACCGCCGTCCCCATGAGTATTTTGATGCGCGTGCATATTTTCTGGTCAACGATGCTTGTCACCTGCTCAATGTTTGGTGCCTGTTCAACTCATTGTCCAATCTTATGTAATATTCATGAACACGTCATCAAAAACCATGAAAACATAACGCTTTATTATCGATCTGCATTCACTTATTTCACTACAGTAAAAGAATAATGAAAGACAAACATGAAACGAATATATAGCAGTACAGTGATCGAGAAGATTTTACTTAACCATCTCACCGCAAAGAATTCATTAAGATGAGCGATTCTATGTTTAGATTATTTTTATACGAACATATGTATTTATGAGAATGGAAGTTGATCACGTTTTGCGAATTATTGGCGAATTCGGGCCGTATCAAAAAAGGTTGTACATTATCCTTAGCTTCGCTATTATTCCTGCGTCTTTTCAACTTCTGATGAATGTATTTATTGCGAGGCACACAGTATGGAGTTGCTCAGACGTGAATACGACCGAAATTTGTCCCGTTAGTCGGTCGTGTGGGACGATACGCCACATTTCTTCCTATACATCAATTGTCTCCGAGGTAAGCTGACGGGATTCATCACGTTTTTGTCTTCAATTTCCAATTGTAAATGAAACACTTGGTTTATCAATTGAACTTTATCGAAACTATAACTTAAAGGCTCTCATATGTATGCGTGTTCAATTGAGAGATTTGTGACTTTGAAACGTGGGCTTTTTGAATAAAAATTTACATGTTTTCATGACCCTTTGTCACCTTGTAGTAAAGGCTCTTCTCGCCCTACACCCGATTTCTATCAGAGCGGGTTTTGTTATAGACTATAGTAAATGTTTGCTGATGATTATTGCTTCTAAATGTTCAACTAAGATGACGTGATTTGTGCTCTGTAACGTGTGAACGGGCCAAAGTAGACCCCTGAGGTTGCCAAAACTCAAAACATTTGAATTGGCCCGTACGTTCTATCTAGAAGGAGCTGACTTTTCAAAACATTTATTTGTGTAAAGCTTTTTCAAAAGATCTGACATGCATGTGTGCTAATATGCTAATACTTTATCCTTTTTACATAGTGGAACCTTATCTGTGAAGATACATATAAAGTGGAATTTTCACAATCTATTTTTATGTTGGGTGCTCTGCTGGGTGGTCTGGGTTTGGGCATGTTTGCTGATATATATGGCCGGCGATCATCTTGGTTTTTATCATACACCGTGATGGTTGGTGGTGGTGTAGGTACTGCATTGTCCACATCCCTTAACGTACTTTTCGTGTCCCGTCTAGTCGCGGGAATTGGAACGGGCGGAGTCCTGCTGTGTGGCTTCGTTCTAGTAACTGAGCTTATAGGGCCCTCGTATCGTGGTGTAACTGGAACGCTGTCCTCTTGTTTCTTTACATTTGGACAAATGTTGCTGCCTATTTTTGCTTACTTGCTTCCGGACTGGCGGGAGCTCTGCCTCATTCTTTCATTAGTCGGCGTTATTTTCATGCTCTTTATAAGGTTTGTGGTGAAAGACGCATGAGCAAATGACCTGATAGTGACTTTGACTGTGTGGATGGGACAAACTCATTAGAATTCAAACTTCCCGGATTGATTTTTCAACCACGTAAAATGTCTGGTTTGACAACTTTTTGTTTTTTTCTTCACGCTTGGGATTTCCAGACAGTTATGTCTCTTTACAAACTTACTTATTTCTCAGAGCCTTTTACTCAATGAATTCTAACTTCCATGAAACTTCAAAGGAAGGAGATTTTTGAAGAGAAACGTTTGTTGTAACTAAGATTGGGGATTTTAGAACTTTCAGAACAAAGCTAGGTATGCTTTAGACCGTGTCAATGTATTTACAAAAAGTTGCAATGCTCTAGGTACAACGTTCTACAAACAGATGCTAACATCTTTGTCTGTATTACGCACCATAGCCCTGTGCAGCAGCACGATATATTTAAGACGTTTCGATTTAAGTCCTTATTTAAACTGCGTTGTTATGTATGATTTTTATATGAAACAGTTCTCCTTTTCATACAATTATTTAGATCATAATCGTTCTTTATATATAGAAGTATTCCAGAATCTCCACGATGGTTAATGATAGTGGGCCGTGCCAGCGAAGCAGAAAGAATTCTGACTGAAGCAGCTCTAAACAACGGGCTTGCTTTACCAAAAACTTTATTGCAGATCGGACGACCTATGGAGCACTCACGAAGATATCGTGGATGCCTGGAACTGTGTGGAAATTGTTGCATTGCTAAGAAAACTATTGTTGTTGCTATGATATGGTGAGTTGATACAGCTGTTCTGGTGCTGCTCTAAGGCTCAACTCGCCTCTTTCGAATAGTAAAACGAAGACTTGGTTGTTGTCAGAAACTTAAATACTGCTTTGACCAGCTTTGATAGCATGTCATGGTAGTTGACAATTTGGTAGTTCTGAAAGGAACTATTGAAAAACAAAAATTAAGATAAGTTAAATGATGCATTTCAGCAGACTTCTCGTCAATATACTTGAATTTATAGTAAAGACTTAAAAGAATAACACCACCCCTTTAACATGGAGGTGAAGTTTAAAAGAAGGATAAGTTAAAGACTTTATTCACACATGCGTCACCTGGAATTTCTTAAAAAGATCAACATGCGTTTGTTGTGGTTTTAGGTTTATCAACAGTTTTGTTTATTATGGATTAACGTTCAACATGAAAAACATCTATGGAAACATTTTTTTCAATTTCTTCCTCACAAGTGCCATTGAATTACCGGCGTATTTCCTGTCATTCTGTATAATTAATTGGTGGGTACGCTTTTAATTAATTACATAAACATATTATACATCAGTAGTTCATCTTTCGTTCGACTTCTCAATATTGTGATAATTCTTCCATTCAGGATTGGAAGAAGACGCAGTGCATTTTACTGTATGGCGTTTAGTGGCATGGCTTGTTTGACATGTCTCTTTATTCAAACAGGTTCGTATTTGATTCAAATACGGTTATCATCAATTGAGGACTTTTCTAACTTCATATACTAGAAATTTTTTAACAACGCATTCTGCCATAGCGCACAATTTACTCATATAACTATATTCTTCTTTTCCAGGAGAAACTAGCTCGTACATGTTTCTGTCTACCGTCTCTGCCGTTCTTGGCAAATTTGGTATTGCAGCATCGTTTTCAATTATGCACTTGTTTTCTGCGGAACTCTTTCCCACAGTTGTTAGGTAAGTGGTACCGCTGGATAAAATAACTGGTGTCTCAGAATATCGGCAGGCTATATATATATATATGATCCCAATCTCTGCCATGAAAAATAGTTCATCATGCTATTTAAACTGTTTCTTGCGTTACGATCCAACACAGTAAACCAGAATGCTATTTTCAAATTAAGACAAACATGTTGAACTATTGTTTAATGTTGAAATGTCTTGGAATTGTTCGACAACATTTAAAATTTATCTGTTTTATTGAAACGTTTGAATACAGTTTGAAGGTATTGGGTCAAAAGCTACCCTGTTACTTGCCAGAAAGTCCGTGTGGTAACATTGCATTTTTATTATGTTTATAGGAATATTGGTATGGGTATTTGCTCCATGGCTGGTAGAATTGGCGCAGTTTTCTCACCAATGATTGTTTTCCTTGTATGTTTTAGTGATACCAGCTCTATTTTCATGATATGTATAATTTTTTCTTCTAAATTTAATGCTGCAATTTGTCTCCCACACGAAGCCGAATACTCTTCATTTTTTTGGAAGCTTGTTTCCTCACCCAAAACATGAAATTACTTTCATTTCTATAAAAAAAAACTTCAAGTTTCTTGCTCAGTATATCGACTTTCGATAAAGATATTTTAAATAATTGTTAAATAAGTCGACTGTTTCCCAGTGAAATGATTTTATCACATTGATTCATACAATACCTTGAATTTAGCTAGTTCAGGAAAAGTGGCTTGTTACGAAAATTAGTGTTGTAGTTCTTTCATAAGAGGCACTTATTTTTCTAGGGAAATTACACACAAGCGTTTCCTATAATGATATTTGGATTGGGAGCGTTTGCGGCTGCATTTCTCACTCTCTTGTTGGAAGAGACGTTGAATAGGCCTCTCTCTGAAACACTACAAGATGATCTACCGAGTGAAGAGTTTGGTAAATATGTTTATTCATATCAGCAAGCAAATGCTGTCAGCGATGCTTTCTGTGATGACGACCTGGAGGAGAACGTGTTCGCGCTTATTGATTCGGACGTTGAAAACGACTTTCCGGCAACTCTTGACAACAAGAGGACTTTTATCTGAGTTATTGAAGAAGCTAATAACTTATGAAGCAGGTGTTCTTTAAGTATCGTCAACCAAGGTACTGGAGTTCTCTACAAGCATTTTAAACATTGTGACGTCACAATACAAATATGAGAAAACAGGCTTCGACTGAACAAAATGGCGTCCACTATTCTCGTTGTTCTTAATTGTTAGTCTATTTTAACCTTCTTTTATAATTCTTGTCTCAAATTAGTTTATTTTAAATGGTTTCAAATTATTCAAATATATTTATTGTTGTTATTGGTTGAAGTAGAAACTTGACAAGAAAAAGTTTTCATTAAAAAATTTTTCTTTCTTTCCCAAGTGCATGACGAAGAAACAACATGGTGGAATTTTTATTTCTTGGTGATATCATTCTTCTCCAAATCGAAAAAACTGAGAGAATTAATTCATTTGCTTTGAAACTGTTCTTTATTTCATTTCATAAGCTATGTACACTTTCATTTTGAAAAAGTGTTATACAGGCATGCTTCGCTACATTAACTATCACCCAGTTCAAGATGTTCTTTTCAGATCTCAATTCTTAATCATCAGTTGAACAAAGGTCTTAAAGTTCTTGGTTTCTCTTCATTTTTGGTTTCTTTTTCACTCGCGATAGTTGATGCGTCTTGCAGCCCTTCGTGCTGGGCGTCTTCGCATCGCAGCCACAGGTTTCCTAAATTTAGCTGGCGTTGCTTTGCGGCTTCTACGAGGTTTTCTCGTCTTTCTGGTTGCCTTTCGATTTCGTCGTTTTGTGCCTCGTTTGGGTTTTCTTGAGCCCTTTCGTTTGCGCTGTCTTCGACGTCGTTTGGCTGCGCTCTTTGTTGTTCTTTTCTTTGCTCGTTTAGCTTTACGCTTGCGCTGTTTGGGTGATGAAACTTTTCTCCTTCCAATTTCTTTTAGGACAAATGTGTTTGGTGATTTCTTTGCCATACTTCCCTCGCGGCAAGCCCGTCCAATGGCTAGGATAACTAGCGTTCGCGAGCTCCTTGATACTTGCTTCGTTCGAACTAAGTAGTTTAAGATGGCGTTGATGGTAGAGCCATTCCTTTCTCGGAGTGCAGCTACTGCATCTTTCACCATTTCGATGTTTACAGATTTCTTGGCGCCGCCAGCGGCCGCCTTTCTGATGGTTTTTGTTTTCCTAGCTTTGGGAGCCATTTTCTTGGTCTTTCTTGGGTTTTGTCAGAAATCAACAGAGTACGTCTTTGCGCCAGGAAGGTTAGACAAATAATGAAGCACTTAATTGATCAATCAGCCTAATAAGTTTTTATGTGTCACTAATTAACTAATTCATACGTAGACTAATTAGTCAAAGCTTGCGCTTTTCCATAAACGTTTTTCCCATCATGCTTTTTGAGAGTGATGAATTCTTTTTTTAATCATTTTATTTTCATTACTCTGAGTAGAGGTAGCAATTCTAGGTTGACTAATTCTCCCAATCCCAATATTTAAGTGATGATTTCATTAAAAATAGTGCAATTCCCACAAGTGGGCAAGTCCTGAATTAATCTGGCATAACTATGGGAATAAATACATAAGGCTGTGTTGTCACGGTAGCTACGTTAAGTTGGAAAAATGCATGAGATCACTGAACAATAATCTATATATTATCAGTTATGCACTCGGCTAGCCCGAAAACTCTCTGAATTCAACCAAATTTTGTCGGAAAGACTACATCTTTTATTCAAGAACAATTTTCAAAAACAATTCGTTCTAACGTCGCTGTTCTTATTTTGTTAAAGGATTCGAAAAAAACGAGGATCCATTTCTATGAATTAATTTTAGTTTTCATGGAACAGACTCTCGGAACTGCAACTTTCGCTTTTCACTTGGCAATCAATGAACAGCGGAAAATTATGGATCACAAATTCCTTTGCCTGTGTTTTTTTTCTGTGTTTGTTTCAACTTTCTTCATTTGGTTCCTGAGAATTTGTACACAAAGCTAGTTCTCCAGTGGCGACCCATCGTATTTGCTTCTCCGGCTTATCAACACTATCGAAAGTCATTTCCTGTTGAAAAAATATAGCGGACATTCTCGATGGTGAACGTAAAAACTCTTCCTATGAACTATGCTGAATAGGTCGTTAAATATGAATTTCATAATTTCGGTGACATGTGAAGTTTCCCGATTTTTAGCGGTTACTAAATGAGTGACAAGTTGAAATTATTTTTAAATTTATTCTTACGAAAATATTCTTACGTCTTCTTCGACGAGATATATTCCATCTAGTTCATAGCCTTTATTGAAAACGAATGTGCCTTTTCCAATGGGCTGGAAGAAATCACCAAGTTGGACTTTTATTGCGAAAACATATGTATTATTTATGTTTTAGTTCACTTATACGTACGCATCCAGATTGAAAAAATCCCTTATATTTCATCTGCATATATTCCACAGTTCCCGCGCCTTCCGGTGTCCCCATGTTCCATAACCCAGTGTACTAAAATAACAATGGCACAAAAATAAATTTGTCAGGGGAAATACAAGTTCTTTAACAATTAGCTACTTGTGTCTGATAATAGAATAGTTTTGGCGGATAGAAGCGGCAGGCAGATTCATTTTGCAACAAAACATATTGCAACTACACAATATCACCACCCAGAACAAGATAGAGTAACTGCAAATCTTTTCTATTTTTTAAATATGATTTTATTTTGTTATTCAAAGTTTCAAACCATGACCGTCACTAAACAAATGCCTGTGATGATATGCCATCACAAAAACCTAACGTGAAAATCTGCAAGTTTGCTTGATATTTTTTAATCTGACAGAATTGAATGCGAGTAATTTTATTTTCATTCCTCTTATAACTTGTAAAGTGTTTTCTCTACTTGTCCCTCTTTGAGTACTTTTGAGTACTTGTCCCCGTTTCAGTAATTATGTGACGTAACACTTGGTAATGAAAATGTAGCACGCACCTTAGTTAAAGCTTGCTTAAATTCGTATACTCCTTTACCATGTTTCTGGTCGTTCAACCATTCTCCATCGTACTTGTCACCATTAGCGTAGTAATAAACACCATAACCCTGACGTATGTTGCGGTCCCATGTACCTTTTGAATGTAAATGCATACTTTTTTTGTTTGCTGTTGATGCGTGCGTTCAGAAATGAAATTCATTCTCTCGCTTTTCAATTATTATGAATCATTTTATCAGCGATTCAACACTAATATATAAAGTGTATTGAGCACATTAGTTTTGAACATTATTAACAATTTCTATAGAAACAGTCAGTTTGTTTTAGCGTACAAGGAAACAATGTGCTGGCTACGCCATGAGAGCTACTAAAAATTATTTCAATAAAAGCCTTTAATTAGACTCAAATAGTTCGCATTCTGCACATGATTTTGCTACATTTCCCTTCGGCCAGACTGGCTAGACCTAACCATTGGACCTAACCCTAAACCCCAACCAGTGACCCTAACATATTTTGCGTATACATGTCAGTGCGTCATACGTGATCCTGTATCCGCCATTGACCGACTTGGTTATCTCAGAGCCCTCTATAGTATAAGAGTTGGGACATCTATTCTTATCCGTTTAGCTTACGTTGATTGGGCAATATTGATCACCTGATCAATTTCCGCCATTTTGGTTCCTAGTTTTGAAATTTTAGCTTGTGTTTATATAGCAATTGCTGCTACAGTATTTTGAGATAATATTGCGTTTTTATGGATAAGTGTAATAACTGATTGAAGGCTACTAAATGTCATTACATATCGCATAAATCGAGGATTACGAAAAATGAAAGAAATGCCTTTACGTCGAGAAATTTGATTGCGTATGGTGATTGTTGTTGAACTGCTTTTGATATAAGGTTCAATTAACTGACTCAAGTAGACATTTTGGGCCAAATAACATTGCAAAGTTCGTGCTGATGCACTTTCAATAGTTGCTTGTTTTTAATCGAAGATGATTTCTCATGTTCTGAAATTGGTCAATCTACAAACCTCTCAATTCTCAGCCACTTCCATACTAAAACAACTACACCAAATCACAGAAACTCTTATGATTTTCCATGTTGCATTTGTATTTTTAGTTCATCATTTAAAATGAAGTAATTATAATTAGGATATTCAATGAAACAGCTGAGTACAATATATTTTGGTATTGAATTGTACAAATGACTTCTGTAGCTCAAAGTAGAACATTAAGACTTGTTGATGATATTTTAATTGTAGGTTTTGGTTTATAAGATCACAGAGGCATATCTCCATAATTTCAGCTATTTGGGCTCAACTGTTGCTGCCTTTCTCATATATATTAAAATATTGCCGGCTTTCTGATATATATTTAGGTGCTGCTAGCTTTTATATATATTTCACTGGCAATACAAGGCATAGAATTTGAAAACGGGCTGAGCTCCTCCAACACACCCCTGTTTGATCATTAAACACATATAGAAGTTTTGTCATTCCTCAACCAATAAATTTAAATCTTTGCTAAATTAAAGATTGATTAGACTCATATGCACTACAAACAGTAGCATTTATAGCAAACAGACTGTTCTTCAACAACAGAAATGTTTAATATTATAAAATAATATATTCATTTTAAAGAAATGCTTCACCAAAATTTTCAGCAGAATCCCTAACAAACTTTATTAGAAATAAACTTTAATACTTTGTAAAGTGATAAAGGCGAAATAACTTGGAATAAAACGTTTAAGATCAAATGCATCTTGGTCAAATTATTTCAATAACTAAAAGTAAAAAGTCTGTCATTTTCTGCTGAGCAAGAAAATTTTGTGATCTTTCAGAATAAAAATATCATGCTTGGATTAAATTATAAATCACACTACCATTAAATTGTTACAAATCTTGAACACAAATCTCTCGGACCAAATCTGCATGATTACTATGATTCAAAGTTTCGAACAAAGTCTTGTCCAAGTATTTGATAACACTGATGCCAGGATAACATTGCCGCTTGCCACCAAGCTTAAAGATCTTGAAAACGTGTTACAGAGTCGGAACATAAGCCGAGAAAACACGTTCACGTACGAAAATTACTTCTTACAATGGGTCACGATCAATTTGAAGCACGAACTAGTAAACCGCAAACGAAGCTCAAACCGATGAAATTAAATCAGGTCTGCCGCAAATCGTTAAAAAAACGCAAAGAGCTTGCTATTATTCCTAATATATTTGATACTACCATGGAATAAGCTTAAATTGCTTTCTTCTTTTGCATATAAACCCAATTTCCAATAGTATTATTATAGTTTCACTTTGCAAGTAGGAACCAAAAATGGCGGCTCCGCGCTCGCCCCAGACCGTTTGTCCCAACTCTTACTATAGAGGGCTCTGGGTTATCTACTTTTGATGAATTGAAATAAGGAGGACGACTCTAACAAATTGAATTCAATATGGCTGGTCGTCTAACAAATTTCGAAAATGCAGTCAATTCAAAGTTTATGAGATGTTTTTATATATTCGGTATTAAATAATTTTTACTCTAAATTCCGCATTTTAGCTTGTTGTGTTTATCATTCATAAAAATGTGGCACGAAGCGAGAAAGCAAGAACGTAAAATCCGCGGAATAATGGTGAACTACAAAAAACGTGCTGAACGAAGAAGAGCATTTTACGAGCGAATGAAAACTGATCCCACAACGTTTCTTCGACTTCAGGGCTCGAGCTGCAAGATTCATATTCAACATCAAAATTCTGATGGCATGAATATGATGCCTTGGCAAGGCGACCGAAACGTAATGATTGATAGATTTGATGTCAGAGCTCATCTTGATTACATTCCCGAAAGTGTGCATTCACAAACTGATAGATGGGCAAATAATGCCGAGGAAAGAAAACTGAACTACGAGCGTTATCGTACTCTAGTCATGATAGAAGCATCCGGAATGTCTGAGGAAAATTACCTCAAACAATTAAGGCAAGAGGAAGAAAATCCCAAAGCGATTGTTGAGGCATTTGAAAGGAAAGAAAAGCCAACACAGAAAGCAAGTATAGGGTATACATATGAAAATAGCGATTTTGTTGCTAATGAGACTGAAAAAGGTTCTGGTAGTGACAGTGATAGTGACCTAGATTTGGATATTGATATTGCCATTAATCTTGAAGAACTGGATAGTGAGCAGGTGAAAGAACTTGACACCTTGTCGCTCAAGTTTGGAATGGAACCCGGAAAATATTGTTCATTACTGAGAGCTGATAAGGATGAAGCTGAGCATGTGCAGAAGGTTCAGGATGAAGAAGAGGCAAGGAGCCAGCTTCGTGGAAGGCGTGCTAAAAGGGATCGACGTTCCCTTAAGGAGCGCCAAAGAGGTACAATAAGCACATCCCCTTTAAGTTATCTTAGAAAATCCAGTCCCTCGTACGAGGCCTATCGTGAAAGCAGATCAAGGTCTTGTTCATCTTCATCGGGTGGCGAAACTGCCAAAGTTGAATACATAACTGAGTTTGGGGCTCAGAATTCAAAAGGCAATAGTTCCTCAAACTTGCTGATCAAAAAAACCCAGAACGATGGCAAACGAAAGCTAAGTAAAAGGTTTGAGAATAGCAGAACGAAAAGATCTCGTTCAACATCCAAAGATGGTCATTCACACTTCAGGTCAAGGTCAAGGTCGAGGTCAATTTCACGCTCTCGGTCACGCTCCAATTCACCTCGAAATCGTCGATATGGTAGAAGCCGTTCTCGTTCAACATCTTTAGAGCGATATCGTGGTAGAGATGGATCTTCGAGTGATAAACGGCTTCCAGACAAGAAGAAAACGGAGAAGGCTAAATCTTCATTGTCGGGCGATAAGGCAAAACTAACTCCTCAAGAGAAATTAAAAAAACGGATGCAGCTAGCTTTAAATAAACAGTTGAAAATAGACAAGAAGGAAGAAAGGAAGAAAAAAGAAGTAAAAGAACAAGAAAGACAGGAAAGAGACGATGATTTAAGGGAAGTTTCAAAACGCTGGAAAGATAAGAAAAGATACAGGTACAGTCGTAGTCGTAGCAGATCTTACTCTCCCGATTACAGGATGTAATTTGTTGATGTTACAATAAGGAAACTCAAAACAGTATCAGTATCCTGTATTTTAAATATTACCATCTCGAATGCTACTAGCAGTGAAACTTTACTTTCTATTTCATCATTCTTCGAATTGAACTTGTGCTATATTCCTACGAAAGAGATCGTGATGTTTTTCTGCTTTGTACAAAAAGTAGCTACGTAGATTGCACACTAAAACCTCGAAGAGGAATTCGCTAATGCAGTTTTATGTCGAAAATAGTATTGTCAACAAGTGAAGATAAAATGAAATTTACTTATGAGTAAAATTCCATTTGTTTGTTTCTTACTGCATTCACACGAGTTTTTCTATAATTAAAAGAAAAACTTGTGCAAAGGTCCGTTTTTTTTTCCGAACGCATGCAAAAGAGAGAGTGCTGATACATCTACGTTCCTTATTCCGTCCATACCACTACACAACGTTTTATCAGTAAGACTTTCCATATCACTAAGTACCCATAATACACATGTTTTGTCTGCTGACAAGGTGCCATCGTGGTAGACAAACAGATGAAATTGTTTCTGTCTGGTTGATTGGTAGGCATAAGTCACGATAACGTTCAAATTCAAATTTCATAAGAAAAGTGTATGAATATACTGCTTGTATATTACAGTGTACGAATTAGTTCAGAAAAAACGATGTGCAATTTTTTTGACAAAAGTGTTTCTTTAGAGGCATAATCAAATCAATATTACGTTAATTATTATATAGCGCTAATTGCTAAATTAATATTTTTAAACGTGAACAAATTCATATGATTTACGACAGTGTTTTTCGTTAAAACCGCTGATTTTTGCACATCGTTTGAAAAAGTGATGTGCAATTGTTTTCATTTTAGCTAAAACGATGTGCAAATTGCACATTGCACACCGTTACTTCGCACAATGTATTACAACGATTGTTGTGTTCAGCCTATGACAGCTTTCCCTACGGTAATGTAGTCGAGGGGTGAACCTTAACCAGTCGCCAGTCTCTAAAAATATATTTTTCATTTCAAAACACGTTAATTTCTCTTCAACTTATTTAACTACTTAAATCTAACCATAAAAGAGTAGTGTAAAAGTAGTGAAGACCTTTATATAACCGTGCAAATTCATTGCTAAATTCTTCGCAGTTGGAAGCGCATATTCCTAGTAACGAGTGTTTCAGTCGTTTTGATGTAATTTATGAAAAATTTTATCATGTTTTCTAAAAAGACATGAGTTAGCAACTTAAATTTTTCTACCTTCATATTTACTGCCATCGGGATACGTCATAGTTCCATAGCCGTGTCTTTGGCCTTCTGTATAGGAGCCTTCATAGTTAGCTTTTGTTGCAGCAAACAAGTAAGTTCCCTCAAAGAGAAATACTCGAAATAGACCTGCAATTGCTTCAATACACGGTATAAACAATCAACATGCCATATGAGCCTTTTGGCGCAAATTAAAATCTATAAAAATAACAACGACCTTCTCCTTTGTCCTAAATCGTCAAATACTCTTACTTGGCCATCTCTTTGGCCATATTTGTATCGTCCATTATACAAATCACCATTTCGAAGTGTTGCCTTCCCAATGCCATGCCTTTCACCTGCTTCGTTTCTCTCTCCAATATAACCCTGAAATTCAATGAAACATTTTTCAGTGTTTATAAGTCTCATCTAAGGTGATGGGATATTTTCAAAATTTTGTACGACTTTTCTGAGTGAAAGGATGATTTTTTCGTTCAGACAAAACGTTTTACACACAGAAAAACCAGTTAAAAATACTTTATTTCTAGTATTAAACATGGGTACAACTCCATGTGTGAAAAGATCAAATTTAGAAGATAATTATATGGTCTACTGGTTATTTACATTGGATTATTCGAAATCGGTTTTTCATGATTCTTTATCTGTACAAATACGCAAAGTGACTGCACTTCTGAGACTTGACCTATGCAAAATCAGGTATTTGTCTGTTTAGTAAAACTGTCTATTTGCATTGTGTTCAAATTCTAGGTTGAGTTTTTTGTCGAGTAACTAATCGAGGAACGTATGATAAAATTCTGTGTTTTTTCCAAGGTTTATACATCATTAACATCACAGATTTTCCTACCCCCAAAGCCTCTTGAGGATCTGTACTTTCTTCGTCTGAAGACATTTTTGTACTGAGGAAATACCGATGACCAGTAGTTTTTTTCTTCCTTATACTTTTCTGTGAAAAGGTTCAGTGCAAAGTATGTCAAAATATTTTTTACAAAAAAAACAACAAAATATGCACAAAAATAACTAAATTCCAAGTACACGTTGCTCATACGTTGTCCCACAGTATCCCTCGGTGTCCCTCGGTGTTATGAAAACACAATGGGAGGGGGCGTAAATGTTTTCACCAAATCTCAATGAAATGCCGAACTTCTTGAGTTCAAATTACATGTCTTAGATGTCTTTCTGTCGCCCGTATTTTTTAAGCCCGATTAACCTTCTCAGCTTCTCGATTTTCAAGCCTTTCAAACCTTCTTTGGCGGCAACTGCCAACCTCCCTTCCGCCCTGCCCTTCCCCCTGCGTCATCTATGGTCAACATTTATTCAGCAATCATTGGTGTAAGTTTTCTGTATCCAAAACGAGTACTGTGTCTGACTGTATCCTATTTCATTGTCAATTTAACTTAATTATTAATACCTCATTAGTTTACACAACGTGATCTTGCCTTACAAAACAAAAACACGATGCAACGTGAACGTGTATAGTCATCATAAATATGGCGTCACCTAAAGATCGAAGTCCACGACATTCAATGGTCGAACAAGCTTGTCATACGAGAAAACGTAAGCGTACCGAGGAAGGCATTTCCAGACCGGTGAGTGCTAAACTGCTAAAGCATTTTAGTGTGATCCAGTTTGTTTCGAATTGAGAAATATTGTGGTTTATGGACTGCATTGGGTACTTGGAATTTAGTTGGTTGTACTGTACCTAGGTTGAGTTGTTTTCTTCTTTCTTGATCTGAAAACAAATCAATGAGATTATGTCAAATAGTTTTTGTGGAAATGTAAGTTGAAGGTTCATGTCAAGTGTTTATTGTGTAAATTCACCCGTGAAGCTAGCACGAATATTTATTTCTGAAATCTTTATGTACTTTACTTGAAATTCAGAGAACACAAAAATATTTGCATACGAAGAACAAAATCGAGTTTCAATCTCTGTATGGAGGGCATATACTTATTACAGTTGATGAATATTCGTTATTTTATAAAATGAATGGAATATGTGTAAAAATTGTCACATGAAATTCTTTTTTTTCAATAAAATTGACGAATGAAATTGCAATTAGCCATGCATATCAAATAGGTAACAAGCTTATTATTTTTTATTTTTCTGTTTCAAACCTCATTGTGTGACTGACTCTTTGGGGCACCTCTCAAGTCAGACACTGTACTCATTCTCTGACTTGGATGTCGCTTTTAATAGTTTTAAAAAAGTTTAACATTTTGGTATATGTTGTTTGACAAGGTCTGATGTCAGACAACCAAAATTTGGGCTCCTACAAAATAAATGGTAATAAATTATCTTCTCATAATGTTATTATTTCTGCTTAACCATTTGACTTAAAATTTTTTTAATGTGCTTTTAACTCATACATTATTTGGATGTATTGTAATAACAAAAAAATGTTATTGTCTTTGCAGTTTGTAACACCTGCACCATTTGCAGTCCCTTTTGATGACGATTGTGAAGGTGACGGCTATGACCTTGAAAAACCTCTGGTGGTTGAAGATATTCTGTCTGGTAAAGGTATGCCATGTGTTAATACTTGCAATAAAACAAAACAAAGAAAATGATATTTGCATGACAAAAATTACTTTTTACTCTTACGTAAAAGCTTGTCATTTTTACATGTTATACGTTAAGGATAAAACACATGTTTTATTGATTGGACAAATGCAAGCAGGTAATGGTTTTATATCACAATGTGACACCTCTATGTTATAAAATTACAATTCCTGCTATCAGATTTCATCACACAGTTAGATTCTTTTATTGTTAAGCTGAGTACTTCTTTAAAGTTTGGGAAAGTTCATAAAAAGGCTACTTAGTGGTATTCAACTTAACTCTGTACGACTAGTGTTTTTATAAGTGACATTTGATGAATCACTTATGATTATGGATTCATTTGAAGCTAGGAGAGGTGTGTATATCCTCCAAGTACAGGGTGACCCAAAAAGATTCGTACCCATGAAAATTTCAATTATGGCTTTAATTAAAAGGCTATTTATTTCAAATTACAACCACACATCATTCAGTTTATGGAAGACTATTCACAAGAGTTTCGGCTATTTCTGTCAATTTTTAGTCAATTTATGGCTTTCCCAAGATGTGTTCCAAATGTCCACCATTTTGTTGCAAGCAAACCTGTACTCTTGCTGTGATGGCAGTTTTAAGTTCTTCAAAAATAAGAGCCATCCCGAAAGAGGAGTGTATAAAAGTGATTCAAAACTTTGCCAGACGAGTACAGGTTTGCTTGCAACGAAATTGTGGACATTTGGAACACATCTTGGGAAAGCCATAAATTGACTAAAAATTGACAGAAATAGCCAAAACTCTTGTGAATAGTCTTCCATAAACTGAATGATGTGTGGTTGTAATTTGAAATAAATAGCTTTTTAATTAAAGCCATAATTGAAATTTTCATGGGTACGAATCTTTTTGGGTCACCCTGTATTAGCTGGGCAGTACAAAAAGTGGCACCTATTTCCCTTCAAATTATTGCCAAGTACACAAATAATTAAGATGGTGAGCACCTCCAGAATAATCTCCCAATCATGTTACAACTATAACATATAGGGTATGTCAATGCAACATCCAAAAAGCATTCACCAAAATTTACTCAAACCAAAACATCCTTCCTTCAAAATTATTCCATGCACGTCCCCATAAAAGCATGTAGCCAGTGCTTAACGTAAACCACACAAACTTCATCTCAAAACCTAGTATTTTATATAATACTTGTATTTTATAGTTAACAGACCAGTGAGGATTTACATGGATGGAATTTGTGATCTGTTTCACAGTGGTCACTCAAAGGCATTTTTGCAAGCCAAAAACATGTTTGAAAATGTGCACTTACTTGTCGGGTGTAAGTAGAACTTGAAAATTTTTCAAAAGACTATAAACTGAAAGATTTTTGAACGCTGTCACTGAATCAATAGAAACCACTTTTTGCTATAATGTATATTTTGTTCATTGAAAAGTGAAGTAGTTTATTAAAGTTGAAAGTTTTACTCCAGCCAAAATTTTTTACCGGCATTGTTGAGCATTTTTTCAGCTGTTGAAATAATTCTCCGAATGGGTATATGCTACTTATCAAGCATCGCCCTCTCATTTCGTTTCAGTGTGTAGTGATGAATTGACACATAAATACAAAGGTTTCACAGTTTTATCAGACGAAGAAAGATACGATGCTGTCAGTCACTGTCGTTATGTTGATGAGATTGTTCGCGACGCACCATGGATAGTGACTCCTGAACATTTGAAGCGTTACAGGGTGATGTAGAAATGAATTGAAATAGTGATGTACCGATATAGGATTTTACCGACATACCTATTTACGTTGCTCGCGAGATTCGTATTAAAAATGTCGATATTGTGCCGATACCGCTATTTTATGCCATTTTATGAAACTTAAACATCAAAAAGTGTACCACTTTGTGCTCACCAGCGACTGTTCTTTGATAAAAAAATGTAAAATTCAAAGCGGTTATTTACACTGCAGCCGTATTTCGTAACACAATTGTCAATGGAAATTTAATGCAATGTGGAACTAACAAATTTGAAGTTGTGTTAATTTAAGAAAAATTGTTTAGGTAATATATTTAGTATTGTTAAACTACTATTCATTTCAATTTTATTTCTATTTCAATGAAATGTCTATGTCTCAATGAACATTGGTATTATGAGCAAGAAAAATATCGATACCGATAATTGTATTTTAGAGCCGATACCCGGATATCGATAGTTCGATTTCCTTGATGTTAAGAAGTTCATATTGTTGGAAGCAGTGGCATTTTAAGCCTGCAAGTTTCTTCGTGCTGAGTAAATATTTCTGTGTTCACCCACTACTTAAACTATGGATTTCTTAAGAAATGAACGATGATAATGCTTAGAAATTTACGCAGCACGACTGAATTTGCAGGCTGATGGCGCCACTTGTTATGAGCTCTTAGAAGTGTTGCCAATTAGAGCCCTGTGGTTTTTTCATTTTCTGTGCAACCCTATGCTTTTAGCTACACGTATTTGTTTTTCGCATAGCTACAACGTTTTCTTTTTAAATTCGGTTTTCTTTAGCTGGTTGTTCGACACGGGGTGACAAGAAATTTCATTGACGAAGTCATCTTCTGTATCAACCCTAACTTGGCTTGTATTATTTTGCAGATTGACTTTGTTGCTCATGATGATCTACCTTACAAATCCGCTGATCATGACGATATTTACAAGGAAATAAAGGCGATGGGCCGATTTCTGCCGACCCAGCGTACGGAAGGTATTTCAACATCGGATCTCATTGCTCGCGTGATTCGTAACTATGACGACTATGTAAGGCGAAATTTGAAGAGGGGATACACGAGAGAAGAAATGAATGTGAGCCTCATCAAGGTAAACCTGTCGTTTTCCACTGAATGTTTTAGTCACTGAACTAGCTACCTACTTCATGATCAATCAGATGAATTCCAATGCTTGCAGCCTTAGTGAGGCAATCGCAGTAAATTCCAATAAAGACTGCACGGTGTGTCAAAAAGTGTTGGACAATTTAGAAATGTCCAGAAAACTATCAAAAATGGATCAATTTTATGTATTTCGGCAACATCATGTACCTTTTTCACAATCGTGAGTGATTGTGCGAGTGACCCAACTAACAATAAAGACTTAAAATTGAATAAACATCTAGTTTGGCTAGGATGGAGAAACGCCTAATTTTTTTCATACACCTTGTAAGTATAAAGCACGCGTGTTGTGTGCGCGGATTGTCACGAATACACGGAATATAGAAAACACAACCTACATAGCAATGTTTTAACAATATGTTGTGGGAATTAGCAGCGAAGTTAGCCTTTCAGTTATTATAGAGTTCACTAGGCAGTCGGCAATCTGGACAAGCCAGAAGGCCCCAGAACTTATGTAGCTTATAGAAAAATAATGCCCTGTAATTGTCTTTGGATGCATCTGAAATTAAAATCACTTCTGCCTGATTATGTAGGAAAAAGAACTAAAGGCCAAAGCAAAGCTGGGCCAGATCAAAGATAACATCATTCAAAAATGGGAAGAAAAATCACGCGAAATCATTGGTGGCTTTTTAGACATGTTTGGTCGAGATGGAACACTGGTAGGCCTTTACAGATCTTATTTCCCTTGTGATGACAATGATGAGGATGATAAAATAATATGTATTGATGGTTAAGATGACGTCAGTCAATATATACAGATATGCTGTTAAACACTGGGAAACCATTCAGTGATTCAATTTCACACAAAGCAATGTCCACGAATCCGTACGCAAATATGAATGTTTCTGGCAAACTTCATTTATGAAAATAGTGATCTATGTTTTCGACTGTTTTATACTCGTCTTTTCTTTCATTATACTAAATGATGCAATAAATTCTTAAACAGGTTAACTTTTTAAAAGTTAAATAAAAACGTAAAATGTTATAAAAATAATAATATAAATGGATGACAGTTAAAGAAAATGAAAAACTGATTTATTCGTCTAGATTAGGAATAAACGGCAAGTTATTTGTAATTTTTGGGGTGAAATATGTAGCGTTAAACTTGTAAATGATTGTGTAGCTGAAATTTGAAAGATTACCGGCAATTTGAGCTGGCTTCACTGTTTTATGATTCTGTCTTCCCTGTATCTAACTTGTAAATGTATAAAAAATATTTTAAACCATTACAAAACTGACACCCATCTCATTCATTTTTTTGGCAACTGCGTGACTTACTTGTAGCTAAATAGAAATTATTATTTAATAAGATAAATGATATCCATGCTTATTCATACGCAACTTTTTTCTAATTTGTTTACCCATGGTAACCTCATCGAATTATACAGCTGCTCTTCCTGAGGGCCCTGCTATCTATATTCGTCCACCGTTTTTGTGATGATTTTTTGTGTGGCTTCAAGGTCTGAAAAATGTTGAGAGTTCAAAACTGCTTTCAAATTAATATTTATACAACAAATCAAATGTTGACAACAAGCAAAGTTGAATGTTATACAGCGCTAAAAAGGAATAGTCAGTTGATGAATTTGTAAAAAATTCAAAACATAACTATTCACATAAAAATTGTTTTGTTTCCTTCTCAAATATTGAGTTAAACATGAACTTTTTATTCGGAGTATGCTTCATTTTGTACTACATAAAGCTGTCGGCCGCTTAAAATATGTACTCCAGTAGGCAACTCGCCAAAGTGGTTTTCAGTGTGTCTTGTTAAAAACATGTCAAAACTATAGTTTCACTTTTGGAAAAGGCCTCACTTTCTGAGCTAAATTTAATTTTGCGTTAATTAGTGTGAAAAGTCATGTTTGTATTCGTTGTTGAAAAGGGTTTCACTGGTTCCTTTTACGTTATTTAGAAAAATTGGCTGGGTGACTCATCCATCAACATGCAGACTGCCATTTCTCGTGTACTTTCACCCTCGCCTACTCATTCAGGATCGGCAGATGAATTCAAGTACAGTCCGGAGATCAGCGGTGATGAATCCGACGAGGAAATGATAACTGCAAAAAGACAACTTCAAGAAGATATAGACAGCGATGAAGGTCGTCCATCTAGTCCAAAGACAGGTCTTTATTAGCACCTTTGATTTACGGCAAATTTTTGTGTTTCAACTTACGTGTAAAATATGATTTTACTGGGATATATGATTAAATGCATCATTTTGAAATCAATTAATCATTTAAGTAGGACTCAAGGCCTTTGCTGAACCAAATAAGAGTTCCATTCTGCCACAATCTCAGTCAAGACGACTAGATCACTAAAGTCATAACTTCATATTGTTGAAGTAAAGTCGATTGATATAAATATAAAGTTGTTACAATTACAATTTACAATAAAGTTGTGCGAGATATGTGATATCAAAAGCTTTTTGCATCGACAAGGTTTTTGTTAGTATGGAATCTGGAAAGCATCTTTTTGTTCAGCTCGGTGGCGCCGACAAGGTTATCTCTCATATATTGTTCTTAGTTATTTTTAACGACTGTAATCTTGAAAATATTTCAATAATTGGGAGGAGCTGTCACGCCCTTACCCCGATGCTTATGATCCAGCTGGTTAGTAAGTATTGTACAGTTTGAGTGATCGTTGGATGAACGAAAAAATGAGTGAGAGCTGTATGCAGTGTTGCTGCATCTTGGGATTTCTCCTATGATCTTAGAATTTTCATCTCAATCTTTGAGTTGTCAATTTAAATTTACATGAATTTTGGGATATTTTGTTGAAAAATTTTGCTGGTTTTATGTCTCAATTGTAAAAATTTTCAACTAAGTTATCGGTCTTTAATAGCGTGATAGAATACACTCGCAAACCAAATCTGACACCGAAATTGTACTGGCATTTGTTGAGTACTTGAGCAACATTAATAATTACAAATTGTTTGTCAAAGATGCAGGCTATATATATCTGCCTTGATGAAGAATGGAACTACAAAAAAAAAACGTGCTGCTGTATGCATCGAGAGTGATGCCATACATTTTCCAAGTATATATTTTAAAAGCAAAAAGCAACATATTGACCAAATGGCAGCGAAAGTTGAAGTTCTGATGAAATAACATTAAAAACGAGCGCCATTTCCTCGTAGGCGAGAGTGCAGAACAAAGCTTTTGGCGTATCTGTTTTTTACTATGTTTGGACTTTTGACCTGCTCCCTCCCCCCTCTTCTATTTTACTTCTCACCCCTTCTTCCGTTGATGGTGTAAATTTATTCGAGTAAAAACTTCGCGGGAATTTCAGAGCAAACATGGCGCCAACCAAAGAAGATTCCCACAATGACAGTTCCCTCGAAGTTGGTATGTCTTTATGTGCCTGAAACGAATATTCCAAAGATATTTATCGTTGTGGTTTTTTCCATCAAGATTTATATTCAATTATTGTTGTTTTATTTTACCGATTGTTTCTTATCGATTGGTCGTTGTGATCATTCTGTCAAACTATTTTGTTTTATGTCACGCAAGACCCTGTTGCTATTCGCCGTGGCAGACGATTGAAAAAAGAAACTGGAGCCAGCGCTGCGTTGAAGAAAATCAAGTAAGCATACTTCATTTTTTTCAATCAGAAAATATTCAAGAATGTCCAAGTCTTTGATCACTAAGCTAATGGCCTTCAGTAATAGTTTTGTACATTACTCCATTCACTTATATTATTTACATATTTTTCCTGAATTGATTTCTTCTTTGAAAGATGTGACTCAGGTTTGAAGCTAAAGGGAATGGTGAGGGGGGATGACACAGGACACCACCAAAAATTTTAACAGTAGATCAAGTTGGTGATATGTTACAGTACTTGAAAGCCGTGCAAAGTAAAAGTATTTGGTTGAATGCCATTCATGTCAGTTGGTCATGTGACACCCTGATTTTTGAAGATTATCTTGTTGCCCTTAGATCATTTTTCTAATGAGAGGAATTTTAAGCCTTGGAGCAAGAACATCATACTTGAACAACCTGGTTAATGTATGTATTAAGAACTTTTTTTTTCATAGACAATCAAGACAAACAGGAGAAAAAGTAAAATATGAGGTGAACAGTAAAGTGGAGCCTTTTATAATTTATTTAATTAACATTTCCACCTGGACACTAACAAAACATAAATATTCGTTCAAAGATTGACGAAATTGAAAATGTTTATGATGAAGTGGATGAAGCAGAATATTCCAAGGTTGTTAGGAAGCGTCAACTTCAGGATGACTGGATAGTAGATGTTGGTATGTGATGCAATTTCCAATTAAAATTAAGTTGTAACTTTCTAGTAAGTGCTTTTTTTGTAAGTAGATCTGGACAAGCATATGCAACTATCAAAATTCTTGAAAAAAAAAGTTTTAGTATGATTTTGATTAAACCAAATAATATGATGTTGGTGTATCTATTTATGTACCCTCCATGAATATTATATGGCAATTGCATGATGCCCTATGTGAGAATTGTGCCTATTTATAATTTATGCCCAGTAGACTCAGCTTAATTTAATGTGATTTAATAAAATTACTCACCATCAAATTAATATTGTACGTTTTGCAACAGATGGTAATGCAGATGGATATGTTGATGATGGTCGTGAAATATTTGATGAAGACCTGGATGAAAAACCAACTAATGCAGGTTTCATGCACTTTGCTTTTATGCATTTCTGAAAAAAACTCCCAGTAAACATAATACGTTCTTCACTTAGCTCAAAAGAAAGGGCAGAAAAAAAAGATTGTAAGTATTTTCAGGTTTTTGTATGAAAACAAAATCTTTTTATTTCTTTTATTATACAATGATTATCATAAAGTTTTGAGGCATGAGCTGAGCTAAAGAAGGATTAATTTAGTAAAGAATGGATTTGCTAATTAATGGATCATATCTAGCATGTCATCAATTATGTTGAGTGATATCCTAGGTTATCCCACATAGCCTAGCTTAACCTCCCCAAAAATATTTGAAGCTTTAAATTGGGTTTTCAATAAATTTCAGAATGTGAAAAAACCTTCAGCTCAGCCAAAGACGATCACAAGTATGTTTCTGATGGGCTCAAAATCAAATAAACTCCATCAGGTAAAAGCTTGAGGTGCCATATTGATGTTATATATATTCAATGTTATGCAGAACACTGTTCTCTGGCCATAACTGTATGTACAACTTTTGTTTCATGTTCTAAGAATAAAAGTGTTAAAATTGAGGATGATGAACTGCTCAATGGTATACTTGAAGACATGAGTGTGCCGGTAAATTTTATTTTATTTTTCTATTGTGAGTTGAAAATTTAATGATAGCTACCATTGGATATGAAAATGTTTAGTTTAATTTTTGGTTAGAGTTATGCAACAGTGAATATTTTTCCTACAGAGACCTGTTATAACTACCAATCCTGCAAGAACTCCCATCAGGCATGATGCAAGGTACGTATGCAAGTGTTACTTTGTACATGGGAAAATAATGTCATTTTAACTCGACTGGAAAGTAGCTGCCTATCTCTCTGAACTACTACACAATTGGATTATTAAACAATTTAAAAATTATTTATCTTTGCTATTACATCACCATGCTGAATCATACCTTCAGTAACTTGTGCAAAGATTAGCTCAGTACAAATTATGTTTTGAAAGTATTACATTTTATACGCAGGACACCAAAGAGCACTGGTCGAAGGAGGGCGGTGCCTCGTCGATTGCAGGTGATCATAAATATGTATTGAAAAATCAATTCGTTTATTAGGCATCTTGTCTGAGTCCACCTTTTGTAAATGTCAAGAAAAAATGTAGCTTCAGTGTTGGTCAAATTGATATGTCAAATCTACTTAGACCTGTTACTCTACGTACTGGTCTCTCATACGAGGGCAGCTTTTCAGCTACATTACGTGTATAATTTGGCTTTTTAGGAAGAACTTATTGTATTTCACCTTTTAGCCACCCACTTCAGCATCGTATTACAACCAAGCCTATCACGAACCTGTCATGCGCGCTTCACAAATTTCGGCTTCTTTACCCCCATTGGTTTCTCGAGCCGCTAGAGAATGCAGAAAGAATGGACGTCAATCGTTGAATGTTTTCAAACAAGATATGGAAGTACCTGACGATGTGAACGAACCTATGGATACTGGAGTTTTTAACGGCGACGATAATGTTGAGGAAAATGGAGGTTGGTTTGAATTTTGAACTTACTTTCTACTGTGATCCATCTCATCAATTATACTAGTTTTTATACGATGTTAGCAAATAATTTAAACTCAACTTTGTGTTTTGATATGCGGCATCATCGTTTTTATATGCGGTTTCAATATGAAGATCTGCCACATACTGTTACAATGCATCTGGATGACCTGAATTGAGATCGGATATTTTTAAATACGTAAGACTACTGACTGAACAAATACGTCACTGTACGGGGGAAATTCTTCTGTATTAAGTTTTTCATAGATTGAAGACTTTTCTTCGAATGGAACGAATTCTTTTCAAGAGGGAAGATTTTCCTTTCCTTACAAAACGTCTTTGGGATAACCAATGGAAATCCTTTTTGACAGTATCTCTTTGATGTAAACCTTATAGTTACAGATGCTGAAGATATTGATGAAAGTGTAAAAGACGAGATAAAGGCGTTTGATGATGTTGATATGCAACAGTATATCATGGATGAATTTGGAACTGAAGATATGGAGGCTATTGATGCTGTCGAAGAAAGTGCTCTGAAAGTCGAAGTAAAGGTACGTAAGAACTTCTAAGGTAAGAACCTTACGTTGGTTTTAGTTGACTGATTATTAATAAACGTCGTCTTTCATAATAATATAAATATATGCGATTCATTTAGAATGAAGAAAGCACTCAGAGAAAAAACAGAGGAGCAGCAGACCTAAACAAGACAAAGTATAAAACATCTGACAATTTTTTCGCATTTAAGCGTTTTTTGTTGGCCATATTGTGCATGAAAGTTTTAATTGTGAAATCGAGAAAACGAATTTTTTTTAATGGATCGTGTTGAATTCCTTCTAGCACGTCCTTTATTTTATATGCGGTTTTCTAATTGCCCCATACATATATTTTAGAATTCATTTGAACGATATTCAACCCGGCGAAATGTTTGAAACAATCAAGGGACAAATTAGTTCAAGTGCAGAAGAGGTTTGTACTACTGCAGAAGAGGTTTGTTACGGAACGGGGCGGTAGATTGATGTTTATTGGACGTTTGGGAGAAGTTAGTTATATATATACGCGTTTCACTTGAAGTTCAGCAGCGTGTGAAGTAATGTGTTTGCATTTATAGAAATTGAAAGATATCAACGTGGACTCCTCATCTTTAAATCTTTCGAAAAATGAGAAAGGTTAGCAAAAGATTTCATTTTGTTATTGTTATATTTGCTGGTTATTTATTGCGTTTAGTTTATAGACGTTTCCCTGCATTCACATTTGCTTATAAAATGAAAACAATAAAACTCGTGCGTTGATTGGTCTATAACCGTAGTTGCATTAGCCTGTGCAAAACAAATCTGAGCTCAACCAATCAAATCAATCTTTTTCGTATTATTGTTATTTTACAAAAGAAATAAAAGATGTTTTTCGAGTTTGCACTGGCTTATGCAAATCGTTTGTGAGAACTCTCGAGCCGGTGCAACCCTCGACCTTTGGTCTCGGTCTTACACTTATCAGCTCTCGAGTTCTCCCTAAGGTCTCCTTGGTTTGCATAAGCTTTTGCAAACACAGTAAAATCTTCTATTTCTTAAATAAATATTAACGTAACATTGTTAGGTGAACTGTTCTTTAAGTTTTATTGGATTGACGCCTACGAGGATCAATACGCACAACCCGGTAAGTGGCCCTTGTGTCTTTGTGAACTCTCGTCGTTACCTAATATACTGTCCAACGATGTTTACGTACATTGCGGCAACTTGAATTTAAAAAACGACTCGTGTAGGTCTTCATTTATTAATGATTTGGCAACCTCGCGATATAGTATATGTTGTATGTTGTTGATGATATCCATGCATGTGTCTTTTCTTTTCTCCCCAACTCTCTACCTTTGATCGAAGTATTTGCACTGATTGGCTCTTTTTTGTACCAATCCACGGAAAATGCAACTGAACGTTTTTGTCTCCAAGTCCTTTCTTTTAATGTTCATTTTCAAAGGTTATTTTGCTCGCATTTTGAAAAAAGGTGATGGTTGAAATAAGTTGACATAAGTTGCTTATTTAAAATTTTTGTGTTGCGAGTGGAATGTCCCTATATATATATACCCTTACCAAACTAAGGCTCTTTGATCATTAAAGACAAAAACTTGAACCAAAAAGCAATTGTTATACTCGAACGAAATACGTTTTGGTTAATATTCAACCCAATATTGTAGTTTCATTTTAACTCCATACCGTTAACATTTAACCAGGATGCTTTTTGAGTGTGAATCCGTTCACCTCCCGGTTAAGTACGGTTTAGTACGAAACATATTACATAAGTCCAATATTTTTACTCGTGTGTGGAACCTTTTTCTCTTTGCGTGATAGGGACTGTCTTCCTGTTTGGAAAAGTGTGGGTGGATACGGCAAAATCTTATGTCAGGTTAGTCAGTACATTTTCTCCAAACGCTCAAGAGTGCGAAAAACTAGCCTGTGGTGCTCAAAGGGCAATCATGGAAAACAGAAAATTTCATGAAACTTCACGTATACATTCTAAATAATTTCGTGGGAATTTTTGTTAGTTGTTGTGTCGTCGTCAAGAATATAGACAGGACTCTTTTCTTTCTTCCTCGTGATACGGTAGGATTTTTCAGTTTTTGTATGCGGTTTTGTTCATCATCTTAGAGCTGCTTTTTTTCTCATGAAAATGGACATTGGGGACTAAATATGAACCAAAAAACATTGTGACAATTCAAATTTACAGTCTTCACACGAGTTTATTCTTTCGTGCGAAACACATCGGCTGCCATTTTGATTTTTAGAAGACATGTATGCATTATATGACTGATTTCGTTTTAGTCCAAATGTCACCTCAAACATTTTTATTGTTATTATTTACTTCACCATTTCCGTGTTTTTTGTATGTTTTATTGATAATACAATTCAAGAGAAACGAGCAAGTAATAAATTAATTATACTTATATATTTGAGGTTTGCTGACATTTGCAATAAGTTGAAATGTTTCATTTGGTTCAAGCAAGTGAGCTATATCAAAACCTCATGTGATATTGACTATTTATGCGGGGCATAAAATTCTCTGTAGAAAGTTGCTGCTGATGGGTCAGAAACCGACGAGGCTGTTGAATTTACTGATGTATACGAGGTAATATACATAAGTAATTGATACAGCTTGCCAAATTAGCAATTTCAAATCTGCTATGTGCATTGAAAGTTGACTTAAATGTCAAATCAGTCGTAAAAACATTTTATTTCGAATGTTTGGAAAAGAATCAAGGATGGATGGTTTGTTGTTGTATTTATAGCCCCCATTTAAACGCTTGTCTTGCAGGCTTGCTGCATGCTGTGTTTTCCACAATGCCCGCAGCACTTGCACGAGAATTATGAACTGACGTGCTAAACATTAACATGAAGAACGAGTTTTCGCGCTATTTTTTTTGTTTGGTCATGTGATACGTAGAGCTACAGATGTAAATTACGTCAATATTTTGTTGTCTAAGTCTCTTTGAGGGGATCAAATTCATTCGGAAATGAATGTCATTATTCTCGTACGTATCTAAACTTTTTATTTGTTTCAAATCAAAATGACTACATGTGTCAATTTGGATAATCCAGTTGCAGTGGCTAATATTGTAAAATTGTACATACCACACGTTTTTTTTCAGGAATTTAACGAAATAGCTGACAAGTTGAAAATCATGAAATTCTCTGCACGGGTACTATATTTTGTCAATTCATTTCTGAGATGTGAGATTAGGTGCAAGCGATGATTAATTGCTTGTTGTACATTGCTTAAGTAAGTGTTTTCTGTTCAACGCGGAGGCAAAAGATAGCGTTATCTGTACGATCCTGATGGTCGACGATCTTTATGACTTACGGTAACATTTTCTTTGCATTCATAACCTTCTCTTTTTTTGTCTGTAGCGTTCGACAAAATTATACGCGTTTGAAGTGGAAGGAGTTCCTTTTTCTTCGGAGTATTTGGAAGTTAAATATTCGGTGCGCATTTAGTGTTCTGATTTCAATCTGACGGTATTCTAAATCTCAAAAACTCCTTTCTGTTGCTGTTTGTCCACTAGGCAACTGATTCAACGTTTCCTACGGACATTACGGGAAAAACGTTCAGTCATGTTTTTGGCATTAATACGTCAAGGTAGGATAGCATGTAAAATAAATACGAAAAATACATCATTGTACAGCCGCTAGGAATTTTATGGATCCGATTGTTTGACCCCATTTGCAATGTGATTTTTATGAAATGAAGGTAATTTGGTATAGCTCCTCACTGAAAATTGCTGATCGGCTTGTTACCAATCTGCTAGATTAGATTTTCTTTTCATTTTTTGTTGGTGCTTATGTTGAAAGTGACTAGCTAAATGCTTCCTAAAGGCTTGACTTTCTTCTTCTTTTGCAGTCTCGAGCTGTTGCTACTGCAGAGAAAATTGAAAGGTCCTGGTTGGCTCGAGATCAAAATGCCCCGTACGTAATTATAGGAATCTGTTTATTTAGTTTGTATCTGCTTTGTCGCGTTTTAGCGGGAACAAACTCATGAACTACAAATCGACATTTTCTAAATATTCATTTGTATAAGCCTTTTGACTGTACAATACAACAGACAAAATGCACTGAAATAATTATGCCAGCGCCTTTGAATGTTAAAAGAAGTTGGGGAGCGACCTAGTTAGTTGGAATGATAAGTACATATTCATATACGATCCGGTTGAGACATTCTTTCATCGCGAATATATACATAACTCTACCTCCAAACAATACTGGATACGTTTGACGTTTGTATGGTGGGCCATTTTTTGAAAGAATTCGACGTTTATTGGTTTACTAACATGTAATACTGTATACGTATTTTAAGCTTATTAAAAAGGACATAAACTGTCTTTACGTCACTAAATTTCCTCATTTATTTTGCAGAAATTCCCAATCAGCTTACAAGTTGGTGCAAATTGGAGGTATTGTATTCATAAAGTCAGATATACTTTAGCTGTTTGAAATGATTGATAGTATGAAAAAGTTGTATTTGACCGGAATATATTATTCTAAATTTATATAATTGTGTTATTGCTATGCATTAGTAGAACATCGCATTCTTTATGTCAAAAATCGTTCCATTTAGGCAATTGTTAGTAAACCGGAACATATCAATGTACTGACATCCGAAAAACTAGATCCACCTCCTCTGGTAAGCTGATTGCTAGAGGTTTTTCATGACTAAATCAATAATCGTTGATTTGGGTACATTTACCTTTAGGTCGTGTTAAGTTTATCAATCAAAACAACGCTGAATCCCAAAACACATTTGCAAGAGGTAAAAGTAATTTATTTTCTTGTAAACATGTTTCGTATTAATGACGCATTATCAAGTTATTGACTGTGGTCAATGGTTCTTGCATAAACGTTCAAAAGTTCTAAATATACGTATTTGTAAGTGTTTAAAGCTCAGCTATTCGTTACAGATATTAGCTGTTTGTGGCCTGGTCCATCAGGATTTCCATGTCGACAAACCAGCTCCAAAAGACCGATATTTTCAAGGATATTTTTGTGGTACGCTTATAGAAATGATACGTCGATTTGAAGGGGAATAAAACACTCCAGCTGGCTGGTGTAGTTTTTACACTCTTCGCTTGGTTCTCGTGATTTTTTCTCAAATAACGTTAAATTACAAAATAGTGTGTTTGGACTACATCGAGCTTACTGTACATCGCATTTTTATAAGAATACTTTCTTCGTATTTTTAGTACTTCGCTTGTTTCACGAAGACTGTGCTTGAAAAATATGAAATATGCTTGATTGATTTGCATGAAAATTATCATTTACACTGTAGTTTTGCTGGTTCGTACAAGCTTAAATCTGTAAATAAAAGTCAGTTTTATATGATTGAGACTATGGTAGGAGAGGGAATTTATATGGATTTCTCGAAGGAAAATAATTCGATGTTCTAGGCGTGACAAAGCCATCCGATTATACGTTTCCATATGATTTGAAGAATGTTCTGAAGCAACAGGTATCCTTCCATAGATGTATTTATAGTTAGATTATTAAGCATCTTGCTTGTTGTACATATACATATACACAATATATAAATAACCAAGATTGCTAAAAAATAGTCAGCAAGTCAACTCGGCTTTCAATGGCTTGTTTCGAATCATTTTTAGTTTAATATTCCAAGGATTAGGCCACTGTATATGGGTGCATTTCCAAACAGATTCTCATAAAGTTGACTAATTTCGCGGAATATTTCTAAACGAAAATTTAGTACAGCTTACTATCATCAAAAATTTTTGGCAATAGTCACTAAATTGGATCCCGGAAAAATTTGTGACGTTCATTGCGCACGCATGTAGCAATGACGATTTAGCTACATGCATTGACTATACACCACGTGGCTATGTGAGACAACCAGGAGTCGAGAAAATATTTAAAAATTAAAATATTCAATACCACAATCTGTTAAAAATTACTTTGTGTGTTTACTAATTCTCGTTTTCACCAACACGAATTGTTGATTTATTTGTTTTCAATTTTTGAGGAATTACACGTCGAATCTTGTGCCAATGAAAGGTCTCTTCTTGGATTCGTCATGGCAAAATTGCAGAAATATGACGCGGATGTATATGTGGTGAGTATGTAATAATGGCAATGGCGTAGGCCACCATGCTGATTGAAATATTGTAAACATCAAATTTCTTGAAAACGGAAATGTGGAATGAACGAGTATTTTTTATTCACCAGGGTCATGATATCAGTACGTTTGATCTAGATGTATTGTTGCATAGAATCAATGCTTGCAAGGTAATATATAGCGACACTGGCAATAGTGTGATTTTTCAGCTCTACATATTTTATTGCGTTGGGCAGTTTCAGTGTACAGTTTGTCGAAATTCGTTACAACAACTCATTCTTGGATGTATTTACATTTCAAAACATTTTGGATACAATTCGATTGGTTCAATTTTATTCTATAGAAACATTTCACCCAAAGCAGCATGATTATTTATGAACGTATTTTAAGATAAATTCGAGTTCAGTTTTTTAAGTTGATTTCATTTCACCCTTACTTAGTTTGTGGGTTGATCTGGTATCTCGTTAGTGAAGCAATTTCGAAAATAGAGTTTTCAGTTCATAATTTGCGATTTTGACACGCGTTTTTACAAAAGTAGGGAACTGTTTCGCCCAAACAATCTCCATCAATTCCCTCTGCATAAAATGCTTAATTTTTTCTGAAACTATAAATATGTAATTCAGGACCTTATTGTTGCAAATAGAAACACATAATAGTACGACTACATGTAGCTGTAATTTTCTACGTATATCACTCACTTACGTATATGCATGATTTATAAACATGTTGAATTGAAGGTACATACCTGTTGATATTGTCGTCTAGGTAGTATTTTCCATTAGGTGGTATTTTTTGTCCATAAAACAAAAGAACGTCAGATTTATATGATTGTTATTTCTTATAACGATTATAACTAATTTCGCTGTATTTTGAATAACCGTTAGTGACGTGTAAGTGACGTCATTGGCTCATTTTTAGATCCCTAGTTGGTCACGTGTAAGTCGACTGCGAAGAAAAATAATGCCAAAACTGTCGGTATGTGCTTTGGAGCTTTTAACTGTTCATATTCATTTCTGATGGTATAGTCAGGAAAAGAAAATCACATGCATGCTTATGAACATGTAAATTTTCTTAAAGCTTGTCGTATTTAATGCTTTAGTTTGGTTCCAAAAGTGGGTTTGCCGAGCGAACTGCTACGTGCGGACGTCTTGTTTGCGATGTAAAAGTTTCATCGCAAGAACTGATTCGTTGTAAAAGTTACGATCTGTCAGGTGAGATATTTATTCATCAGTTTGTAGTCGTTCGTCTGGCATTTGGCAACAATCATCGAAATAATCGTATCACAAATTCTTTTTTCATGTCACGCATATTTCAAACCTGTTTATGTAGAATTAACCAAAATTGTTTTGAAGAGCAATCGGCAAGAGATATCGGAAGAAGATACCCTTGAAATGTACAGGTCAGTGGCGCCTGCTATGAACTTCTCCTAGATGCTCGAGCTGTTTCATTTTGATCTCTAATGCGCATGTGCATAACGGTAGTAAATGATTTACTCAAAACTACGAGGTTTGTCATTTTCGAGCTAATCATTTAAACAATTCAAGATTCGACATTTTCAGGGTGAATGCTAAAAACTCGCGTTCGTCATAAATTTTTAGTATTCATGTTTCGTGTTTTTTTTTCAAGAGTAATGTTTGAGCAAAAACAAGTGTTGTTGCAAAATTCTCTTTCTAGTCACTGTGCGTTAGTTTAGTTTTTGCGAAGCTGAAGCACTTTTCGCAAGACGATACGTCATTTTGCTTTAAAAACTGCGTTCTCAAATTTCTAAAAAAAGTTTTACCATATGTTAGAGTATGTTATAGCTATGTTTGTTATTGTAGCTCGTCAAATGAACTCTTATCAATGCTGAAGTTAATGCTGGTAGGTTTTAAGAGATGATATTGCAAAACAGCTTTGTGTTGATGGTGGTAGAGATTTTTGACAAAGTTGTAGTAAGCCATTCGAGTTTCACTAAAATGTTTCATGAATCATTTTAGACTGACAGTCTTTACGTCTTAAGAATAATGTACGAATTGAATGTAAGTTATGATTTTCTTGTTTACTCTTCTCTCGTTGTTTAGAGGTGAATTTACTTAACATCAGTTCAGAATTTTAACTTAAAATTTTTATCACATAATATACATATTGTACTTTAATAGAAATTCATGTTAACTACGAACATAACTAGATACTTCGTGCTTTGACTTTGGAGGAAATATTTTTTTACAAACAGTCAACAATAAGGAAATTTCATTTGCAAACTCTAGTTATTTCGTGTTTGAACAACTTGGCCCCTAAATTTCAAACCGTGTATGGTACAGTACTTTGCTTTTCTGCATGTAAGGACGTTTTACCGTAACTAGCTACTATTTAGCATAAATCTGTTTTGTTTTACTGTACATGGAAAATTGTTTTTTTTTGAAGTAAAATATGTAGCAAATTTTTGTAGGTTATGCCATTGGCATTGCAAATTACGAATATTGCTGGAAACCTGATGGTGAGCCTTCGTGTGGTGGATTATGTACTTAGCTTGTGTGTATTAACGTCAGTTTACGTTTAGTCTAGAACACTTCTCGGTGGTCGCTCAGAAAGAAACGAATTTCTCTTACTTCATGCTTTTAACGAGAAGTATGTCATTTAGTTAAAGTTTTTTGTTAAAATTTTGCATTGATTGATTAACCACATTGCACGATTAGTCATTTGAAGACGGTGTGACTTTACTATGTATTGAAACTGCAATAAGATGCTCTTTTTTGCTTCGATTTCTTGTCGAATACATTCAGATTACGAGGTTGTTAAAGCCACAGTTCAAATTTTACAATCAATAGAATGAAACATTTAATCAAAACGTTTTATGTTTGTGAAGAAAACCTCAGTACGCTTGAAAAATGTAGTGAACCAGGTTGACAAAGGCATTCTTCCCCTGAACATTATTGTTGGTCAGCTGTGCATTTCATTATGAATTTAATCATTTTAGGAATTTCATATGTCCTGATAAGTCGTTTGAAAAGAAACAGAAGGTAGCTAGCGTTTGGAAAATGACGACGCATATTAAAGTGATCAACCCCCTTTTGACTGTTTTGATTTATTTTAACTTCTTTCCTCTTTAGGCAGCTCAATCACCAACAACAAACGATGGAAACGCCATTTCGTCGACCAGCACAGCGAAAAAAAGTAGAAAGAAACCTGCGTATTCAGGTGGTCTTGTTTTGGAACCAAAGCGAGGTAATGCTCGAATGTGAAGTAACATTGTTTTATGCGATGTTTGTCTTCATTTCACATTTTACGTCATGCATGTTGAAAATTCAGGTTTTACCAAAAATTTACCAAAATGTTTTTAGAAAATGAAATGACGCTTTTAGGAAAGTTGATTTTTAGCTACTTGAATCGAGTGTTTATGTATAAGTTAGTGAAATTTAGTTATTAATTATTAAACGATTTTGTACAATTCGTTGACCAGTACAAGTTTGTTGACCATTTTTTCTTCAACGAACATGCGCAAGATGTAATATTTTATTAATCGATTGTTGCCATGGGCGTAAGAAGATAGATACGTAATTAAGGGGGCTCATATTCATAAATGCATGAGATGCATTGTTAAGCTTCTTTGTAATTTATTTTTCTTAGCGGATTGTACCATTCATATATGAATATGAGCCCTCCTCATTATCGATATTCCTACGCCCATGATTGTTGCTAAAGTGTGCTAATGTTTTTAGGTTTTTACGATAAGTTCGTGCTTTTGCTCGACTTCAATAGCTTGTATCCATCCATTATTCAAGAGTATAACATTTGTTACACCACTGTTAATCGAACTCCTCCCGATGGCATGGTATGTTTTATCTTTTCAATAATATAAAACTTCTCTATTCCCAAACCTTCATAGATGAGAAAATCAACTACCCAAGTTTGCATGTGAATTCATATTTCGATGATAGCTTTAGAATAACAATTGTGCGTGTGGTAGAGCTAAGATTGAAACATTACCTTGCGTTGCTAGGAAAAAGATGACGTTGAATCATGGGTGGATCTGCCTGATTCGGATTTAGATCCAGGTGTTTTACCCGTGCAGATTCGTAAACTTGTGGAGCGACGAAGAGAGGTAGGTGGAGTGTTTCACCTCTTTTTTTTTCTTGTTTAGTTACGTGATGGACTTTAAAGGTTGTATCTCAAACTTTGATTTTTGAACATTTGGTATTTATAATTGAAATTTTTCGATGGTACATCATTTTTACACGACCGATTTCAATTTGATATGTCATTTATGTATTTATTTTACAAGTAAATAGAGAAAAGTGAACTTAGTTTTTTTGTGACTCATAAAACTGTTCTGTCTTTAAGTGCTACACTTTTACCTTTTCATTTTGTACATTGATTTAAAATATCTTGCTGCTCGCTGCTGACGTGCAGCTGTAAAATATTTCAAAGTTGCAAATTCCATGGCAACTATTTAGCCAGTTTTGTGTAATTTTTTCTTTTGCTTTGTTAAGGTGAAGAAATTGATGAAAGAAGTTAATATAGACTGTGATCAATACATGCAAGTACGTTCCGTTGCATTTTGAAAGCTGCACGTTGATTTAGAAAACAGAATATTGTCCTAAACTTGTCATGAAATACGTAGCTTGCTTTGTTGGTATGACATGGTCGTATTACATACGTACGTATGTGCGATTGGTGATATTGAGGAATATCCCGCCCGTATTTTGTGCTCACGAATAACTGCAACGATAGATGTCTAAACAAATAAAAGTTGTTTGCGTTCTGTGATTTCTATGGCAGGACTAAACATGCGGCCTGGCTACACCTATGATTACATGTTTTTCCGTTAATTTCACCTTTTTTGTTCATGATATTATATTGCCAATGCTGCTACCAAGCTGAACTGAACTCACATCAAGCTCTTCATTTAGTATGATATTAGACAAAAAGCATTGAAGCTTACTGCGAACAGGTGGGTTTATTAATAATTTTTGTATTCTGTTTTTTGTGTAATATCGAGAACTAACAGACTTCACTTTGCGTTGTTAATGGAATAAAGCCGAATTCTTTTATGCTATAAATTAATAAAAAGTCATCGGCCTTTACATAATTTTAATCGCAACACAACTCGCGGATAATATTCCACATCTCTTTCAACAAGAGCCAAATTTATCTGCTTGCTCTTAGCCGATCACTTTTGTAGATTGTGTAATTGTATGGTAATTAAATGTTAGAAACAATCGGTAGTGTAGCCAGCCCGTAAGTTTTGTCGTACTTTGTAAATGTTTCGTTGTTCACTCGCCATAAATTGTTAGATTTAAAGAAATGAATACATTACGTATTCATGATCTGAGATATTTTCATTTATGACCAAACATGCCTGCTGGCTACGCCACTGAAAGCAATACATACGTATGCCTTAAAGATAAAACTGAAGTAAATTAATTTTGATATTCCTTAATATGTTTAGTATGTATGGATGTCTTGGATTTTCAAACTCGCGTTTTTATGCAAAGCCTCTCGCAGCCCTGGTCACTAGTAAAGGAAGAGAGGTGAGCAAGTGTCAGCAAGTGTTTTATTTTGTTATTCTTTTAACAATTTGATGAGAGCCTCGATTTGTTACGTTGTCAATTTTGATGCAAAGAGTTAAATGATCAAACCTTTGGCTTGTTGATGTAGTTAATGATTGTGCTTGGATAACTTCATCTCTGGACGTACGAATATATTAAAATGTAAACAATTGAAATATTAGGGATTTAACTGTTAGAGATTATAGCAAAATCCATTACCAGCCGACAATTTACGAAGTATAGTAAGAAACATACTCCAAATAACAGGTCCATGTTTAATTCAATAATTGATAAACAAACAAGACATTTTCATGCAGTAAACTGTCTTGTTTGTTTCTCAAATATTGAGTTAAACATGGACTTGTTATTCGAAGTATGTTTCTTATTATACTTAACTGTAAAGTTTCTCTCCTTTTTATTTGCCTATTCGGTTGTCATCATTTTCAGAAAATCATCCAAGTTAACTTTTCCATCATGATCAAAATCTGCCTGAAACAGCATGTCCTGTAATTCTTGCTCGTTGAAGGATTGCTTTAACGTATTGAAAATATGTCTGATATCACTCAGTGAAATATGTCCTTTTTTTGCACGATCGAACACTTTGTACGTTTGGCTTGCCATTTCTTCATCTGATAACACGTGAAGCTTTTTTATTGCCATCTCGTAGAATTCTTCGAAGTCGATTGCGCTATTTCCGTCACTATCTGAGAAGATGAAAAAATAATTTTTTTGTTATATGGATGCAGTTGTTCATTGTTCGCTAAATTTGCTTTTTGTTGGTGGTTATTGATGAAATGCATGCAGTTTGAAAAAGACAGAGTGCTTGGGGTGGGAGGTTGAAAGAGTGAAAAAGTAATGGTGTCTTTTATTGATTTTGTCCTCATGGTGAACTTCTTAAATTTACGAATACAGAAAATATGCACATTTCTGGAAAAATGACTGTAACATTTATCAATTATGCTTACATTCGAGTATGTACAAATGATTGGGTTCTTTGTCATCTTTTGGTATTTGCATTTGTTTATATGAAGTATCGATAAAGCAAAACGCAATATCAAGTTATTTTGTGGTAGTTCTGTAAGACGGTACATCATAACTATAAGTACATTTACCTATTATGTTCATCATATCCATAATTTCACATTCTGTCATATTATAACCCAATGAAGTTAGGAAACATCGCAAATCGGACGCTGAAATACAACCATTTCTGTTCTTCTCGAGAATTTCGAATGCCACTTTAATGTCGGTCGTATTTTCCTGTTGAATTTAAAACTATCGAAATGGTTTCAAATGATTGACGTGGTTTTTTATTTAACTAGAAGGAATTTTATATACCTTTGTGGTTTTCTCTTTCGCATATTTTCTTTCGTTTTGTTCCGGTTTTTGCATGATTAACTCGCAGTAAATAGACGATGTTCAGTGAGGAATGTATACCTATCGAATTATGATTACGTTTTCGGAGTAAAATATAATTAATGAGTTTTCACTGCCATTGTGTTTCTTGCACTAATTCTTAAATCAACAATATTAGTTGTGTGGAAACTTCGTAGAACTCGTGAATGCTCTGATTCACAAACCTTTTTATGAACCCCCTTCACATTTAAACCGTAATTCGTGTTCAAATAGTGATTGTCGATACATCCATTATTTTACAACACGAAAATTCGAACTTAGCTTTTCTGTAATCATAGAAATACCCACAATTCATCATAGAGACGGCATGGTTTCGACAGCTTATTTTATCTTTGCGCTAAAGCTTCGTAATTCGTGTGGTCAACATTGGCAGACTATAGGATTATCGCATTTACTGTAAAACATATTTATCAACAGATCTGTTTATGAAAGGTTTAATGTATTGGATATTTTCTCTTCTCTTTGTTTGATTTCGTACTTTTTAAAAAAACTAAGAGCATGTAGAAAAGCTCTGTAACTACTGCCCTACGATCTAGTATAATAATGCTTGTTTGCATTTTTAGTTTGTCACAGACATTATTGATGTGTTTTGTAAACATCGTTGTTTAACTTGTTATAGATTCTGTTAAAAACCAAAGATCTCGTTCAAGGAATGAATTTGGATGTTATATACGGTGATACGGACTCCATTATGATCAACACAAATACGACGGATTTTAAGGAAGTCCTGAAACTTGGAAACAAGGTTCATACTATTGTTTGACTTCTATTAAGTCCCCGCGCATCTCGCTTTATACGTCCTTAGTATAGTAAACATACGGTAGTTCCACTCCATTTTTCTCGCGCATCTTACTAAATGAGCCCGTCATTACCATAGTTGCAGCAAGTGAGCGACATTTCCTGTCCAATAGGAGAGCCGAGATGTCTAACAGCGGTCACTAACCTAATTAAATATTTAGCGCCTAGTTGCACAGCGAAGTGGACCTACTATTTATTGCTTATACTGTGATTTGTCCTTGAAATGAAACATTGTTAAGAATTAGATGATCGAAACCTATTTTTGTGCTTTATACAGGTGAAGAGTGAAGTGAATAAATTGTATAAACTTCTGGAAATTGACATCGATGGTGTTTTCAAGTCAATGTTACTGCTAAAGAAAAAGAAGTAAGAATGAACGCGAAAAAACAACAAAAATTCATCATTAGACCACAATTCGGCTTCCTCGTTTAAAAATATGTCTAAACGACTAACGAAATTCTATGTCTACATTTTAATTACAAACGTAAAGGATTGCTATTAGGTTTTGATGTTGAAGTTCTTAATGCATTTGATAGTTTCGCCAGTAAAGGCCCAGAATATTGAAACTTCGTCATGCTCATCACTTCATTTCAAACTAATAGAAAGTCATTCATAGCTTGAGAAACAAAGAAATATTTTTGATCTATTTTCTAGGTATGCCGCTATAACTGTTCAAATGCTTGATGATGGTAAACGATGTATTCTTAGCGCATGTTATTTCTAATGCTTGTATTTTGAATTATACTATAAGTAGTTGTGTAATTAGTTGTTCTCTATATGTATTCATATAATTTTGTTTTCTCAATTTATTTATAGGAACATTACACGAGTCCAGAGAAATAAAAGGTCTGGATATTGTACGAAGAGATTGGTGTGAACTTGCAAAGGATGCTGGGAAGTACGTCTTCATTTTCGTTCAATGCGAGTTTTGTGTCGTTCAATGTTTCATCTTTTGTTGTTTGTTTAGCTACGTTTTAGATCAGATTCTATCGACTGATGCAAGAGACACAATCGTCGAAAACATTGCAGAATATTTGAGCAAAGGTATACATCGAGTTTGCCGATGACTTTTGTGCACCGAAATTTTTGACGAAATGTTACATTCTTAATTATTGCTGTTTTGGGGTGATGATTATATGGACGACGTTGGTTTTTGCAAACAAGTTAAATGTTTTCTACGATAATGGTGTGCTGCGTATATTACATAATAAAGTACATCAAATATAAATTTTAGTTGGTGAAGACGTTCAAGGTGGACACTTGGCATTAGAAAAGTTCGTGATCAATAAGGTATTGCTTTTGTGGAAGAGGGTATACTATTTTTCTGTTTAGCTAGCTTGTCATCTTGTGGATGTTAAATTGTGGACAGTATTTGTATGTCAGTAGCGGTGTATTTGAATTGAAACCAGCGAAGATAAATGTTCCTTGATTATGCATTCTATATCAGTTACATTCATTAGCATTCGTCTACTTTACTATTTGTAGCAACTAACAAAAGATCCGAATGACTATCCAGACAAGAAATCTTTACCACATGTTCACGTCGTTTGGTGGATGAAAAGTAAAACCAAAAAGGTCAACGTGGGGGATACGATTCCTTACGTCATTTGTGATGTGAGGATTGTGATGATTTTTAACACTTTTTATTAGTAAATGTTTTTGAAGATGGCTTTTGAAAAATATGAGCGTATTATGTGCTTCTATTGATTAGGATGGATCAACATTACCAATGGCCCAACGTGCATACCATCCAGAGGAATTCTTACGCTCTGAAACACTTAAACTGGGTATCCTTACATGCGTTTGACATATGCTGTGCATTTTTATTTGAAAGTAAGAGAGCAAAATGGAAGGCCTGAAAGATTGTTCACGTTTGTCGTAATAGTCTCCATGTTGCAAAATATAACTATATTCATGTAATAATAATACGAGCAGAGACGGAGTAAAGTAATCCCTGTCAATCAATCGTGTATACTTTGAGCACTTTCAAGATCAATGACATCAAATGATTTGAATCATGTTTAACCATTTCGACATGGTAGCTTATCCTTAATATAATTACATCAGATAGTAAATATTACTTGGCCAATCAGGTTCATCCTGTTGTCTCTCGATTATGTGATTGTATCGATGGAATAGACTCAGCTCACATTGCTAACTGCCTTGGTGAGTTTATTTTTGGTCCTGTTGAGCGGAGTTATAGGCTTGAACTAGCAGAATTATAGGTATCTATTGCACTCAATCGCACGTTTTTTCTTAGGGAAAATGTCCACTTATCATTTAATGTTCATTTTACGATAAAATCAGTGATTTAAAATTAAAAATGCGTTTCTATTGATATACGAGTTCTAGTCTTTCACGGTATATTGTATACGTACTACAATTGTATATAATTCAAGCATGGACTTATCCCACCTGTAGCTATCATGTTGATTTTCAAGTTTCAACTTACACGCAGGTTTGGATCCCTCTGGTTATCGTACGTCTGCCTCGCACAGAGATGAAAATGATGCCATGCTTGGTGGTGAGTCTCAAATGAGCGACGAAGAACGATTTAAGGTGAAATCAGAATTGAATATTCAATACTTTGAAACGTAGATCATTTTGCTTGAATTGCGAATATTGCTAGCGGTGTGTATAGGTGGTTTACATGGTACATCACGGCCGCCATGTTTGTGGCTAAGTACAAAAGATTATTTTATTACTGTTGTTGTGGGCACCAGCCTGCATAGGCGATTCATATTTTTGATAATTCCATGAAGGTTGATTGCAATCCAAAAACTGTTGTTTTCATCTTGTGACAGGATTGTGATCCATTTTCAATATCTTGTGGAAATGAAGAATGCAATGAGAAGTATGTTTATGACTTAGCGTCTAAGGACAAAGTAAGTGTCTCCCAAGCAATATTCTGATACTTGGCAACTCTACGTTTAGGAAGGGATTTGTTCCCTTACAGAAATTAAATTTTGTTCTTCCGAACATCTAAAACCCGAAGCCGCATTACCGCCATTTGAGAAGCAAAATTTATTTCTAAAACAGTTTTTGCGTGGCGTTTTCTGATATTTTTGCTGTCGCTCATTAAGGTACGCGATTATTTGAGATGCCTGAAGTGTGAGAGCGGATTTAGAATGAATGCTGTTAAAAATAGACTTACACTCTTCATAAGAAAGAAAGTGAAGAATTATTATGCGGTATGTAAAAATGAAACATAGATCTCGATATGAAAGTGAAATTTATCGTGAATGAATGCAAATGGCTTTGTGTGCTGTTGAAGTTCATTTGTCTTTATATAAAACAACTATTGTATCAGATGGGGAAAACATTATTTTGTGTCAGTGGTGAGGGAGGTTTTGAAAAAATTTAGGGCTGGATGCTGTGCGATGATCCATCTTGTGGCTTGCGAACCAGAGATGTTCTATCGCTTCCACAACGTGGACCGCCTCCGTGCATTTGTGATCGTGGTCATTTGTATCTTGAGGTAGGGTGAACGTATTTGCATCTAAATTTAATGATACTCTGAGTATTATTTTTGGCCCAGTACGTTCGAAATGAAGTCTTTACGTTGAGTAGCAGCTAGTGTGTTTTTTCTTTTGGATTAGTAGGATGTGACAGTTGTATTTTGTTATTAGACTAATTTGCGCTGTCATCTTTTCTATAATTATTGCTCTGTCAGTACCATGATAACGTTTTAGTGTATTGTATTTCCTTTCAGTACAATGAAACAATGCTGTACAATCAATTGTTGTATTACCAGAGGCTATTTAAAGTCGACGACAAAGGTTGAAATTTTATACCTTGTAGTCTTTTATTTTAATCTAAGTTTGCTTTGATTGGCTTATCTTTATGTTGTAGTTTTCGACTTAAGGAATGGTTCTCAGAGCTTAAAAGAGCTTAAGGAATGGTTCTCAGGAGTTCATGATCACATTGCTCACATTATTGAAAACAATTCCTATTTCGAAGTTGATCTCTCAAAGCTGTTTAACCTCCCTGTCTTGACCCTGCTCGAGTAGTTGTTTCAAGCCTACTATGCAGTTATATTTCTTTTGTTGGATTATCATTTAGCTCAGATTTTTCTCTTTTTCTGGCATTTTTATTATGTTCATATTTGACAATTTCGTAATAATTAACATTTTAAATAACGTTACATTAAGATCAGCTTTTAGTTGTACATCTTTTGTTGGTAGATAGTTTTGTTACGACTATTTTTAATAAAACAGAAAACCATGTAAATAGCTAGGATGTTGTCTAAGAATCTCGATAACATAGGAACTTGAAAATGATATTAAAGAGAAAATAAGTTTTGTTGAAGTTTGTCTTCTCCATGTTTAAGAAAAAAACATGTTTGTGAGCGACAATGTACTTAAATGCTATTTTATAGTCGACATGTGTTGAACAACCATAAAATATAGGACGGAAACAATCTTTATTACTTATTAGAAAGAAATATAGATTCGTTTTTCAATACACGGATGTCGCTTACATAACGATTCGCATCAGGATCTTCCCACTGACTGGTATCTTCATGCGATCGTGGGCTCTAACCAACAATATATTCAATAAGTATATTTATTGTCTGAATGCAATAGTAATTGTCCAGTATGTGCGTACTGAAACTAATTGTTTTACCTCTGGTTTGAGATCTTAAAGAATATGGATGACTGTGGCTCTAGAATAAAACAGCTTGAGAAACTATTTTCAGAATATCAGAAACGTTTACATCTGGAAAGGGATAGCGATTTTTCTGAAGGTAAAAACATTCAATCTAATAAATTGTCTATTTTATTGTGTTTTATCAAAATCCTCTTCGCTCTTTCGAAGTATTAAATGCCATTCCTAAAGCGAATAAGCGTTTCTTGTGCTTTGCAATCAGGGCAAGCAAGAGTTACAACGCATCGATGGCTATTAAATGCTTTGCTCGACTTATCCATTTTTCTAGTGCACAGTTTTGGACCTTTTAATTTCCATCAAGAACATAACAAAATCAAAGGATTGCTAAATGGTGTTTACTCTCGATGCAAGCAATGGAAGTCCTTGGGAAATTCTAAACATGCTGTTAAAACATTTGTAGTAAGTCCATAAACGTAGTTATGTTCATGCTTGGGAGGACACCAGTTTGAGTTCCACAAAATAGATATAAGTGTGTAGCTCAGAGAGTTTTTAATATCTCTGGATTATAGATAAATTGCCTTCATGGTCATTACATTCCTCAGGCCTGGGGAAACATGCATTATCCAAAGTATAAAAATTTGACCTAGTAAGTACTACATCATCCCAAAGCCAACATCAAAGAATCAGAACACTACGTAATTCAAGAATTCAAGTAGAACATACATATTCACTTGCAAACATCCCAAATAACATTACATGGATAATATTTTTCTATTGTGTTCCTCAACTTTCAAAAAACAACCTTCAGATTTCTGTTTGTACCCTATTTGCTTCCCTTTTACAGTAGCTACATTTTAATTAAAAGCTCAAGCTGTTGTGTTGTTATTTTTCATGCAAATATATTTGTATATCTTTGATTTAAATGTGGGGAACCAAAATTATTAAAAAGTGACAATTGGATACACCCCTATTGCCATTCTTAAATAAGCGAAGACTAGAGTGACTTGCATGGCTGCCAAATCATAGCTTCATTTCCCTCTGACTTACCTTCCAAGTTGATATTACCTACAATTGAATGCCTAGAGTATGCTTTGATATGTTGCTTAGAAATCTTTATAAATATGTTTGTATTCTAGGATCGTCAGAAGCAAGTGAAACAATCTTTGCCTATAAAAACATACATAGCTGAATGCCTGGATAAAATCCAGGGAGTTATCAGAGGTACTTATTTAATGGAGTGTCATTGCAATTTTGTATCGGTACATTTTTTCTTTAGTTTGATTGTTTGCTTTGCTTAGTTTGTTTAGTTTGATTGTTTTGTGTTTTAGAAAACAACTTGACTGTCACTAAAGACCGTTTGAAATTGGTAACAGAGCAAGTTGGGTAAGAAGAAAAGTATGCCTGCAATCTCTGACACAACATTTTCTTTGCAGTACAGAGAATGTTTACTGTTACTGTACTCCCATGTACATGGGATATATATTTTGATCATAGTTATATATGCAAGGAACTTATGAAAATTATTAACAGCTCTTAAAAGCCGAGGCTGTGTGTTTGTGTTGTAAAACGCTTTGCAGATGAATGATTTCTGCTATTGGATTACAATACTCAACGCCATACTGCATGAGGAGAAGTAAAAATTTTGCCTGTTATGATCTGCCATTACGTATTTGCTCTGGTTTTCTCTGCAAACTCATTACGTAATTTTTCCAAATTGTAAAGTATATTTATTTTAGGTTAAAATTTGACGTCAGTACAACATACACTGAATGTTTTATCAGCTCAGACATGTTTTACGTTGAGGTACATATATTTAATTTATTATTGATTATCTGCATGAATTAATGTATGCAGTGGCGTATTTAGTTGTTCGTCAAAATAATTTACTGCTTCACATTTTGGAATATATGTACAATTTAATGCAACGAGTCGAAAGCTTAATAAAATTATTTATAAAATCCGGAGAAACTTTTATTTTTAAACAATATAATGCCTTGATTACCAATCTTTAAACCCTAGAAATAGAAAACCAACAGTGTTTTTCTGTAAGTACTTTGAATTTAAAATTGAGCTGGTGTAAATTCTTTTGGCGAACGTTGGATCCGCTACTGGAATTATGTACATATCATATACGTAGTTATTTTCATTATCAAAAATTTTATAACACGAGGTTTTAACTCAACATTCGTTAGTTTACAATTACTTTGAAAAGATGAATTACGTACTACCTATAACTCACGTGATGATCAATCGTGGTCAAGTAGTACTTTTTTCGGGAGATATTTTGTATTCGTATGTCATGCAAGGTAAATATCTCTAGAAAGTAATAAAGTAACACAACTCAACTGAAGATACTGTTAATTCATAAAAAGACTGTGTTCTAAAGTTTGTCCTCAGTACGTAATCTCGCGTCTCTAGATTGCTTTTAAATATTATTACGCGATCTAGAGCATATTGTTTAAATTGATGTTCATTTTGTGTTAAATTCAAAAATTTATTTTAAGGTACAGCTAGAGGATAGCGGGAATGTTTTAGAAGTTAAAGTTCAACACGGAGACCTTCCACCTGTGGTAATAATCTTACTTACCTACTTCATTGTACGATTGTAGTGTTTTTCAATCATGAAATGGAATCCATTTCTTTGTTTCTCCTCAGGACTTTTAAGTTGTCGATAAGTATCCCTTGTAAGTCCGACCCTATGACGTCACTCGTGATGTCGACACTTATTAAATGTGTTTTCAATTTTTAGACATGCGCAGCATTGACCTCTATCCTAAGGTAATAAGAACTGCCAATACATTAAGCTTTAACTTTTTTCGTTGACTACAACTGGTGTACTAATACATAAAACTCCGAAGATTGTCGTTTTGATTTAAAACATTATCGGTCCTTGGAAATGAGAGAAAGAGCGAATGCAATCTTGAATAACATAAAATTATTTACACATGGAGTACTTACGCACGCTAACAGCACGAAAATAATGCACTTGTCATTATTATTCACATGCGTGCTATAGTACGTATCTACCATTTTTTTTAAATACGTCCAGTAAATATTTATATTTTATGATCCAGAGTTTACTGAGGACATGAAAATTTGCTCAATTGAATATCCAGAGTTGTTGTTATGTGGAAAAAATTAGAATATTTTAACTGTTCAACTAGTAATCGTTATACTGTAGCTACCATGAACATATTTGAATGGTTGTCTCTTAGGAATTTCTGTGTCGTTCTTTAAAACTGCTTTATTGTTGTTCATTTTGACATACACCATTCACCAACACATTACTTACGTACGATTATTTTTAATATGGGGAGATTCCTTTTTAATTGGCTCTTCTCTAAACATTACATCCATCTTTTGAACAGGCGTCGTGATTACAATGAATTTCTTAAGCACATGCAAGGACTGGCTAATTTATATCAACTTTCTGGTGATGCGTGAGTTTTACTTAAATTTCTAAAAAACCTGTTTTCTTTTACTGCAATTATGTCGTGCAGATCTATTAAAGTTGTTTTGTCTCTCTGCCAGATTCCAAAAAAGTAAAATACTACAAGCTTTAGATTCTCTGGAAAAGGATCTTGAAAAGATTGCGTGCTCTGACGGGTACGTAAATTCAATGTCATTCAATTATTGCAAGTCTACAGAAAAGAAGGTTGTAGAACGCTCAATTTACAAATGGAGTGGTGTAGTCATAACATATTGCATTTACCTATATCTTAAAAACTTTGGAAATTGAATAAAATCTGTACTGTGTATAAAAACTTATAAATTGTTAAAGAGTCAGTACATTGAACGTTAAAGTACTTACACCAAAAATTATCTCACGTTTGTCGCTGTCGTAGTGTTTTGGTGTTTTATGTTGATATTTTGTTAACTAAATTTTACACCATCAATAATACAAAAAATGATTTTTTTGTGTTTCAATCATTTAATACGTACATGACAAACTGCATCGTTTTTATACTGCAATGGTTCAACAGCTGTTTTCAACCATTTGTATTTAATTTTTTATCGTCAACTTTTTCTTTAGCGGAAAACTATTCGAAGAAAGTGTCCTTGCCGGCCCAGTGGGTTTTCTTACTCCAAGACAAGGAGGTGCGTAGAAAACATGTTTTTGCTCACGATGTAAGTATTTTATTCATTAACCGTTAGTCTTCAAACATCGAAGGTAAGTTGACGATTCAGTGGGCGAAGCCTTGTAGTAGTTGAGGAAATTTCTTTGTTTATCATTGTCGTTTATAAAGTAAATGGTTTGAACCCGGGAGTATCGTTACATGTTTGTAAATATAGATCGTCCAGGTTGGTTGTCACAATACAATGACGTAAGAACCAGATAAGAAATACGGCCAACCTGACGTTTACTCCTCATTTAACTCAGAAGATGACTGCCGCTAAGGTTGTCGAAACGTCAGTCAACAACAACAAAAACAGTCCTTCTCAGGACTATACCAACCTGGACGATCTACATTTACAAACATGTATTGTCGTTTATATATAACACGCTGCTAAAAATTCAAAATACACAGCGCACGTAATGGATTAAGAATGCTTGGGAGATGTTTAAAAAGCAGCTATTTTCTGTATCAAATTTCAATAAAGAAATCATGGAAGTTGAGCTTCTATGAAGGGCGTAACTAGAACAAAATGTGAATACGACCGTTGAAAGCGTTGACAAGAAACGTAGCGAAACAACTTTTCATATTTTTTTTAGGTCAGCTAATGCATCTAACGTATTTTGCTACTCCATTGGAGCTGAGAAATGAAAACGTTTCAAAAATTAACGAAAACTTTGACTTGCACTGTATGTCCTGTTTTGTGTTTACTTTATAGTTCACTCCTTGCATTTTTCGTAAATGTCATGCAGTATTTCATTGGTATTTTGATAATTTATGTTGCATTTTACAGCTCTGGTTCTCTCAAAGTTCGGGCGGTCTTTATCCATATCTCTTGAGCAAAGCAAACCGAGATTGTTGCCCACAAGCTCACTTTTATCTGACGAATATTCCCCTGATCAAGGAGGGTGAGTGACATGTGAATCAGAAACAAAAAATTCTTTCGTGAAAGTTCCTCAGTAGTCAATATTTGAGCCACTGCCGATGTTAATCAACTTTTTGAGTTGGAACTAGCTATTTACACTTTGAGGTTTTGTAGTTTTGTTCTTACAAATAGACGTTTTTAGTGTAAAATTGCTGAGTAACATCTATTCATTGTGCTGGTTTATACAGTATGTTAATTCTATTCAACAATGTTAGGTTTTATTAATCTTCTTGCTTAAGTAATTAGATTTTAAAAGAGGTAAAACTTCACACTATTTTGTCAAACTGTTCACGAAATCAACAAATGGAATAAGCGCAACACTGATATTAATCATTGAAAAGTGAAATATACACTGCACCCCCCGAATTGTCTCGTGTAATACAAAAAGTACAAACACCCGCGTTTCTTTGGGTTTCTTGAAGTTAAAGAAATTAAATGTATTATATGATTGATTTAGTTGATTGTTGTCATGGTCTGACGTATGAAAAGTTGCCTTATAGTCAGTCCATATATTTAGTCTTATCAGTTAGATCACCCAACGATTCTGCTTAAGTACCTCGACGTATTTATTGTACGATGACGAGTGATGACGATCGAAGTTCGTTTGTTCGTTTTTCCATCATTCGATATCATTATACGGTTTGAAAATGAGTCTGCGATTGAATGACGGAAGAAGCTCATTGAGCCAGCTGTAGTTTTACGTCTAGGTGCAAACAAATTTTACGATGTTTCTAACCTTATGACGTTAAGTTTAAATAAAGTAAAATGGTGTATAATTTTAGGAATATGTACCTGTCTATCAACGAAACTAACAGCGAGGAACTTCCAGCAAGCTTTGTAATGCATCTCGACAGACCTTTGGTTGTATCTGCTGCAATACTCGAAAAAATTCACTCGACTTTAGAAAATTTCAAGGGTGGTATGAAAACATATTTTCTGCTTTTCTGTATTCGGTGTGCGCATTATATTTACAGCATCTACGTACTCTCTTCGGCAGAGAAATTCGTTCAGCGCTCTAAAGCGTTTTTGGACTGTTTAATTATTAAGAAGGTAAACACTCTTTCTTATATCATATAAATTCACCAGAATATTTTTATCCTATCCAAATAAGTTATTTATGTTGTTAGTTCATGCGAAATCTAACCAATAAGTTACTGTGTTACTGTAACGACTCCACTTAGCGAAGTAAACAACGCAATTTATATTAAACGTGTCGCTATGACGACGATAGGTGACGTCCACTTTTTTGTGTATTTATAAATAGTGGCTGAAGGAAAAGAAATTGCAGTACAACTCAAAAATGGCTTATCGTCAGGTTTGATCATAATCTTTATTGGTTTGTTGCCAACAACGAGCTGATTACGTCTTGTCTTTCAGAAACTGCCTGGAGAAGAACACGTTTATCGTATTTCAGAAAAAGATCTCCAAGGAAGTCTGTCTTTAAACAGTAATGTCGGCGTGGTTATTTCAAGAATTCCCTTCACGCATTGTCAAAATGTTGTAAAGATCATTCAGGTTTAGCAGCCATGCATAATCTTGAATAACTGCATTCATGCATAATATAAAATGTTTTGTTGAACGTAAATTGGAAATATATAGTATTGGTTATAGTTGGGATGTTTACACATCATCTACCATAAAGCATTTTGCGCTATTTGATTTATTTTAGTGAGTTGTTTCAACAATATATTTTCTTTATACCAATGAATTTTTTTTCCAGCTTCTTCGTCAACAATTGGTTTATAATCATATATTGACGAGTGTTCTATCGTCAGAACAACTCGACGAAACTGGTAAGCCAATCTTCCCAATACCGTATGAGCAAATTTCCGAAGATAAACAACATCTGAAGAAAATTAACTCTTCATTTCAGGTTTTATTTCTTCTTTTACCCCTTTATCTGCTTTTCTGTAGATTTTTTGCGAAATCATGTAAAACACAAGTTGATTGTTTGGCTCTTGACCTGCTCGTAATTCTTACTTTTGCTCTTACGAAAGTCGGTCAATTTACGTATATTTATGTGTCATTACTGTAGCTAACTACCAAGATTACACTGGTCCTTGCTTTGATGTTAGTACTTCTAGTCCTCTGGTCGTAGTGATTACCTTTGAAGATCCTATAGCTGCATGTCTAGCTTCAGGTATTGAAAGGAGCTCTATTATCAATTGGATGAATTTCATGCAAAGTTAACGAAACTTGGGTACTTTTTATCTCTGGAATAGTTCCCTGCGTGCATGCACTGTATCTTTGCTGTGTTGAATGAAAAGGCTCAATAAAAAATAGGCATTTTTGTCATATACCATCTAGCTGTAATAATTATACCTAGCAAGAATATTTTTGCCATTTGAAAAATTGTTGTTCGCATATCATGTGTGTGTGTTTGTGCTATTGTATACTTGAAATATTTTTATGGATTTTTTAGTTGAATTTCAAGTGAAGCCAGACTGTAGTATAGCGGTTCGATTTAACCCTCGTAAGAGCGCTTTTTACGACTGTGGATACGTCTCAAGGGTTATACAAAAGTGAGTATAATGAAATATGACTTGTTTTTGCGTTGTAATGTTGTAATGTATAATATTCAGTATGACGATACCAATTTACTAAGTACTGATGGTAGTTTCCGTTTCCTTGAAAAGTACTACACGTACATCTACTACCTTTATCATTTAGGTTGCGTAAGGCGTTGTTCTTTATTTCGTGTATGTGTTGTTTAAGACTCGTTCGTGAGTATTTACTACATTTTCCATGTGTCAATTTAATACATTGTTGCTTAGATGTCTGTCGATTCCGGTGACAATGAAATACATTTTCAAGAACGCGAGAAAAATGCAAGCAAATAACGAAACCCCCATGGTTGTTGATGTTGTTGACCAAACAGATTCGTCGACGTATGTAGAGCGACAGAAAATGAGCTCGGCACAGATCTCAAATCAAACCAGTGCATATAATCTTTTAGCATCTATGATAGCAAATACTGGCGCAACAATGACGCTACCTGCTGTAAGTACAGGCACAGTTGGTCTCCCTCTTCCATCTCTGTCGCCTAGCTTACCAAGCATCATCCAAACGCCTTCGTCTAGTACTGCTCCTGGTTTCCCTTACGGATTTCAACCTCCCTCAACTCCCCGAGAACCGTTCAACTACTTGGACAATATGTCCGTTACCAGTAAAGAACTTGATGTGAATATCCAGCAAGCCGCACCACCTAAACCTCCTCCAATAAAGTTGAAGATCAAAAAAGTTGCGAGCAATTACATCATCGAAACACCAAATAGTAGTAAACACGAGTTGCAACCAATCGCTGATAATAACGTCACGACCTCCAGTCAGTTTAACTTGCCTTTCAATTCTGGCATTCTGGCTGCTGACGGTACCGATATGATTTCGGGTGTAACCTTTGATCAAAGCGGCAGTTTGGACCGTCTTATTTCGACTGCTCCCGAAGATGAACGAATGGGCATGCTACATCCGGATTCTGTTAATTTTGCCGAAGTTGAAAATGAGCCGTTTTTAGCTAGCGCAGTCACTTCGGATGTTTCTGAGATGGCTGGAGTATCCGATGTCGAGGGTATCTTTCAAACACTCCCTGGAGGTGCATCCAATTCACCTGGCTCCTTACATGTTGAGGATACGTACGGATTTGATACTGCTTTAGGTAACTGGATACCTCTTTCCTCCTCTTTATTAGTTCTTACGTCATTTGTGAACACGTGGCTGTTTAACTAAGTTTACGTATATCAGAGAAATTTATGACTGAACTGTGATAAATTGCCATTTAGTGGTCAATACATCGCCACTTTCTACGTTTAGATTTTCAGAATTTACAGATTCAGATGTTTTTATTTGTTATAAAAATGCGTAAGAAACACAATGAAAAAAGTCTTGTTTATGTCAATCTTTTACTTCATAAACAAGTAATTGAAAATCATGACTTCGATATTTTAATTTTTTTGTCTTATCTTCAAGGTTATTTTCTCCCTAGGTTATTCGAACGACTAGTTTCTCTGCGTTTATAGTTCTAATATTTTGTATCTTGATCAGTTGCTTTGCATGCAACTGAATGTTTTCTAATTCGATGCATGCCATAATGCAATTGCTAGATTTATAACGTCAAAGTCAATTTGATTTATTTTTTCTAACTGAGTGGAGCCGAGCATTGCTTTTTTTGGTGTGAAATGTTTTTGATTTTGTTTTCTAGACCCAACATTTGATATAGATGCAGAAATGGAAGTTGCAGATGTAGCTGGTTTGTCCTCTGATTCATCAACATTTGACATCAGTAATGTCTACGAACCAGGAGCGTCAACTTCAACTGCTACTGGTAAACGACCACCTTTTTTGTTTATTAATTATAATTTTTCACTCTCCTTTTATTGTTTGTTAATGCACGATTTAATTCAGTGCTTGACTGAAGCCATTGAGATCATCGTTATTTATTTGTTGCATTCAAGATGCATTAAATGAAACAGTTGCAAACCCGTAATTCTCCGACTAATCTGGGTTTATGTACTTTTGTAAACAATTTTGATGGGTTATTATAACGGAAGACTTATGCACATTTGGGATTATACAAAGACGACCTTAAGTGTGAGCAAATAAACAAGCCTGCATGTACATAAAGAGGAAAACGAACACTAATAACACCAAGCATGAGTATGCTAACTGGGCTGATATTTTGTAGCAGGCGAAGCCTTTTCTAAAATCTTTTTTAGTTACGCTTCAACTCATTGGCTGAGGTTTGTTTGTACATGGGGAGGGAGTGTTATAACTAGGGAGTTTATTGTTTGTGGTTTACTCTAAGTTTGTTGGGTTTATTTTTCTCTATATTCATCTTAACGAGAAGCGATGGTCCTTTTATTACGCGATCATATTCTACGTACTTTACCTTTTGCATAAATTTCATTCAGTATTAGCCAGTAGTTTTAGTAAGTTTGAACATTTTGGTGAGTTTAGTCAATCAAGATTTTTTGCAATTGTTTTTTGTTATGAAGGTATTGATGATAATACGTTCGAAATTGACCCAGCATTTGATTTGGATACGTTGCTGGCTTCGGGATAGCAGGCGTACGAATGATATCTAATTGCTGAAGCAGATAAGTTGAAAATCGGAAATCATTTGTACAAATCAGTTATGTATTCTCTGATAGTGTCATCAGCCTAATAATGGCGTCCGTATCGTAAATGAAACTAATTTAAACTGAGTCAGGGGTGATATCTTGGCTTATACTAGAGTGAAGAATGGGCGGCAAATATTTAGAGTAATCGCACAGGATGTGGTGCAATTATTGATTTACATAAAAAAATGATATATTGATTATGCGTATTGAGTATACTTCGATAATTGTTCATTTAGTTTAGCATTTCTTGCAAAACCTCGACCCTACCAGCACTTTTTTGTGTATGTTGGTTTTTTTTATCAATTAGACTGTCCCTCTTGTTTTCTTTTTCAAAATTACCAATTGCACTCTTCTTAATGAATCAATAACCAGAACAAGCAGATAACATCAGAAAATCAAAATAAAGTAAATTCCGAATGTAGGCATTCCATTTTCTTGATATTCAAGATGAGAAGCTGTCTCTGTATCAAAACTCTTGTTTCTCATGTTGAATATCAAGAAAACGAGATGTCTACAATATATTTGAAAAATGTTTTATTTTGTACTTAAATAAATTTTAGTTGCTATTTACACGAAGTTGTATATAACATCGATAGCTATCCATCAACTTTTATACATTCTATACTTTGTGTATACGTTGACCTTTTTCAATGAAAAAGTAATTAATGTGAGAACGAATTTAAAACATCTTATTAAAAAAAATTATTTGTGAACTTTCAAGAGATAAAGCCGTTTAAAAACTTTTTTAGTAGCCCGTCAGTCTCTAACTCAATCTACCTTATTGACACTGCAATGAAATTCACTCAATTATCGATGGATATCGTGATTTCGGTCAAGTGATGACGTCATGAAATATGTATGAACGTTAACACCAACCGCTGACAATTTCGTAATGTTGGGGAAGGGTGGGATGCGTAGAACTGCTAAATGTTTCCTGATATTGCGAGTTGTCATCTAAATGATATTTGCCTCGGAAAACTGATGTGCTCTAGATCTTTCTGCGCATGCTGGATATGGGAGCGCAAAGACATAGGATTTTGGGAACTAGAACAGGTTCTTTGATCGGAGACTGTCCCTTTTACTTTGATTGATATAGCTCTCACAAGATCCTTGGAGTGCTTCAAGCTGTATGCTAAATAAACAATGCGAACTTATGAAACGTAGCTGTTGTATACGGGCAATGATCCTGTCAACTTTAGCGAAAGGGATGCCCAAACGCATCGAGTATTATCACTGTTTTATCGATGAATAATTGAAGAAGTTTTCTAACCCTTTAGACGTGCCTTCATTTCTTCATTAAAAAATCCAGAGTTTTTCCATTCTTCAAAATCAGTGATGAAATCTAGCGCTGTTAAACCTTGACAAAAGACCATAACAATCGTGCGATTAGATTTAAGAAGGGTGCAAGTTCAAGCTCCTTGTCAATTTCACGCAGATACTTTCATTGAGGCCCTGTTTACACTATACCGGATTGCTATAATATTCTTTGTATTAAAAGACAGTGAAATTGTTCAACGTCAGAAACACAATCAAATAGACTAAATCTATCAGTTTAATAAACTTTTATGTCGTGATGAGCGAATCCGGTGTAGTGTAAACGCAGCCTGAAAAGTTGTTTTGTGTTGATGCTATACCTTGGTAGTTTTTTAGCTTAATATCAGCACCTACATGAAAATTAGCGCAAACATTGTTAGCAAACCTTTCTTTGATCTAACTTTGATAATTTCATTTTGAACATTGACAAGTTAACAATACAATGAACAAAATATACGATTTACTTTACGTACCATTTGCAATCAAAACACTAGCATTGTAGATGCAGCTACTTTTTGCGGCAAAGAACAGCGGTGACATAGCATCCGTGTTTAAGGCGTTTACGTCGGCATCCTTCTCTACCAGCATCTCCAACAACTCACTGAGATCAGGATTAGCAGCAACATAATGAAGAAGCCTGAAAAGTGTCATGTAAATTAACAACACAAAATCAAATTTGAGAGTTGATCACACGATGTCATTCAACATCCATAAAATTCCTCCTGTACTTATTTTATTGGTAGTGTCATAAGGCATTATTAATAGAACAAACGTTGACTTATTTCCTACGCGTCCAACACTTAATATTGTAACCTTTACTTTTCGCTCTATTGAGTTGTATACATGCCTATATTCTACCAAACATACGTGTTTCCTGCTGCATCAACACATCCAGGATCTCCTCCGTGGTCTAGTAAAAATTGCATCGTGGACAGATAGTTCGAGCTAAAAAAAAAACATGGATATGTTGTCATCGCTTCGAACGAAATTTTACTAATTTTAAATAAAACATATACGTGTTACACATGGCATAGAACAACGGATTTTGATAGGTTATTTATTTAATGCTTTGTGGTTGAAAACAGGAAACTACGTATATCTTTCTTTACACGTGGGTTCTTAAATACATCACAAAAAATTAGTGTAACAATATTTTGTTTTGAAAGATGTACAATTTCCCCATCATGGCCACAACTAACAAGATTGGAAAAAACGTGAATTTGTCTACTTTAAATTTCACCATACTGAAGAGAGAAATGAAGTATATTTACCATGACATTTCACCGAAAATGATTTTTTGCATGAGTTGATCAGCCTCGTCAGGATAAAATGCAAATTTGTTCGTATTTAACCTGGCAAAAACATTTGTGTTGTCATTTCAAAAAAAAATCATTTAAATATCGTGTTCTCAGTGAATCTCATACCAACATGCAACATCTAATTGATCATTTGCCAAGGCCAAGAAAAGGATCGATGGCGAATCCTATATAAATCAAGCGAACATGAACATCTGCATATAACTGAAATATTTAAATACTTATCAATCATAGGGAAATTAGGTTGTGACACTTATAAAAATACGCATTTTTTTGTATGAATATGCCACCTTATTTTTCAAACTGAGTTGTTCCTTTATCAGACCTTCCTGATCATATTCAAGCAAAAGTTCAACAACATCAACTCGACCATGCAGTGCACAATAATGAACCGCCATCATTCCCTGAAATTCAATAAAGATTCTTGACATGTTATACATATTTATATTACACAAAAAGCTCAAATGAATATTTAGTTGATGACGAATAGCTTCATTGATTTGTTTTATATATGTGTATATGTGTAAACCTTGTGGTTTCTTGCTGTTAACAATGGCTTCTTATTCAACTGAAAAACAAATACTTATATTAGATATTAGTGTATTGCTCGCGAGACTAAAAACTATTTATGAATATGTGAGGATTTGAAATAACATCTTATAGCTACTTACTAAACTTTCCATACATTGAAGAAAATCGTCTTTGATGTGATCCCCATAGCAGAAAACATGAAGTGGTGTGTTACCATCATCATCCACTGCATCAATATTTGCTCCTGCCTCCAATAATATCTGGATTCATTGAGAACGTTTGTCACTTTTGTGTTTGATAAATGGCTGTTTTACGCACATAATTTCTTCTTACAAAGTTTAAAATTTAACAGCCGGAAGACATGTTTATGTGAATTGCTTGTTTGCGTAAACAATCTATTTTAGCTACTAACGTACAATGGCCAGTTTACTCGGCCAATTTGCCTAAAACACCTAAAATACCTAAGGTCGTTTACATAACACTTTAAATGTAATGAAATGCTGTTTGGGTATATTGCACGAAACGACAATTTTTTATTATAAACATGTTTCGTTTACTTCAAATGCTTAATAAATCTCGTGCTTTTTAGATCATATGGATATATTGTACCACCCCCAACCTGTTGGCAACTTTCAATAAAAAAAATTCACAATGCACTTAACTAAAAAGTTACGGAAAATGTAATCAAAAACAACTTGAAAGACTGCATTTATCTGAATTTGAAAGTATGAAACAGTGGCGGACACTTTATGAAATATTGGGGGGGGGAGGGGTCGTCCTCAAGGCATGAGATTTCTAGGAGACTCAGGCATGCCTATATGTATACTTTTAAAAATTCCAGAAATCAAGTAAAGGATTCCTGCACATATTCCTAGACACACAACAAGATTTAATGCATCTGCTGAGACTGGTACAATATAGATGTTTATCAAATAATTATAATTTAACATCTCAGTGATGTTATGTAGGTACGATTTTAGGATTGACGCAGATTTCTATTCATCAAAATTATTGAGGGGCTAGAGCCCCCTTCCCCTTTTGGTGTCCGCCACTGGTATGAAGGTTTCAAAAATAGGGTAAAGTAACAAGGCGACTGAACTAGTTGATCGCCGTTTTGCCTCCTTGTAGAGCTGTACCATTTTGAAGCAATATTTTACGTTTTTTATTTGCAATATGCCGAATCATCAAGGAACAGAAATATTTAACCCGTAAATCCCGTATAAGAATCGACTTTTCAAACCTTCAACGTGTCTTTATCCTTTACCCGGTGTAATGCAGTTGCTCCTTTATAGTCTGGTAAATCGATATTCACTCCCTCCTTCAAAAGAATCTATTGGGAGTTTGGATGAGCATATTAATGTTTCAGTAATCTTATGGGTTGAATACATTTTGCAAACATGAGTATATACCTTGACCAAAGACCCTTCGCCAAAATGTGTAGCTGTATGAAGTAGAGTGCTTCCTTTTAAACATCTGAAACAGGAATACGGTTTATAATATTCTTTGATGTATTCAGTGCTTGGCAGAAGTGATGTGTATAACTGTAATAACGACAGTTTGATTTGTCGTTGTATAAGGCATGCTTGGAGTGTTAAGTATCTAATTGTGGTTATTACATGTATTGATTTTCGAGATTAAGTATAAGTGGGGCTTAGGTTTTGAGATCATAGAATTGGAGGGCAGATCTTAAAATTGAGATGGTGGTGCTCAAAACTGAACGTCGGGTTTTAAGTAAAGATGAGTGAGGTTTTGATTTTAAGTTGGTGGAGCTTAAGTATTAGAGAATTGCACAAATTTTGCTGAGGTGCCAAGTTAAAGAATATACAGAATGCGTGGTCAATGTATGTAGGACGAACATAAGAAAGATGACGGAGGTTATTTATAAAGAGTTGGTGGAGCTAATAGTTGGCTTTGGTAATTTTGTGGTTCAACACGTGGTATAGTTATGGGAATTTTGCGCTTGCCTATTATAAACTTCAAAGCACGAAGGCAACTTAGCAAACTTTATTTTACTGTCACCACTTAACACTTGGCATTCTCTAAACAAAATTATGATGAAAATAAATACACGTGCATAAAATACCTGCTGCGTAAACTGCGAAAAGACATTCCTCCAACAGATTGTTGCTCTATGACTTCGGTTAGTTTTTCAATGTCCCCGTTCACAACTTGCCTTACAAATGATCGCATGTTTCGATCTTTTTCTAAAACAGCACATCATCAAAACAGGTCCTTGCACACTGTGTCATCTTCAACCACATATTTAAACTTCTTAAAAATTGCTCGCAGCTCACCAAGTAACTCCGACGTGAAAATTTCGTTGTTGATGATTTCAAATGCAGTTTTACCGGAAGAATTTTTCTTGAAGATGTTAGCACCCCATTCAATCAGCAACTTAAACAAACAAGAACTTTAATGAGAGCATAGTGAAGGCCTTTGGATGACTGTATGAGAATGACCTAGGGCTAGGGGACAATTACTATCAAGACAATCGTCTCGTAAGGCATTCTACTTTAAGAGTGCAAATCTTTTCTGAAATGATCGCACTTTGTCACCTCAGCTACTTCTCGTTGCTTTGCACTAACTGCGGCAAAGAATGGCGTACAGTTCATGTTGTTTAAAGCATCCATATGTGCACCATGCTCCAATAGATATTGTACAAGATCCTATAGATAGACATAATTAAATATTAATGAATTGATTTTAACTGTGAGAAGTTGATGATAAATACTGGAGAACTCATTTAAAAACGAAGTGCTACGTGTAACACACCACAATAAGGCGACAAGCCATTGATTCGTCGATTAACTGGCTCAAAAAGTACATGTTTGCTCATTTACTATAAACGTTATCTTACAAAATGTCCATGACGACATGCCAGGTGTAAAGCTGTATTACCAGAACCACTTTCTTTGGAGTTGATAAAGCTCTTATCTGACTGGAAAAACGTCACCTACATAAAGAAACAGGAAGCAGGTCTTGATCTGATGCCGTTTACATGCCAAGTGAAGATTCATTAAAATAGCAATTAGAGTGTTTGAACTCCATTACTTTTAGAAATATATTAAGTAAACATACTAGCTTCTTTACTGTATCAATCTCTGCTGATTTTGTAGCTTTAAAGAGCAATCTTTGACAAGGCAAAGTACTTCCAGGAAATATTTGATAAAGAAACCTGTACAAAAAACTCAATTACAACAACCATTTCCACACTGACAACACATACACGCAAGTACATTCATTTCTTACAAGGATCCAGCCTTTAAGATTTTGTTGCGAGACGGGCTGGCAGCAAATATCTGCAACATATTATCGCGAAATTTTAATTACTGAATTTAAAGAATATGGAGACGACATGTTATTAAATTTAAAAATTGGCAACTGGTCATTCAATGTTTAAATTATATAACATTTCAAAAATGGGAAAGAATTTTGCACGTATCCGTCGTCCATTAAACAAAATATTTATATTTTTGCTTTTGTTTACTGTTCATGTATATCAGAATTTAGTAAAATAAGTCGGAGACGTAAGCTGTACCGATCATATTGTCAGCTCAGCGGTTCTATGGCACCTTATTTACGAAGTATGACGAAAACGTAGATTAGTGCATCCTTATTACATTCTTAGAAATATGTTAAAAGAGGGTAAAAATCTGACTGGCTGACAAAGGAATCTTAATTTTGGTATGCTTTTTGCAAACAGCTTTTATATTGCACAAAGATTGTTCGTACAAAGATATAAGTTTGTACTTCTTAAGATCTATTAGGGATTTGAGACAGTGTCCTTTCGAGGGTCTGAATATGCATCCGAATATGCATTTTGTTTTATATAGTAAAACTGCAACTGCCAGCAAAACTACAGCCATGAGGCTGACGAGTCCATTAAAGGTCCGAATTCCTGGTATTTGCAAGGGCCTGGACCCTAAAAGAATACGGATTGGGCAAGCTGATCATTAAATATTTTTTTCCCTTTATAGCACCTAACCATTAATGGCACCCTCGCTTTTGAAAGAAATGGGTCATATTGTTATGTTTGTAGCTCCTGGACTTTGTACTGTGTACATGGCGATGCAAGTTTTAATTACCAATGCTATTGATTTGTGTTGATGTAATAACGTTAGAGAAAAAGGAAGAAAGAAGATGGCTTAAAATCTTGTTTCATACAAAGAATGTTCAAGAGTGTAAAGGACTCGATCAGTACTTAATAGTGAAATGGTATTTTTTTACAGTCATATTATGAAGACGAATTTAATAAAAAATGAAACATGCAGATCATGCGGTGGAATAACAAGCAGAACTCCCAGAGGGACCCCAGTAATGAAAAGAATAAATATTCTGGAATATTAAACAAGGGATTGCCTTAAAAGGAGAACATTTTCTAAAGCATGGTTACATGCTGTACGAATGCCATGTGACTGATGTTGATAAATGATGCAAACTACCGCATACTATTGGTGGTTTTCATGTGCGCCATGTTGGTGGACTCCTTACAAAAGAATATCATTAGATTTTATTGTTTTTGGGCGACATGATGGATGCTCTTTCTTTGTTGGCTATTCCCTTGAGACACACCTGAAAACCAAGAATAACAAATGACTGAGCTCTTACTTTGTAATCTGGATAAGATCTTGGGTTAATATCATCTACAGTGTCCTTGATGCCGAGATATGCTCGAAGGCTTTCTGTAAAAGAAAACATGAAACTTCTTCAGCAGAATTCTTGTTTGGCAAAATTGCAAAGTTGAAAGATTCCATGGATGAATACAACTAAACGAGATTTAATGAAAGCCAGCTTCGACTCATTTAAATGGTTTGTACAAAAATTTTCATTGAATTATATTATTTGCAAACAACGTTACAACAAAAACTTGGGTGGCAATTTTAAACGTCTTATTGTGCACGTGTACAGAAATGTCATTGCAAAAATTGCTCATGTTTAGGGTCATGCTAGCAATATGGATTTGACTGTCTTTTGTATAATATGTGATACAAAATAACAGGCTCTTCAAAGAGATGTGTAACCCTGACTATGTCATACACAATGTAAAAGAAATATTAGCACTTGTAACTTGAGACAAATAGAGAGCGAAGCTATTCTTTTTGACGATTGTACTTACGATTTTCACCCACGTCATCAACGAATTCACCTGTTGCATCAAAAAATATATTAAAGCCTGGTTGTATGAAATGTGCCCAAATTAATGCTGTACTACAGTTTGCATGGTGCAAACACAGTTTTTGTTAAGTCAAAAGCCTTTCAAGTCTAATACAGTTGATAAAAGCGGCGTAAACGAGAAGAAGTAAAATTTAAATTTATTTTTTCTGATATTCTCGACGGAGTAATTCGCAAATTAAAGTGACGCTGCTGTAATTATCGCTTGAGCATGTGAATCTCAAGAATTGTTCATGAAATCTAATGGTGCTGCAAAAAATCAAAACTATGAAACTCAAACAAACAAATTCGAAGCGAATACAGTGGACAAATACTCGTTGAGCAAATATTTGTTTAGCCAAGGCACTCTTTAACGTCACTCGAATCGCATTATCTGTGAGTGATTAACACACATAATACAACTTTTACATGAAAGAAGCTGATTGGAATATTGAAGTGACTGGTCCACAAAAAGAAGTAAATTTTTTGTGATAAGGTTTTAATGTCACGAGAAATCGTATTTTTATACGAAAAGACGGGGATGGATTATCAAATGAGAGCCAATCATTGAAAAGATGTGGCTGTTTATGTCCAGCATTGTCCATAGCAAATGAAAAACAAACGATTCAAATTATTCTACATGCCTGATTGGGTGTTCTGAAGGATTATTTTTCTGTCTCTTGATATAACTTCTTTCGTTCTCAACTCATAATAACCAACACCGGAGGTGAGACTCTATGTTTCAAACATAAAACACAGAAAGAAAACACAAATTTTTCACAGAGTTAAGAAAAACACAGTCCACGAGTTCGAAAATCTTATAAACTTACTAAATTGATAATCAATGAAACTGTTAAGTCACTTATTGTCATGTTTCTATACGTGATGAAAATTAAACTTTAAGAAAATTTAGCCTCGGAATGCAGGACAAAGTATGTAATGATTTCTGTTACCTTGGTACCCTAATTATGTCGTATTTATCTTGTATTCTTTTCGATACAATTGTTCGAACCTATAACAAAAGTAAACGATCGTTGGCTTGAATGCCCCCGAAGACACTTTCGGTGACATTGAGTTTCAGTTGGCTTTCCAGAAAAAAAACGTTATTAATTGATGGTGACGTACTTCTAATGATATGACTGTTTTAAATTTCACCTACATTATTTTGAATAGCTGCTATATCTTTCATCCATTCAGAACATTCACCGAGATCAAATTTCTGTTCCAAATCATGAATTTCTAAAAAATAACTAATGTTGCGATAAACACGTGCAAGAGCACGAAGCTGTGACATTGATCTGTGTTATATGTCTAGGATGTCAGGTTTGAAAAATATTTCAAGCTAGCAATGATTTGAGAGCGAAAATTGATTCTGTATTTAAAAGGCAAAATTTGCCTGATAAACCAACAATTGTTTTGTTATCTATTTTTCAATAACAAGAAAGATTGTAAACACTGACGTTGTAGGCAGAAGCATAACGAGAGTATTCAATTTATAGGTAAGTGTTTTGACTCATTCATTTATTTTTCACATGAAGTTGATGATTTGCTGACAAAGCCTCTTAACAGTTTTTTGAAATCATAATACTAAAAGACTGTAATACTGAAAGGGAAAGACAGATATCACGGACCACGAGTGAATGGATGAAATTTTCTGGATATCATAAAATTGTCGACTGCTTTTGCTGGTTCGAAAAACCCATGATCGTCAATCTTATAAAAATGAGCGACCATTTTTTTAAAAAAAGAGGGGAGAGGAGCTATGGAACATGACACTAATGAGTATGTATAGCTTCTACTGGTCTGGTAAAGCTTAGCAAATAAGCATTTTGAAAGTAATAGATCACGGTTTTCAAAATTCAATTTACACGAGTCGAGGGATTGTTTTAACCAGCTCAAACTGTAGAAATTCAAGTCAGATTGTATGTCATCTAACGCAGCTGACATACGTTGTTTGCAATCAATAAGTGCTTCTTCTAATACAGCATTTTCAAACTTTTTCGCCTCCATTTTTTCCAAATCATCTTTAATTTCTAACTTCCACAACAGCAATTCATTCTATTAAATTTTTAGGGAAAATTCAAATAAACATCATAGCTACCAATTCTCTGTACTTAATGAAAAGTATATATATAATTCTTGAGTTGCTATCCACTTCTAATGTTTCAGAAAACAACTAGAAATGACGAGTATGCCAATTTTTTATAAACAGGCACATTGTGAACAACAATACTCTTCAAAAATACAAAAAGGTAGCTAAACAAGTTTCTGTTTGCGTTACCATTCTCTGTAGTGCTGCCCGAGACTGTCTAAGTTTATAACCACACATAAAGAAAAATGCGAAGTAAGAACAAACCGACATGATATCTGCCTGTAAAGTAAAAAAAATTATTTCACGTTTGTTTGAAGAACAAGATCCACTCAGATTCCTCAAATTTTTAAAAAACAAGTTATATGAAAATCTTAAAAGAGAGCAAGTTGGAGTTTTTGATGCAGCATTTAATTAGTTGTTGCAACGACAAGTGGATATTTTTGTCTACTTTTTACATGCACAAGGTCTATAACTCTATATCATTTTTTTATATATATTTTTGATTGAATGATCTGCCGTATAAAACATTGAAAATCAAAAATTTCTAAAATGTTGCTCAAAATTAGCTCTAAATTATTTTATGAATCATGCCGCGAGCTCATAAAATATGCTCATAACATGTCAATTGACCAAAGCACGGTATTTCTAGCTACCTGAGCAAGATCTGAAGCATCAAATGAGCTCGATGATTTAAAAAATTCATTTGCCGTACGAAGAGCCAGGTTGACTGTCCATCTAATCATAAAAAATAGTTCTTACCATTTAAGAGAAAAGATGATTTGGGAACGAATAGTTATAATACCAAAAAAATACCTGTCGTTTAGAAGAACTTCAGTTGTAAATGTTTCGGGAACAAAAGAATTTACGAGCGCACACAAAACCCTAATAAATATTTATGTTTTGCACAGAGTTACAGAAATGCACATTTTTACTGAAATGGCTACGGATAGATCGTGGTAGATCTTCGATTATCTCAGTCATATAAAAAGGAAAGAGTTTAACCTGCTGTCCGTTAGATCATCTAGAGTCTAAAAAGGAAAAAAACTGGAAGAATGGTAACAGAAAAATCTGTCAAAGCATGCTTAACAAAATGTCGTGTTGAAAAGAGAGGAAATTATTAAAAAAGCAGCGAAGAAAGCTAACAGACAAAAAGGCATTATGAAATCATAAGTATACTCTCTTGCGTAAAACAGATCGATTGGAAAGAGTTGAAATTATGTCTGCGTTTCACACAATTGTTCATTTAAGCTAAAATGATTTCATTTGCATCGGAAATGCTCTTCAGTTATTTCGATATGAAAACTTAAGAGACTTGGAATAAAAAGCTTATTTTTACCATTACTCCACGACTGAGCATGCGTCCTTCTCTCGTCATCTATCAATAAGGAGAAAACTTTACGTAGCATGAAAACAAAGAGGAAAATTTCGTCATTTCTGACCTTTAAATGTGCATTAATCATTTCCAGAATGCAAGCATCGGGCTCAGGGTAACCATGGCTGAAATGCATAAAGTGACTGACTTCATAGCAGTCTAAAGTAAATCTCAAGTGCCATACACTGAAAATGGTTACTACACAACAAGCTTTTCGTACATCTGCTATTACATATATTCAGGCTTCGTCATACCTTTTAGAAAATTTTTTCTCAACTTCCTGTAATAAGTCAATTGAAAAAGAACTCGTGAAAAAAAGATTGACAGTTAAAATTGTACAATGCAACAATGCAATGTATCAGATTTCATATTCTCACTTTCAAATGACTTACCTCGTCACCAATACATTTTGATGGAACCCACTTCGTAAAGATAAAAAACTTAATTTGATGATTTCTCTAAAGAGGTATCTTTCTAAACCAGTTAACTCTAAATAAGGATTTATCGTACCGAGAATGCTGTGCCAAGTATTCTTCTTGCTTTAGTTTGCTGTAAATCATTCGATTTACTCCAAACAAACCAGATATCGTGACAAACGAGGCACCACAAAAGTTCAAAAACCTACAGAAAGAAATAAACGGGAAGATTAGTTTCAAGATTGATTTTTCAAAACTATGTAACAAAGCGGTTGATGATCGATTTAAATTTTATTTGCGACGAATACTCACTAACAGGGTCGTGCCTAGGACGTTATTATTTGGAAGTAATGTGCATACTCATCTATTCAGTTGTGCCGACTGATTTCTTTCGAAAGCCAACTCTGTTTCAAAAGAAATCGGCCTGTCAACACATCTGAATAATTGAGTTTACACCCTCTTTAAAAAAGTTAACGTTCTAGCGATAGCCTCGCTTTCAACAAATACGAGATAAACAGTAAGTCTGGTTTGGCGTAAAACGTTGGCTTTGTTATTTTCATAGAGATGGGTCAAAAGATCAAATTATAACAAATTTCATAGAATTATGCTGACTTTTCCAGAAAATTACGAGAACGTGTCAAAAATATCGTTTTTGTTTTAATTGAGCAAGCTTGGTGATAATTTATAGAAGTTGTTATATGTATGTGAATTCCATCCTACAAAGTCAAGCCTCACCTGTCTTGAACTTCTCATAGAAAACATTTGTGCATCAAGTTTAAAACTGGAAGATATGATTTTCCTGAAACATGCATTCAAAGAGTGAATTTGGTCATATTGATCAACTTTCTCAAATACGAAATTTTGAGACAGAAGTTTTGGTTGAAGAAATAAATATGTAGCAAAGCAATCTGAAAATGTCCACCAAAGCGAATTGGGTGTTGATATATATACGCTTTCATAATGCATTGGACTCACCAGTGCAGACATCGTGATAAAGCAAAACACTTATGATTGTATTCAACTCTTTCAGAAAAAAGACTGATGAAAATCAACTATAAATAGTTATATTTAGTTGCAAACTTATACATGTAGTTGTTATTCTTCAAATTGATGAAGATCTGAGAAAGACTGTTGGTGTTGGTGCTGACTGACTTTTAAAACCTCAGTGGTAGTCGTCAATTTACTGTCAAATGAAGACTTAACGTCCTGTTTTTATAAGCCACTTGATGGAGTTGACTCTGAAAATGACAACCGTATAAGAATGTCGAAATCGCTGTGAATACTGTAACCCACAGTGTTTCTCAGCACATGCATCACTAACATGGACAGTCTACATTTATAAAGATATATAGCTTATAAGTGTCTTGTATTTTTAACTAAAGTGAAAATCTCTTGTATCAAGAGCTGTGTGAATGTTTGCAAAACTGACATCAACTATAAATGTCGTGTTTTATTTACGTTTCCTGCAGTTCTTTAAGCATCCATTCAACTCTTGTAATCTTTTGTTGCTGCGTCAACCTTTAAATAAAAATGGTGTCGTTTTATGGAAAAAATTCAGTAAAAATCTAAATCTGTTTGGTTGCTAAGGAACTGTAATTCACCCATCAAAACTCTGTAACTTCTTTTTGCGGCTTTCCGGTCATACCTGTTAAAGAGCATTGAAATACTTAGAAATTTCGACTTCTTATTACATATTGATACGTAGTCATACGGTGTGTTTTCTTAAAAAAGAAAAGTTGGGGAAAGCCATCAGCTGTTGAATTTATGTAAGAACAGGAACATTTGCCCGTGCTCTCTGACTAATGAAGAAGGGAATACATGCTAAATGAATTTTTATTATAATGAAGTTTGTTGAAGAAATTGAGTGTTCATTTTACGAGAATCCCGAATTCAAAAATCATTCAATTTATCATTTGAAAGAACAATCACTTTGAAAACGTCTTTCTCATGGCTTTTTAGAACGAGTTTCTCAATCGTTATGACGTAATATGAGGTCAATTGTGGGACAAAAACGAGTTTTATTAATGATGACAAATCAATCAGATGTTGAATGCCTTAGAGACGATTTTCTCCTCTTTATCTCAGAAGTCATTAATATTTCAATAAAACAATTATTATTGGATTCAGATCTAATAATTCACATGAATGTCTACAACTACAATAACCTCAACTAATGTCTACAACTACAATAACCTCACTTAGCTTCAATTTCATAAACAACAACTTTCTACGCATAACTTTCTACATTCTAATATTAGTTTACTTTTATCTGTAAATGTTTATCGCAAATATCATTTGAATTGCAAACAGTTTAGGCAGATTTTATTGTACATTTATGCAGCCAGTCTGCATTGCCAAATGAAAAAGCAATCACATCCATACAGTTAAACACCATGATGAACAGTCATCAACCTGAGTACGCTGCGTGAATCACTGCGCAATACAGCTCACAATTGACAGATGGAAATCTGAAAATATCTCACTTTCTAACAAAATCTTCATGTTCTTTCCTTTGAGCAAATCCTCCAAAACGTTGTTTAGGAAAACACCCGAAGGAGCCAAACGTAAGTTCACCCATGCAGTGAAACCTTTGATTCGAGTTCGTAGACTTTCCATAACACAATGAAATTATTGTATGATCCGAACTGTTATATGGTGCTGGATGTACGTTGGTAGAAAATGCTTAATTTTATCGGTTTGAATGAGTCATTTTTGAATAAAATTTGGCGTCTCTATGCGTTGTTTGCTTGTCATTGGAATTTAATCCAACTTGATTAAAACATCAATTTTTCTCAAAATATACATTCGGGCTTGTTTCCATGGTAATTAAGCTAATTTACATTTACTCGAAGAATTTATTTATTTACTGTAAGAATTTATCATGGGTGGAAAGCTTATAATTTATCCTTGTGAGTCATTTTTCCTTTCGAAATAAAACATAGTGATTATTTCAGATGCCATTTACTATTTCAAACAAAAAGTACGTACTTATTAAAGACGAAAATTTTGCTGTTTGCGTTTATATTTTTTGGTAAATGTAAAGATGAATGGTGATATTGGCGTAATAAGTTGTTTTAATTTTGCTCAGCGTTCGGTAATTAGATTTTAGACTTAACTTGTTTTAACTGCTTTTATGCTATCTCTTTCTTTCTGGAATAAATGTGTTAGATAAAATTTCATTTGGCCATAATATTCAAGGCTATCCATCAACTGTTTTCAATCATTTCCTTATGTCTATCCCAACTGTTGGATTTGATTATGAGGATAATAAGGATTTGAGGTTGTTGAATTGCCATTTGATTGAGTAAACAATTATATAATCAAATATTCTCAAATATTACAATTAATTTATGCTTTTGCATGTCAACAGATCCCACCAATTGATGCGATGTTACAGTGAAGAAGTATTGATGATTTAATTGTAGAGAAGGTAACCCTTACAATCACTTGTTGTATTAGCATGCAGAATTCATGTTGAAAGTGTTAATGATAAACTGTACGTTCATTAAGAAATGATATCCATTATATTTATTTTAAATTAACATTGTTTAATCTATACAGTCGATCTTATAGTAACAAATATGTTTTAGTTAACTTTAATGTATCCACTGGTGTCATGGGCAAACTAGAATGTTAAGTGGGGGGTGAATATTCACCCCTCTCACCCATTCCCCACTTAACGTTCTAGTTTTTCCTTTGGCTGGTGTGTTTTTAAAGATGCAAGTCTCAATTTTGTGTGTCCAGGTCTTCATGCAAAGTTTGTTGCTGCTAATTTCACAACTATGGTACTTCCCTATTTAATAACATTGTCATCAACAGTCAACAATGTTGTATATACATATTTAAACTATGAGTGCAGATAAGAAGGATGACCTGTAGTACAAAGTTTTCAAATCATGCTTCCTGGGCACATTATGAAATTGAAAATACCCTTCATTCTAATCAAGTACATAAATTAAGGGATTATTTATGATCATCAAGTGTAAAGGCAACAATCCCACATACAAAGTTTGAGTTTTTTAATTTAGCTCTCAAGAACTTGAACTTGATACACTATGCACCTCCCTCTTTCTGCATCTGCCATTGTCAAATGAGAATCACACATTCGCTCAACAGTACCACAGAATAGAAATTATCACCACTGACTGCGCAATAAAATGCATGATTTCACTTGACCTTCATGTTTTTTTTACTCAGTTATTCACTGCCTAAAATTGAAGACGTTGCTGTCCATTCATCCAAAAATTGACTATCCATCTTTTCATTTTATTCATGCATAAGAGCACACACAAGCGTATACGTTAACTGCATATTAGTATTTAGTATTTACTAGTCTCGTATCAAATTACTGATATTTGCCTACTAACTTCTTGTCAAGTGTTTACTTCATTGTTTTATTATACTTGCTAATAAGTATAAAGTAATTAGTTGATTGAAAATGGCGGATCTATTGACCGTATTGCTCGTTGCGTTAAAGCTCTGCGTATTTATCCTTTTTGTCCTTATAATTGCGTTTACGTTATACATACATTACATGCATCTCAAGCTAAAACATATCGCGGGGCCGCCAAGAGACAATTTTTATTCGGGTAATTTACTTGCGATTCGTCGTGGGCGACTCAATGAAGGCAAAAATATACATCAAACATTGGCAGACTGGTCGCTTCACTATCGTCCGATATTTGTCATATGGTTTTCCATGTACCTCTGACTGTGATAAGCGACGCTGACGTTGTGAGAGAAGTTCTTGTTGTCAAAATCTGCCGAAAGATTATTTTGGCTATAAACGCTTTCAGTATGTTTATGGCGAGCGCTTCCTCGGAAATGGCCTATTCTCGGACTTGAACATCAAGACATGGGAGATAAAGAGACGTACGTTCGCTCCCCTGTTCTACCGAAACAAACTGTTTGATAGTTTTCACATCCTGAATGCATGCTGTGAGAAATTTCTCAAAAAGTTGGAAAAATACGCCGACGGCACAACTGTCATCTCTCTTGCTGATGAATTTCTTTTAGTGACCCTGGAGACAATTCTTAAGGTTCGTCTCTCATTTTTACACCATAATAATAATAATATCATAGTACAGCCAATTCACTCAAGCCATAGTGGACGCCCCGCTATTTTGGGACATTTTGTTTACCCCAATTGAAAATACTGTGAAATGTATTTGAATTACTCTCACTGTTATGGGCTCTCGTTACAACGGACACCCAGGGCGTATAATTTTAACTAAACGCATAACCAGTTTTGTAATTAAAGGTAACATATTTTACTTTTGTACTCAAGCATCAATTGAGACTGAGTGTGATTTACAAGGGACCTTAACTAAACAAAAACAGCTATAAAGTGCTATAACATTTTACCAACTAATTTGGGAAACTTCCATCAAATTCCTCGATAGTACGGACGTCGACACTTTCGATTTAACAGTACTAAATCATAGTCCCTATTTGCTGTCTGCTTGAACGAGTTGACTGTACAACTCAATGGCGGTGTCACGGTGATTTGTGTGTCCCCCTTGAAATCTGTTACCCTCGTGAAAAATGCACGTACCATTGATTATCAGCAATATGTTCGTCACTTTATTTAGTTGATATAATAATAATGGCAGTTAATCCCATATCCATATTTTTTTGTCAGAAGTTTAAATTTGATGGAGAATTTGTATGGCGATGTATAAGCATTGTCCGTTTAAGCTTCGGTATCTAAAATTTTAGAATTCTTTGTGTGTATGTTTCTTTAATTTTCATATTTCTTTTACAACGCTTATTGAACTTTAAATTTGGCTAAGTAAACAATCTTTAAAAGCGCAATTCATCTTATAACTTCGTACGAACATTAAAAATGCTTTATGGTCGACCGTAAAATATTATTAATAAACAGTCTTTGAGACTGTTTACTAATAATATTTAATATTTTTATTCAATATAATTTATACTTTTTATTCAGTAAAATGTGCAAGTGGTGAAAACTGCCATAGACAATACTTTATGATGATTTCGTTTTCATTATAAGGATGGCATATGCACCTGTTGATATTTCAGGTTTTATAACAAAAATTGGGGCTTAAAGTTAGTCTGTTATTCAATTCACCTTACCATCAACTGAAGAAACTTTTGTACGTATGACTTTGCTCATCTTCAAAGATATTTTTCAGAGTAACAGATTTTACCGGGTAATACAATTTAAATTACTGTGACAGCGGTACGGAAAAAAGGAAAATAAAGTACTGCAGCGTATTTTTAAATTAAGATTCCAAAGTAATTTAAATCAATAATTTTATTATAAACATACGAAGATGCTCTCCACGTTATTATGCTAGACTAGGCTTTTCTTTTTAAACTATCTCTAGTATTCCACTTTATTCCAACTTACGTACATTACTCACAAATTGCTACAAGGTACACAGTTGTTCAATCAAACAATCACACGATTCTCTGTTTTACAGTGGGCTTGCGACTTGCAGTTGAAAGACGACGAGTGGAATCTATTTGAGAAGAATTTTAAGAACGCACTGAAAGGGATCTCTCTAAGTTTCACCAGTCCTCAAAGTCAATTCACACCATGGTCAAGTTTGAGACGTGAATGCGAGCAAGGCGCTCGAATCACAAGAGCTGTTGTAAAGCAAGTCGTCGAGAAAAGAGAAAAAGAAATGAGAAACGGGTGTGACACGCGAGATGATCCGTTATCCTATGTGTTCAAACTTGAAGAAGCTCTGCCTGAATGTGATATTGAAGATTTGGTTGACATGGTCGTTACAATCGTTTTTGGAGGTTTGATCAATTAATGTCTACTTGATATACAATATGAACCAACAATAGATCTTTAATTGCTTTTAAGAAGCATTAACATTAGTAGGTATAACGTCGTTTCTACTTGAGACAAATTCCTTTATTTTTTACCTTCTAGGAATGGATACTACGGGTAACAGCTTATGCTTTACTGCTCTATCTATTGGTTTACATGCAGACGTTGAAAACAAGTATGAATTTGAATTATTTCTACGGGAATCATGGGTGTACAGGCTAACATTTGTTAGGGGGGGAGGTCGAAACATTTCAATCTTAAATGACTTAATTTATATAACTTTCCAGCAAATAATGGTCTACCCGATATTTTTTGGGGCTGCCCTCGACTAATACGCCAATAAAGGGAATTAGCTATATATATTTAACCGTCGTGAGAAGTCTTATAGAGATGTGCTGGACTTTGCTGATCACTGATGTATACAAAAAGCTTTTTGTTTGAATTTCACAAAGCTATTTTTACATTCGCTAATGCTCATGGTATTAGCTTTCGTGGCTGATTGCCATATTTTCATATTGTTTTCTATTGCCTAGGTTTGCCATATATTTTGATTATGCATGAAGATGTTGGACTTATAGCGTTTTATTATGTAATAACTATAAGCATTTGAGCAATTTCATTGGTCGAGAGTATTATTCTAAGAGGACATACCCACTGAATTGACATCACAGAAATTTCTTGTTTTTAAATCACAAACGATCGGCGATTTGAATATTTACCTGATTTTATCCCTGCATGGGCAAATGAAGACATTAAAAAGACTTAGTTGAAGCAGTTGACGTATTTGAACAAAAAGAAAAAAACTCCATTTTCCAACGTTTATTTGTACTTCGTCGTCGATAACACAATTTCAACAAAATTGATCAGCCATTGCTTGTTTATACTGCTAGCCAATCACATTTTATCACTTGACTAAGATAGCCAATGTGCCAATACCACCAGAGCGAAACTAGGACGTTATTTGGGAGGAGTATATATTCATGTATTCACCTCTGCCCTGCTAATTTCCTTTGTGATTATAATTTTAAAAGAAGTCAGCAGGGCAGAGCTGAACATATGAATATTTACCCTCCCAATTAGCGTTCTAGTTTCGCCCCTGAATAGCAGATCTTCAATCTTATTGATCACGTACGCGAGACATTTGCAAAATCATTTTTTAGCTCTTATCACAAAGACGTCATACCCGTGTATCTATAACTGTATAGACAAGAGTTAAATAGAATCCATATGTTAAACATGCCATGCATCAACTCAGTTGTGCGATGGTCTAACTAGAGACAATATCTTCGTAAGCTTAAATTTTTCCGCTTTTACTGTTTAAATGTTCTTGTTTAGGCTTCGAAAAGAAATAGATGAAGTGATTGGTGAATTAGAGGAGATCACAGCCAAAGATATTATGGCAATGCCATATCTCGGTCAAGTTGTGAAGGAATCGCTTCGCTTGCATCCCCCGACACCAGCAATCACAAGAAGAACCAGTTACGAAACTTTCATTGGAAAAGTCAAAATACCAGGAGATGTACCTGTTATGGCAAATCCGTATGTTATTCAAACGCATCCGGATTACTGGAAAGATCCTCATTCTTTTAATCCAGATCGCTTTGCTGATCCTGAATTAGTTCATCCCGCCGCATATTTTCCCTTTTCTCTCGGTCCAAGGCGTTGTATTGCACCACAACACGCGGAATTGCAATTGAAACTCATCATAGCTCGTCTTTTAAAGAAATTTAAATTCAAATTGCTGCCTGGTCAGACTTTGAAGGTTGCTGAAAATATTAGTTTTGGCCCTGTTGGAACTGTTCGCTGCACGCTAACGCTGGCGAGCGAAAGTTAGATGACAAAAGATACAAGATGCACACTCAAACATTTGATATTTGCATTATGTACATTTGCAAACTTTTCTCTGATTGCGTCCCTTCTTAACTTTGTTTTGCAGGAATTTGGTGGTCGCCAAAGAAATTTAAATGAATTGTTCATTTGTTGATTGCTCCTGTGTTTTGTTTTTCCTCACAACTTAGCTACATCCTTTTTCTGTTGCTCGTGTTGTTTACGGACTTAATTTTTTACCATGCTATTCATGTTGTTCTTCCACTTCATAAACATACATTTCAAGGGATGACCAAGAAATTAGGTCGTCTATACGTTGCTAAACACAACCTGTATGATTACGGAATACAAATGATACGTTTACCTGCGAATACCTCTAGTGACCTCTTATAAGCAGAAACCTCTCGTAAGCTGACACTCTGGTTGTGGTCTCAACGGTTTTTGTTAATACCGTACAGTGTCAAAAGTTGCCCAACCCTTGAAAACTGAATTTTTTCAAAGTCATGAAACATACATACTGTAAAGGTATATAGGGAGAAAAAATCTGTCTGAAGAAAGTGCATTCAATCGTTCGCTGATTTTGAAAATTACAGTCCCATAATGAGCACGCTCCTAAACCATGTACGGCATTCCCTGAAAAATCATAGCCGCCTTTGAGGCAAGTGATTTCTAAAGGGTGGCTACTTTCGACACTTTATCACTGATGCAACAAAAATGACTGAAGTCATGAATAGCTGGCGAAAGTGGATATTTTTGCTTATATTTAATACTGGCTTATAAAAAGTGTAACGTATCCTTTTAATACTTGCTGTATGATTAATTTTAGATGTCTATAATTTTCATGAAAATTTAAAATATTTAGTTATTTTTGCTGCGAGCTTCATTTGATTTTTTGCATTCTTTCAGTGTAAAACTTACACTATGTTTCAGATAAGAAGATTTTGAGTTAAACTACAGAAAAATAAATATATTAAAACTACATGATGAAACTGCATGTTCGTTATAATGTTTTCCTAACTATATACTTCTTTTCACCGTGCATAACGGCGTTTAAAGTTAAAACTAAAATTAAACTACTTACTGGTAGGAAGTACAGATTTTAGAACGGAAACTGATGGCACAAAAATCATTCAATCTATTCGCTAAAAGCAGTTGAAACATCAACTTTTAAAGACTGCAATCGTGTCGAAGATATGTTTCAGCAATCTTCGTGGGCAAGGCTAACTTTGAGACACATTCTGTACATCTACGCCGACTTTGTTATTTTTAAGTGTCATAATCTGTAGTCGTCGCACAAGATATAAGATTTGTGCGTCTGCTTGTAGAACATTGACAGCTTTCGGAGTTCGTATGAGTTCTTTAAAATTTTTTCTTAGAAGTACGGATGACATTGTCGGTCCAAATTGTGGTTCAAAGATGAAGGACACAAGTGTATCATTTTCCATCTGAAATCGTGAGTTTTTCATTATTTTTGTACGACTGGCGGAATTGATTCCATTCATTTTATTATACTGTACGGGCTGTATGAAAAAAATTGAACAGTTTGCAAAACGTTGCTAAATGATCATCGTGCAAGATTTGCAAAACCTTTGGTTGAAATAGTTAGTTGGACTTCCAATGATTCATCAAACAGTATAAAATAAACATAATGAAACGCGTGCGCTGATTGGTCTAGAGCTGAGTTTGCATTAGCCAGATCAAATCACAGTAAACATCTTTTATTTCTTAAGTAAAATTTTCGCCAATTGCTAAAATTAACCATTTTAGAGTGAAAATAGTGTTGCCGAGAAGCATTTGAAATAGCTTGTGCATGAAAATGACGCGGCTTAAAAGCATTTGGGACACATAAGGTTAAAATATGTCATTTTGTTCAAGCTAAGTAAGTTTTAGGAAATTTGGCTTATGCCTACGCGAACACTTAACGTTTGAATTGAGAATTGTTTTGAAAGCTTCGGTCAAATTTCTCAAGCTTTCTAGCTTGTCATTTTCGTGCGCCAGCTATTTCAGAAATACTTCTTGGTAACATAATTTCACTTAAATGAAGATATGATCTTCCCACTTTGCTGGACAATTTAAGCAATTGTCTCATGAACCTGAAAAAGTCAGGTGACTCAACGGGATTCAAACCCATGACCTCTGCGGTGCCGGTGCAGTGCTCTGACCATCTGAGCTATGAAGTCACACAGTGGTGAGCAGGTCAATTTTGTTGGGCTCATGTTTTCTCGTGTCATATCTTCATTTAATTTCAAACACCGCACTGCATAAAAACATTCTTTATATGACATTCCTTTCACGAGAAAACATAGACCAACAAAATTGACCTGCTCACCACTGTGTGACTTCATAGCTCAGTTGGTCAGAGCCAATGATCTAGTACCCATTCTAGATACCTGACTCAGCCAAATTTGTATAGTAATGAGTGAGAGCAAATTTCTACGCGGCCGCCATTTGCAAAGGTGGCAAAAGCACAATGGCGGCATATAAAACATTAAAGTGCACAAACAGCTATTTTTAGTTTTTATTCTCAAATAGATTTTGGATAAATAATACAAATGCCGTTTACAGAATTTGAATAACTTTTTTCGTTTTGAGTTATCTTTCGGCAAAGATGCGAATAAAACCTGAATTTCAATGTTTTGTAAAATGCCGAGCTCTAATCCGTGGCATGGGACTTACTTGTGACGTCATTTAAGAACACAGACTGACTGCCAAAACAACTTACACTGTTTATGCATGTAAACAAACACAAAAATGCCAGATCGATGTGTAGTTTTTGGTTGTTCTAACGTAGCCAGTTCGGAGAAAGGCCTTTCACTTCATCGCATACCATTTTTAACGACGAAAGAAGCGAAGCTATGCGTAGGAAAAAGCGATGGGTCAACTTTGTGAAAGCTACTCGCGATAAGTGGGTCCCCACAAAGAATTCCGCAGTTTGCTCGGAACACTTCACAAAAGATTCCTTTTCTCGGCAATTGCTCTGCTTTCTGAATCAGAAAGTAATTTTTCACCTCGACTCATTCGAGATGAATTCGGAATCGTTGCTTACCCGAGCATTTATTCTCGAAAAGATGACAATGAACTTACAACAAGAGATCGCAGAATGGTGAATACGTTAAAATTATACATATGCATATCTACATTTTACCTGGAATTTGTGTGAGAGTATATTTCATAAATATATGTCATTTTACATGAAAGTGGATGTCTGATTTTAAAAGAGAGGTTGAATCAGAAAATATTCCAAGTACAAGTAGCGAACCTCAAGAGCAAATAGAAGAAACAACTTGTGATGAGCCTGTATTAGAGAAGGTAAACTTATATGATTATTACGCCACTGCTGTAAAGGTTAACGTAAATTATTGTTTTGTATATGTATTGCTGTTGTTTCTAATTTAGGAAGTAGCTGTGCAATGTGAATTACAATGCCAAGATTGTTTTAAAACTTGAAAAAGAGAAACGTCGTTACAGGAACTTATGGCTTGGGGCAAAGCTTGCTTCACTGTAGCAGAACTTATGCAAGCAGTTCTAATATGGATATGCTTGCAGTGGGTAAGTGTTTTTTTAAGATAATACGCCTGTTAATTTTATTTCATGTATGATTCTAGGTCAAGAGAAGATTTGCCAACGTAATAGGATCAGCCATGTTTAATAACCTCAATTTCTACAATAGTACCAACTAAGCTTGCATGCACCCCTGGAAAATTATTGAAGTTAATTACTAAGAAATATGGACTTAATCAACCTTGTGTAGCTGCGCATTACTGAAGTATCTTATTTCATAGATGAGTATGACAACAGCAGCAATGAAGAATCATCAACTAGTTGCAAAGTGGTTGATCTTGATAGCTGTCCTGCTGAGGAGATTTTGGACCCAAATGATCTTAGTGGTGACTCAGACTCAGAACCTCTGCCACAAAGGTGATCAGAGTTCTACAGCACGAAATGACATAAAAATGAAAGGCCATAAAATATAATGAACTGTCCAAAACCGAAAGTAACCAGTTTTAGGACCTGGTGGTATGAGCCCAGTTAGTTGGGATTCAGTGAAGTGAGAATTGACTGCATGGAAAGAATAAAGAGAAAGGAATTGTAATTTTGTATGTTTTTGTATAACAAGTATAAGACAAACACTGTCTGACACCGTTTGAAAATTTACCTTCCGACGAAAAAAAATTTATGCTTGAATATTTCCTCGTCATATTTTCTTATTGTATTGCCTTTTTAGCATAAAGTGTAATTTTCAGTTGGCTTTTCCTCGTTACAAGTTGTAAGTTACAACGAACTCACTGTAAAGTAAAGTTTAGCTGTAAAAATAACCTTTGCGAAGAGTTGGCCTAGTGTGTTGTTTGACGTGATGTTGTTTATATGTTTATGCTTTTGCAGTTTGTATTCAAATTTATAGTGGCCGTGTATGTTTGGCACTCAGGGAATGAAACTGACGTACAAACCGCGTGAATATTCGACTTTGAAGGACTGGAACTGACGTACAAACCGCGCAAGAGACTAGGACTTTGGCTTCAATTCATATCTATAAAATGTATTGTAGTTATCATTCCAGATATATATATATGGAGTTCACTGGTTTTTTGCCACCTTTCAAGATGGCGCCCGCGAATAAAATTTGCCTCACCGTGACAACGGCAGTTAGATATCTAGAGGATTGGGTATAAGTCATTGGTCAGAGCCAGTGAACTCGACATTTGAATAACTGGAATGATAACCGAAGCCAAAAAAATATTTGTCGTCATCATTCGTCATCACACGTCAGGCTCTAGTCTCGCGTGCTCATTTTAATTTTTTTAAATCATTTGTCCCTTGGTAATGGTAGAGTTCGGATCATGATCAGAGCGTAAAAATAACGAAATTTATTGGAATGAAGGTTCACGGAAAGTGAATCAAAGTGATAAATCGAGAAGCAAGATGAGGTGAACTTAGTCTGCTCTTACGCTGCGGTTTTCCTTTAAAACATATCAAAGTCTTTAAGGATATTCAATTATTGATATCGAGATGACAACCATTTAGTATTTCAAGTTTCAAGCACTATCAAAATCGATGAAAAATACAATCGCTCTGTAAAAAGTAAAAATGAAGTGCGAGTTATAGACTCAATATTTTTTATGAAACTGGATATTCAAGTTTCTTTTTTCGTCGGAAAAAACAGATCTTTAAATCCACTTAAATGACAAAAAAGACAAACACTGTCTGACACCGTTTGAAAGTTTACCTTCCGACGAAAGAAAATTTATGCTTGAATATTTTCTCGTCATATTTTCTATTGTATTGTCTTTTTAGCAAACAGTGTAATTTTCAGTTGGTTTTTCCTCGTTACAAGTTGTAAGTTACAACGAACTCACTGTAGTAAAGTTTCAGCTGTAAAATAATCTTTTGCGAGGTTGCCCTCGTGTGTTGTTTGTCGTGATGTTGTTTATATGTTTATGCTTTTGCAATTTGTATTCAAATTTATATTGGCCGTGTATGTTTGGCACTCAGGAGAATGAAACTGACGTACAAACCGCGCAAGAGACTAGGACTTTGGCTTCAATTTTATATCTATAAAATGTATTGTCGTTATCATTCCAGATATATATGGAGTTCACTGGTCAGAGCACTGCACTGGCACCGCAGAGGTCATGGGTTCGAATCCCGTTGAGTCACCTGAATTTTCAGGTTCATGAGACAATTGCTTAAATTGTCCAGCAAAGTCGAACATCATATCTTCATTTAATTTTAAACATAAAACATTCTTTAATAATTCTCACTCTTACCATTTCATCAAAGATTTTTCAAGTGAATTGCAGAGCTAACGCGTTGATATGGGTATAATGGATGAAAATACCGACTTGTACAAAAACGCACTTAACTTTAATCACAGTTAACGCTAACTACCGTAGTTGACTCCTTAACTTTAGTAACTTAACTGCATGGCTAAATTTAACTACCTTTTACCTGCAAAAAGTGTAGTTAAAAAGTATAGTTAAGAGCTTTATACAACCGGCCCCTGGAATTTTGTGAGTTCTCCGTTGAAATCGTGCAGTACGATTGTACATGTTACTGATTTGACATGTTGAAAATGGCGGCAAAAGGTAGATCTTCCTCCAAAATATTTCTCATTCTACTATGAATTACATGACTTAAAGATATTTAAGTAAGTATTCAGCATAGAAAATTTTATCATGAATCTATTTTCTACATAAAATTGAATATTTGGCTGATCGTATTGAGTACGTACATGCTTGAAAAGTTCATCTTTTGTTTTTGTCGACTGACAGTAATATATAGTGCAGCGATCCTAGCATTCAATTTGACCTACTTTGGTGAGCTTACTATTCTAAAATCTTGTATATCAGGCATAAGGTGGTACAACAAATTTTAACTCTTTGGTTTCTCTACATGTGGAGAAAGTTGTCTGCAACAAAATCCTGTAGTAAAAAGTAAGTGTTTTAACAGGAGAGTGTAGTGTCATGTTTGTAGAAGCCACTCGTCTCTGAAGATGACTATAACACTAAGGATGTCGAAACGTCAAACATACGAACACTAACATACAGTTCTCAATTCTCGGATCTGCACTTATGTGGACAATCTATATATACATATAAGCCTCTTTCAATGCGTATTAGAGAGACTTAGCAAACACGACGTAAATTGTCGTGAAAATGGCGTAAAAATGGCTTAAATATGGCGTGGACCCAACCATATATGGGAATATCACGCCATTTTTAAGCCAGTTTCACGACGTCTTCGACGATACGCCGTGTTTGCTAAATCTTTCTATTGTTGTCGAAAGTTGACGTAACTACGTCTGATGATGCTGCAGTATGTACATAAAAGTTATAGAATGATGCCGTTTCTTTTAAAATTCCTACTGCTACACATAATGTTATCCATTTTCAGTTATTATACAACGAAGCTATCATACACAGCTTAGTAAGCTAAAGTTAAGTGCATAAATACGTATTGTATATTTATATAAATATTTAAATATTATTAAAGTTAATTTGCTTATCTTGCACTTTGGCGAACCGTTGTTGTCCGATCATCATTATGCTTGCAGATTTTGTGCCATCAAATCCTTGTTTAACACCTATCTTTCCTTTTATTGGCCACAATAATGTAATATTTATAGCTAACTATGTCAAACTAACATTTCCTATATGAATGATACTTCCTATAGCATGTAGCAATGATATGGCCATGTACCCACGTATATCAACACAACGTGGATGCATGGCCATATCATTAGATCAATGCCAGCGAATGTTTTTTTCTTGCTATCAAAGCATCAAACATGAATTTTTGTTTGTCCGGATACTTTTTGTGTGTCAAGTTTTGAAATCATTTTCACAACAAGAAAAAAACATCGAACTGACGCTTTGCCACTTAGCTATAATTCATGCGTTCAATTGAGATGATGTTGGCCGTTTTATGATATCCTTGCTCTCAAATGCTGTCGACTATATTATGTTTTCATGATAAAGAAGCCATTTGTTGGCTGAATTCATTGGCTATTTGTTCCATTTCTACTGCATTAGCAAACTGAAGGCTAATCTGCTCGGGAAGTCAATTATGCTATGCATAAGGGTAAAATTAAGTTACATGTGCAAGTTGTATTAAATGGGCTAGTTTCAAGTTAACAGTTTATAATGACCTAATAATGTAATCCTTAAACCATTAATATTGTTAAATGGTGCCCGGGTCATTACCACCGGAACTTATTTCTGTCGGCAAACCGTCATCATCAAATCCAGGTATGCGCTCAGATCCGGCAAACGCTGAACCCGTATAAGGTGCGTCTCGGTCAAATTGCCAGCTGCCGCCTCCACCAGGGGCTACTGGAAATTTTGATACATTGGAATTTCGTGCCTTTAAACTGAAATAAAATATGTACATTCTGCGAAATAAGCGGTTTTCCAAAGAAATTTTTCAATGGATGTAGCTTGGCTACTACAAACATATTTTAAGCAAGTCTGATGATCGTTTATGTGTGAAATACAGTACAGTGAAACTATTTAAAATTGTAATAGTTTGTTATTTTATACACACTTACACATAAATAAAATTATACTTACCACACAATGCCAACCACCACGAAGATGAGCAAGAACAATCCACCAATCGATAGACCCAATATCAATGCAATATCAGTATCGTCATCATCATCATCACCAGTTGTTATTGTTGTATTTATTGTCATTGTTGTATTTGTTGTCATTGTTGTATTTGTTGTCATTGTTGTATTTGTTGTCATTGTTGTCATCACATTATTGTCATTGTTAAGCATATTTAAGCTGACATTGAAAATACTAGACATGAATGTTCCATTTGTCACGCTTTGAACTGCACTGGAATTAAGTGGCGTGTTTGTGCTGGCTAACAAAACAGCATAGCTTACACTTCCATTCGTTTCGATTTGAACAATCACATCGTTTATGGTAAATCTGTAAATATAATTCCTCTGTTAATATTAAATATAAAATGCATATCATGGTAACTTATGGGATATTGTCGATATTTTTTTATTTGTCGAGTGCAAATAGCAATTTCGACAATAAGGTAACGACAGCTTCGATACAGCATATGTCTTTATCCGCGTTGTAAGTTTCTATTTCATGGGTATTGTATGGCATCTGAATTATTTGAAAACCAAGCTTTCTTTCGTACTCGCTGTTTTGCAAGGGTTAGCTTTCACTTCTCTAGTTTTCGTCAGTAAAAAAAATTTAAAAAACAGATTGTTTGAAATCATCTCGTCCGGATAATAACACATTCCAAGGTGACGCTGCCATATATAACAAACATGCGTAATATCTCCTTTACGCGTCCATGTATCACACTTACTGGTTTGAAGAGCATATGCTAGAGGTTGTATTATTCCGACAGAATTCATTCATTCTCAGCGCTATCGAATATTGAACATCCAGTCGTAATGCCTGAAATTAAGTCAAAAATCTAAATCAAGATAAAAACTGATTAAAAATCTTGCACAAAGATAAAAGCAACTCCTTTAACAATAAGATGATTTCTCTAAGAAGACAAGGATTGTCATTAATTGATGTATGGTATGATAAATTACAAATTGCTTTGAATTCCATTACCTCTCTGTCGAAAGATGTATCTGAAGCGTTAATGTTAAGTCGCACAAGGTTTAATCGTTGGTCATCCGACAATGGAGGATTAACAAACGGCGGAGTTATGATGGAGTTATTTTGAGATATGACTTCTGTTGTTGATGTTCTTATAGCTGTTCTTAGAATAACAGGTGACAATGCTGAACCATCTGGTTTTTGTAAAGTGAATGACAGAAGTAGACCATCACCAATTGTTGAAGGTGAATTAGCCAATATCGTGACATTGTCGGGACTGATGTTGATGGCACTGCTGACAATGGCGCTGGAGCTAAAAAGTTATGTCAAAGAGTTAACAGATTGGTTCGTTTTCGGGAATCGTTCATCAGCCCGATCAGTTAATGTGATTAAGTGTATATATAGTCGCGAAATCACCAACAGTGTGATGAATGAAAAGAACTAAACATAAATTGAGCATATGCGCCTATGTCGATATTTATCCATAATACGTCGACATGAAAACTCCTATAACAAAACGGTCGCGAAGTCCTTTCAAGTGCTTCGACTGACAAATGTTATCTAACAAGCAACTCGGCAAGTTTTGCAATAAAAAAAACGATATATTGTTGATTTTTTAGCAAAATATCAATGGATTTGGCATGGTACACAGGAAAGTGCACACATGCATGCGTGCGCACGCAGTAAAGACGGTTAAAAACATCAATGCTTTTTATAAGCATCCCTGCAATGGTTCTCTTTGCTTCAGACCTTCAGGTCATTGATCATGTGAATAGTTAAGACTTAAAAGCAATGTACGTGCGAAGTCTTCCTACTATAAACGTTGGCAGTTTGTTAAAAATATAGCGAAAAAAAACATAATAAAATGATAACTTACCTACTGAAGTTGCATAACGACTCTCTTACACCACAAAATTCCTCGGCAGCTCTGGCCAAGTTAGTGCGAAATAAGCTTGTATCAAACTAAAAGTGAAACAGTTTGTAAAATTTTGACGATAACTGTTTTGGAAAATTTAAGTGCGCACGGTAGTCAACTTAGCATTTATCTTAACATTTATAGTCAAATCACGATGATAAATTAAATTCTTGAATTGTTCCAAAAGACATCACTGACTCGTGATTTGTCGGACTTTAGCGAACGTCACCGAAAGTTCCCAAACACAGAAAAAAAGGTACACGAAAATTTATAGTTGTCTATTTTTACCTGATTAATTTGTAGTTTAAAAAGTCTAATTTGTACAGTGTCAGGTGGCGTTTGGAGACTGAACGATAGTCTTGAAAGAGACTCCACTACAAGCTCCTCAGCGGTGACAATGGTGGCTAGAATATTTTGTGGGATAGAAGTATTTGTCTGAGGATATTTAACGTAAAATCTGTAGTAAATTTTGTTGGTGCTCATAGCTGCTGAAGGTGTTGCAGCTGAAGTACGTTGTACGTTGTCTACGCTGAATGTCGACGCCCTGCAAGAATTAAGAAACTGCTTTCAATTGTATGTTTTATAATTACAACTATACGTACAATACATAGCACTCATTTCATGTTTCGTCCAAATTCATCGGGACTTTGTATTTTACAGCTATTTTGCTTTGGTAAATGTTTCAAGGGAAAATGATTGCCACCTCTCTGCTAGGAGTCAGTGTTACGTTTCCTTTAATTTCTACTGGAATGTTGACAGATTAGCTTGAGTTGTACGTCCAGTTTAATTTGGTAGGATGTGTTAGGGTTTTTATAAAATATATTATAGCTGTATGGAATATTTTGTGTTCTGAATAATTGCAAATAAAACTATAATTTGTTGTCATAGAATGACATGCGCATAATTACCGGTTGCGTAGATCACAGGTGACGGAATTCAAGCTGCAATACGCAGAAACTCGGGGTGCAATTGCTGCTGATCTCAAGCGTCTGTCTATCAAAAAGTTCCACTGAAAGATATTAAAACAAAAGATAAAGAAATTTTTTGAGCGCATATATAACGTTCGTGTCTGTACTGTTGATTTACCTGATTTAAATTGAAGGTTATTTCTATGATTATACTGTTAATTATTTGCTCGACGCTAGCAGTTGGCGGATTCATTGGAGCGAATGATGTTTGGATTGTAATTTGTTGTTCGAGAAGTAACTCAAAATTTGCTTCACGCATGACCAATATCGAAGCAAGAGTAAGATCAGACAGAAATCCCTGGTTCCTCGGGTTGTTCACATAAAATGAGATGTTTGCATATTGCCCATAGGTCGTTGACGCAATATTAACGTTACTCATACTGAAACTTACACCACTATAAACAAAAATATATTTTAAATTAATTTTTTTTACTCATATATATGTAACAAAATTTGTACATTGTGCACTATGTAACTATACGTTAATTATCAACATGAATCAGCACAGACGCATTCTTCGCTTCAACATAAACCACCATTTTGTATTAAAAATAGCTTAAAGCTACACTGTACGCAAAATGTCCAGACCTAGAGTCGTAAGAATTCTTACTTTTCCATGAGAATTGATGTAGATTTGTTAAACTTTTAAAAAGTTCATGACTGTTAGCGTTTTACCTGTCAGTCAAACCACAGTCCTCCGTACGTCTGTAGTTGTCCACAGCGCAGTATTCATTGATCGTAATAGCCATAGCAAGTCGTAAATATCTTTCTTGGAAAATGGTAATCTGAAACACAATTATACAATTTTTAATTGTATTGTTTACTTTCATTTTTAACTTTCATGCACGTCTATGCATTGACGAATTTCATTAAAAAGATGTGTTAGTTTAGGCAACAGCATCCATAAAAATGCAAAGTGTGCAATTTATCATCTTTTTGAGCTTGGATAATGAAAACTTTATTATAATAACATAAGAAAAGTTTTTTAACCATGGTTTGAAACATACCTGACTCGGGGTGTTTAGTAAACTCAACAGAACGCTGTTGGCCTCCTGTTCCGCAGATGGAGTGGATGCATTGAAAGAACTTGGTGTGTTTAAGGTTATGTTGAACATCAGCAAAGATTTTAATTTATTTAATTCTGTGAACAGTATAGAAGCTAATATGTCTTGCTCTAATGTGCCATTTCGAAGGGTGCTTGGATAATCAACATAAAACCTTAGTGTAACGTTGTTTCCTTGCATCGATGGGAAGCCAGGAAGTCTTCTCACTTGCATAAAGGTGAACGAACTACATAAAGAAACTTGATGTTATGTAGTTTTGTTGAATTTTCCATGCTAAACGACTTTTATAAAATATCTTTTGAAAAAACGCGTGTTTCTATTATTGACTAAAAATCAGGAATTTTATCGCAGGTTGCGTCGCGAGAAATTTGAATGGCAAGAATACAAACAATATGTAATAATAAAAATTAATAGATTTATTTTTCTATAATTGTTTTTAAAAGGCTATTTTATAGAGGAAATAGAAAACATCTTCCTTGTTCCTATAGAGTTATAGAAACTGTGAATGTTTGGGAAGAACATTGTTTTTACCAAAACTTTTTTTCCCAGACTTTCATATGCATGCCTATAGCTAACTCTATAAAAACCGAAAAAATGTGCTCTATTTCTAAGATATGCATACTTTTTTTGTGAGAGGTAAATACATGTTTAATCAAGCGTTTTAAGAAACCCCAAACTGAGAATTTAGCTAGCTTGTAAGTTTTGAAGAAAAAACTTACCCAGAAACTCCACAAATTCTTGGACGTTGATTTAATTTGCAAAAATCATTTAGAATTGTAGCAACTGAATCCTTCAGTCGGGAGTCCACTTCCTCAGTGTACTTAAAAAATAATGAGCATATAAACATGATTGGTTTTTGAAAAGGACGAAATTTCATAGTACGTTTGAAAGTGGGTGCAGGGTGTGTGTCAAAAAAAGAATAACTTTTGTAATTAATCTATTTTGAAATATCAATTTCTGATGACTGTTCTATAATTCCACAAGTGTATTTCTGTGCATGTTTTGCTGTTAGAATTCCCATCAAATTCCATGAGCCGAAAACTGTTGTGCTTGTGACAAATGAAGTCTTATAGCTATGTACGTAGTTTATAATACTTTATGCACACGTAAGATTTGGAAGGTATGAAGCATTAAAATTATCACAAAATGTCCAATTATGAAAGGTATTCTGGTTTGATGTACCCTGTAAGCAGTGGCCTCTAGGATAAATAGTGAAATTTCATCAATACATTTGTGAATCTCTTACCTCCGATACATCGAGGAGCGTTATTTCGACTGCATTTTGCATTTGGTCGTTAGTTGCATTTGGCGCAGGCGGAGCAGGAAGGGAATACTACCATTGTTATCTGCGTATGAAAATTTTATTACCATTTTCATAAGATTTCCTTAAGACGTATTGGTTGTTTTGTACGCAAGTAATTTTTATACTCACATACGCAAATGTTGTTCACCCGAATCAAGTTTAGTCTGGCTGCACATCTGCATGTAAAATTTCCAGGAATATTAATACAATCTTCTCCATTGGTTATATTGCGTTTGTCTGTTAGGATCGCTGCATTCGTCAATGTCTGCAAAAACACCAATTGTAAAATTAGAATCTGCTTTGCAGTGCTTTACTCTTATTGAAATTATTATAGCTGCATTAAATTAGGCAAACGTCACTTCCTGTAAAATAGCGTGCTTTTAATGGCTTAGTACGGTGGCCGGTACGGGTCACGACAAAATAATTTAGAAAACGCAACAAACAATAAGAAAACATCACTCAAAATCATACTACACATTTCAAAATACTCACTACACATTTCAAAATACTCGCTACACATTTCAAAATACTCGCTACACATTTCAAAATACTCGCTACACATTTCAAAATACTCACTACACATTACAAAATACTCACTACACATTTCAAAATACTCACTACATTTCAAAATTCTCGCTACACATTTCAAAATTCTCGCTACATTTCAAAATACTCACTACACATTCGTCCCCAGTCTTACCTGGTCTGGCCTTGCAGTCGTCATTAGTTTACATCTACGAAATTGAAGTGATGGCAGAAGCTAATATAAATATACGTTTCCGATATTACTAACAGTTCAGTTCGCGTAAGGATATTTTTGATGCTATTATTGGCGATATGTTGTCTGTGTTAGATTCGGCACACAGACAAACCTATGTTATACAATAGCATCAAATATGCGATACGCATACATGAACTATTAGTAATATTTCTTCAAGGGATTTCTTGGTCTTGTTTTAGACAACACAACATGAGTGGTCAATCTACAGATTACATGTAATTGTATTTGTATTGGTGATATTCGACAATCATTAGTTTAACTAATGCACTTATTGACGTGACTGGTATTGAAGTTCTAAATTATTGCGTTTACTCGAAATTACCGAACTTTTCATTTTTCTTTGGCGTTTCTTGTGCAACAAATTATAGCACTATGTGTAAATTTCCTCTTTGGTTTCCTTGTTATTTTTGTAACGCATCACACAACTACGTTACGCGACATAGCGAATGCAAATTCATATACTCAAATTTTGCTATTAAAGTACGGACGTGTGTCGAAAGCCTGCAAATACATTTGCTGGCGATATGTAGATCGTCTACTAATGTTGTTGCCCGACCAAGTCGCAAACCCTGGAAGAATTTCTGATTAGAGTTGAGCCAATATTTTCATGCTATTATCCCAATGTCCCATTTTGTTTGCCTTGTGAAATGCGGAATTATAGATTTAATATGCTTACTTTGCGATGTCATGTCAGTTTCGTAGATGGAAACTAATGATGACCGTCGGCAGGCAGACCAGGGTAAGACTGGGACAAATATTGGCAGTATTTTGAAATGTGTTGCGAGAATTTTGAGTATTAGCGAAATTTGAAATATTAATGGTATTTTGAAAATGTGTAATGTCTGAAAATATTAACAATAATGTTGTAATATTAATAGTAATTTAAATAGTGAATATTGAAATGTGTAGCGAGTATTTTGAAATGTGTAGTATAGTATTTTGAAATGTGTATTATGATTTTGAGTGACGTTTTCTTATTGTTTGTTATGTTTTCTAAATTATTTTCTGGTGACCCATACCGGCCACCGTAGCTTAGACACGTTTTAGGAAAAGTATTTTTTACAACAAATTTTCAATAAAAGCCTTTACTTATTGTTTTATTTAGTATAGCAAATATTCATCGATCAAAATAAATGATATTTAAGATAGTGATTGTGCAAAATTTAATAAATTGCAAGATGTTACCACGTCTTGACTATTTTAAAATGTTCCTCTGCGCAGCCGCGTATGTCATTGCTGCCAAACAGAAAGAAAATTAATTTAATGGAAACATTCATAAAACTATGTTAGAGCATTCTGTTTTTGATTCACCCTATTGTTGCGTAAATAAAACAAAAAGCAAACAAATAAACAATGCCATTGTCGATATTGGTATTAAAAAGTGTAAATGACGTGAATATTTTCCTGCGACCTAACTGCACAAACCTTCGCAACTAAACATGTCGCTTGCCAAGGTATAACCGGGAAGCATCCACACATGAAACTCCCATCTGTATTCGTACATTGTTGAGAACAGGTACCTTCATTTCACACTCATTGATGTCTGAAAAATACAGCGATATTATTGATTTAATATTTTATGGTATTTTCTTGAGATGCTCGGAAGGTATCTAAGGCAGCATTAATCTTTTTTGATAGTTTTTAGGCTTCTGAATATCTTTCAAAGAATCCCCGAAAAACTAAGATATTGCACGATTTTATCAGCTTTTGTTATATTTTCGTAGAAGCTTGAAATCAAAGTGGACTCTATAATATTCATGTTCCAGGATGATGCTTGTAGCTATCATTGTTCATTGAAGAACTCGTCTTAATCATACTAGGTTTTCTCTTTTCGAAAGCCGAGAATTAGGACATGCATCTTGCAGCCTTTCTTTTCATACTAACCATTGCATGACCTTCCGTCACTTCCAAGAGCATATCCTTTAGCGCAAGCACACGTGTCATTTCCATTGTCAAAAAAACAAATTTGAGACAATTTCGGTTTTGTAGAACAATTTGTGCGTACTAAAAGACACAAAATTGCAAAACGATGCTTTTGACAGATTTTTGATAAATAACAACTGGATTCTAAAAATACAATCTTGCGGTACATATTCAATAATCTTTGTGTGGGTCATTCCGTCATTCTGTTGGCTTCAGACTCATTCAAATGTGTGGACTTAAAATTTTCGTTTTGTGTCTTTCCTCTTGGGAAGTAAAACATTTTCTTTGCATACGATATTGTAAGTTTTAACTTGATGTTGCATGTAAAATAACTGTGCCTAAGAATACAGTAACTGTAGCATAACATGCGCTGGAAACATAAAATTTTAATGTAGCACGCCTTGGTTATACGTACGTACATTAAAATATTACATGGACACTTTACCTCTACACTGTTCACCATCAGCTTCAAGTACAAATTCCTGTCTACAACTTCACAACTGAATGAGCCTACGGTGTTTTCACACTTGACTGCAATTGTTTGGTCGCAAGCATTCATCTATGTCTAAAACAACCAAACCTTACGATTAAGACTGCTTTTAAGCTTTTAAGATGTAATTTATTGAATACGGCCATACGACACGTCAAATCATAAATGCTGTTCACGAAGTAGCTTTTCATATAATTACAATCTGACGTTGCCTTTGGAAAAATAATTTCGTTAAATAAAATTACAATAATTTCAAATCGAGAGGGTCATAATATTATATTGGTAATTCGTGGTAGGAATCTTAGATAATTTTTTGCTCGATTCTTTTCTAAGAATAACCATGGCTTTTGAATAGTAGGTATATTGTTTTCTGTAGGGTGGGGGTTATAATTAAACGATACATGCATGAGAATTCGATATACCTGCATACATATGTGAGACACATATACATTACCTACTATACAAGTTCTTCCGTTTGCACTAATTGTGTATCCTGGAGAACATCCACACGAAAGGACGCCAAATTATTTATACACATTTGCTCGCAGCCCGATGTATTTCTTGCGCACTCATCTATATCTATATCGACGAAAAGAAAAATATTAGTTGGGTCATAGCAATGTTAGGTCATAGCAAAAAATCCTATTTTTAATTCAACCAGAGACTTGTCAGCCGCTTGCTCTGGCTACTAATTTTTTGTTTACATGTATGCATTGTATTTTAATTGAAAAAAATTTGAGATAGCTTCATCATGTTCACAACCTTTTCATGGAGAGGACATCATTTATTTTTCAATAACATCCACGCGTGAAACGGTGCGGGGATAATATTTTTTTGTTTAGAGAAATCTTTTCGACTATCCGCAGGCTGTTTTGCGAAGGTTGTTTTGTTTAATGAAAATTTGGACTGAACAAGCACACGATATGCCAGCTATGCAATACTGTGGTTAAATGAAATACGTGTGTGAGCAAGTTTCCCACCTAAACAAAATACTCCATTCCCGGAATATCCCGTTGGACACGGTCCACATTCGGCTTGAGTTGGCATGTTAGTGCACGTTACCAATGGACTGCAGGGTGGGGAGGCTCCTTCGTTGCAAAAATCTACCATTTCATTGCAAAACCGACCGGTGTAGCCTAAGTTGCAATTGCACGACATGACTACGAAGGTAGCATTTCCCGCCCCTTCAGGAACGACGCACGTGCTTTTATTTTGGCATGCGCATATTTGAACTCTAGGAGTTAATACCGCTGTTCTATTTCTGCTGTCGCTCACTACAAACTTTAGATCAACCTGTATAAAAAAATACAAAGGAATGAATGGAGAACGTCAAAAAAACTCACTCGAAAAACTTACAAATTTAATTTAAAAAACATTTTTAAAGCTTTGTACGTCGACATGATTTCGAAAGACGCTCGTTAAATAACGAAACGAGCTGTGGTATGGGTAATTTATTACCAACTCAGAGTTGATAATCGATATATGTGTAGAAAGAAATTTTCGCTTCTTTTACTTCGCTGTATATGCATGTTACATTTTTCTGTGCATCGTCATGCTTTATCGTTCACTCCCATGTAAATAAAAACCCGGTTGAAATTATAAACTATACACGGGCATACCACTGCTGTAGAGTTGGCCGTCCATGTGAAAGTTAAAGTATTTCCAGTGACGTTGAAGCTAGATACCGATGGAAGATTAGGAACGTCGAAAGTTAATATGTCATTTGAATCCATATCTTGGGCTACTAGCGTCTCTATTAATGTCTCATTTAGATTTGCAGTAATCAAGGAAATGTTTCTTGTAAACATAGGAGGTCGATTTTCTTAAAAAATAAAGATAGTGATTGAAATTGCACCTGAAAAAAGACCAAATAGCGTTCACTGGTTGCCTCACGTGACACTAGTAAAGATTTGTTCGCAATTGTTTTGAATAACTAATAAGAATTTCAACAAATAGCGCAATCGACTTAATTTGAAACTGTTTACGTCTATTTACAACGTTTTGGGTTCACGAATAATGATTTACAATTTTCTGTATAATTTATGGGGTTAGAAATTAATTCAACGTACCAACTTGTGCAATTACATTGTCCGTTAATTGCTGTTCGTCTCGTGTCGATTGACCAATAGCTATGTTTTGTGTAGCGAGGGCGTCAAACAGACAAACTGTATTACTTCCACATGCTTCACGAGCTTCCATTGTAAAATTGTCACTGTTGTTCAAAAGTTTGTCGAAAAATACGGGAGTGAAATCTTGACAACTGAAAGTATCAATGCCTTCATCTACGTTCATATAAATTCTTTGTAGGCTCATTTCATTTACTTTCCCTATAATGTATTAAAATGCAGTGTTACTTCCTTGACATGGTTAATGACCTAAACTGTCATCTGCTTCATGCTATTGTCAAAAATTAATGATTGAACTCAGATTTTAGTAAAACACAAGACGATATAGACACTCCGTTTAAAGTAACATTATTTAATTTAAAAGTTTCGACAAGTGTCACAAGTCATCATCATTAGAAAATGTGAATAAAATAATGTTTCCTTTAAATAATGTTTATTTTAAATAATGTTTACTTTATACAGAGTGTCTATTGTGTCGTTTTTTTACTAAAATACTATTTGAATTCAGATTGTTGTGCTAATTTGCAACATTTCAGTTGGTTTTGCTCTTTCATTAGTAGCTGTGACTTTCGATACTTACAACTTTCACCAAAATCACTAAATATTGTTTCCTCTCTGGCGTCTATTGGTGTTATTGTTGTTCTATCTCTGTGTGTAAAGTCGTCAGTCATATTACCATTCCATCTTCCCGATAAACCAAACGAATTGTTTCTATAACCTTCTAGAAATAGCATGACGAAGGTGAAGAAGGAACCGTTCACTACATTGATTCGTGCTCCATTTTCAAGCGGTGTCGAAATTTGAAGCAAATTATCAAAAAATGTTATTGCTGTGCCATTTCTGATTGTCCCATTCTCTCCGGGAAGAGGAATTAGCATGCCACCAACGCGAACATCAAGTCCTTCTAAATGAATTAACACCGTATTATGTGAGCTTCTTGCCATTATTTTATTTTTATTCTTCCCTACGAAGAAGAGCATTTTTTTGTTACTATTTTAGTTTACTTGCTACTATATAGGAGTTGCTAATCTGTCTCGTAATAAAGTGATTCAATTTATATCACAATAAGAGAAACTTGATTTTTTTGCAGCATTTGATTGCAAATATTCAAAGTGCACTAAATAAAATACTATTTCTTCCCAGCTGATAAAAGAGTTTCCTCTATATTTGAGTTTCTCTGTGCATTATAAATTTTTACCTAAAAAATGTTTGTTGTGCAAACAACTCGATTTGGCTTCTTGAGGCAACGCTCCTTTTTTCATACACTTTTGCATGCTAAGGAGTTGGATTTTATTGTGAATGAGATGTGCAATGACGTCCACGTCTCACATGTTGAAGAAAGTGACAAGTATTGTTTTATTAACTGAACACACATCTTTATATTTCATTCAAAATGAAGTAAAGCTATATTTTTGTCTGCATAACAATAATTTTTTGACTGTAATTCTTAGTTCCGCGCACCTATTGTTGTTTTAAAATTGTTGGAAATTTATCTTAAACTAGCAAAATATTTCTAAGACACTTACTTGTTGTGGTGTTCAAATTTACTTGAATGACTTGTGAATTTCCTTCTTTCATTGCAAATGCGGTGAAACCAGTTGCATTGGCGTCGCCGACTCTTGTTGTTCGAACTTGTACTTCAAGAGAGCTTGCATCGTTGCCTGTTTTAAAAGCATTTCCAAACTATAATGCATCATGTGAACTTTGTCCAAAATGCACTTTTTGCATTAATATATTTGCTCTGCGTGGTATAAATGCAACTGAGTAAACTGGAGATATATCTTTTAGTAAGCGCTGCATAGCCACTACTTAAGTATCATCTGGATGAATGAAAGTTTGATGTGTTGATAATATATGTCAATAAAAACTGAAAAATGTTTTTCACGAAAACATTCGATTTGGCATCGCAAATTTGTTGTTCGTTCTCAAAACTAAAAATTATGTACAGTTTTGCGACACTTGACGAACTATAGAGCATTAATGGAAATTTTGTCGTATCACCTTAGTGTTTCTATTGTAGCTACATTTTATATGAGTGCAAAGAAAACATTAGTGTAAGGTAATTTGCAGTTCTTTAAAGTCACAGCTCAAACACAGTGTTAGTCAGGCACTCAAATAGAAAAGTTTCGTTTTCTGAAGATGCACAGTCATTTTTCATGTTTATGTTTTTGAGGTTCCGTGTTCATGTTGATGTATTTTAACATAAATGGGAATAGTTAAATTTTCGCAAACCAAATCAAATAATAAATAAAAAAATTGCGGCATTATCTCTCACCTGGAATTTGTCCTGTGAAGTACGTGTACCATCCACAACCATTAAATGTGTAGTTCTTACGATCCAATGTAACAAAATGGGGATCGCCGAAGTTATTGGCTAAAAAATCAAACGTATAAGAAACACGGAATCAAAAATCACTGTACTATATTGTGATTATTATCAATGCTATATCGCTATAGTTTCTATATCGCAGAGATTGGAATGAATTGTTTAGAACTTCTCTAACATTGGTGTGGCTCTATTTAAAGTAATTGAAAAGCTTCAATACGATGAAAAACGTCAAGAATACTGTGCAAGATGCGTATGATGATCCTGAAAGCCATAACAACAACATATTTTTCATTTTGCTACAGAAAAAGAGAGGAGGAAAATCTATGTCTCTTGACGTTTTGTCTCATGCTTAAAACTTTCTAAAATCTTGCATTCAATGTTTCTGCAGTTAAATTGTCCAAAGCTCGTTGTTGAATGGGATAAATTGGCTATCTAAAATTAGCCGTTTCGCTGTTTTTGTAATACTTGCGTCTCTACCTACCACTTCACAGTGCAGGTTTTGACTTTTATAGTTGATCAAATTTTTTGATGATACGTTGTTTTGTTATTGTTGGTAAAAATTTACATCAATAAGAGCTCAGTGACCTATAACCCAATCTACTAGAAACCTGAATCCACCGAAATTTTGTAGCTGCAGGTGCGGCAAGCTGCCATCTTGAAAGGTGGCAAAACTGATTATATATTTACGACTAATATCTGCTTTTCCTCAGTCGATATAGCTACAGTTGCAAAGTTGACTGTCTAGGCTGGCTTTGTAATAAAGATTGTTTGATAGGATTAGTTTTCTTTTAACTTTTTCTTATTTTTGATTTTAAGTTTTGCTTTTTGCCACCTATGAAGATGACGTTCTTGCCTCACTTTGACGCGGTAGTTAGACATCTATAGGATTGGGTTCAAAATCATTGACATATCTGCATATGTATTTTTATCGTGGTATGAATTAAGACTTTGGTTTGGAGATAACAAGTAGCAAGATATACTTGTTAATCATTTCACAGCACGGTCCGCTCTAATTAGTTGCAGCTAAATTGATTCGATTTCATTCAATTTTCTTCCATTCGATTTGATTGCAAACCACAATTCAGAATAGAGCTTACCCCATGTGCTGACAAACTCAAAGCTCTCCCCGACGCAAATTTGTCGAACTTTGTAAAACTGGTCACACGATTCTTGAGTGCTGCCGGTATCGGCACAACATTGAGAGTAGCGTTGCTCTTCCTGTATATATGCAGTGAGATTTTCTATTGGATGGACTTCATGCCATCGACCTGGGGCTGCGCCTAATGCAGAACTTTCACTGATGGTAAATGAACTAAACGAACTAATGGCAGTAAAATCAAAAAAACGCGGATAATTTTCAGCCGGTCCATTGTACTGGTAGCAACATTCATCTGCTCCATCCTCAGGGTTTCCAGTAGGTTTACTATATATGCAAAAGTTTGGTGTTGGTCCACTTCCTTTACGCCTTCGAAATAGGGTAAAAAAAGCTCCGTTGAGACTCAGGTAGAGTGTTTCAAGATCTGGTACGCAAGTGCTTCTGCACGATCGTCTTGTTGGTCTTACGAGCTGTTGATTCACCCAAATTTGGCACTCTTCTGCATTGGATCTTGGTAATGGTGATCTTAGGTCATACAAAATTGTCATTTCATCTCCCACTCTGTCAGCATTAATGGTGCCAGACCTGAGAAAGATACATCATTATTTCAAAAATTAGTTATTTCGACACCATCCATTAAGCTCACACAGTACAGGGAAATTTTATATGGAAAGATTCAATTATCTTTTTCGCCAGGTTGAATTGTACATCAATTCAGTCTATGCACTATTTAAGAAATACAAATCGAAACAATTAACTTACGTTCGAAAATTTTGAAACGACCGTATGATATCTCTTCGTCCAGAATCAAAGCCTATGACTGGCAGATCAGGAGCGCCTCTGAAATTCGTGTATTCATCTCTAAAAACAAATCTTTCAATGAGCTTGTACAGTTAATACACATGTATTCAAGTGATTTCGTGTCATATCCACGCCATTGAACACAATAAAACATATCCACGCCATTGAACACAGGATTTGATTTTTGTCAAATTAAAAAACCTTGATTCAGAAATTCTCGAAAAAAGCAGCGACACGTTTATATTTTTTCCACTTTTTTTCGTGTACTAATGTTGTCGTAAGGACACCGATTTGTGGGTTTTAATTTTTAGTCCGTTATCAACGAATAACTGAGCTGAAACTTGTACCACCCGTATTGTAATTTTAGTGCCGTAAGTGCCGCTGACACAAACAATGAGTTTAAAGTATCAGATAGAGCACACTTAGCCGTGTGATTTGATGAAACGCGCCAAAGGCTCCTCACCAGCGTGACGCCACTTTTGACTCTCGTACTAATTTCCTATCACATCATTTTTATGACAGATGCTAGCCAACAAAAACCTAAAGTTGAAGTATTCGAAAGTTGTTTTTTTTGTTTGTTTGGTGAAGTCAAAAGTTAACTATCTGACGCCCGAATTTGGTGTTAAGGACACTTTAACACAAACCAATTTGAATTTGAAATCGAGGGACTGGACATATCTTTTGTTGGAATATCTTTTCCAAAGGCTGCATGTAGACAATAGGTGTTTTTCGTATCTTTTTTCTGTTCATACTGGTTTATATCAACGTATTCAAAGTTTCTATCAATCTTACACAAAAGCAAAATTATTCATATCTGTGAGTCCTCCTTTTTGGCACTAGTTGTTAAAGAGGGCGTTTTAGCGGCCTCTATTTACTAAACGTCTTTTCATTGTTACGATTTTAATTGTATGTGTATACTTTAATCCAGTTTATAAAACAATTTGTAGATTGACTTGTGTACCTGTTCACACCAATTGACCATGTAATAGATTCGTAAATAAATAAAGTAAAAGCCCCGTTAAAGAGATCGTCTGCCAGCAGAAGTTGAAATGTATTTCGCTGTAAATTCAAAAACAATGACAAATTCAAATGGATGACTTTTGTGAAACAGATTTACACCAAAACAATGCAAAATGTACATTGAATAAAGTTGCAGTATAACCGTGAAAGGTAATATGTAAATAAGAAATTAAAGTTCATTTTTGAGGTGTGAGAGCTAAGTTTCCTTGATATGTTTTTGAAGTTCAGAGAGCAATGACGAATCAAGCTTCAGGAAAAATAGATACTGCAAACTCAGTTGTATATTGAAAACACTTTGAAAATGATACTTCTGTTATTTTAAAGTAGTATTAATTCTAATATTTTAGTATATCATATTGAAATGTATTCAAGATTGAGTTTTTCACATATAATTTCTTTCTCTGAACCTTGGATCCACTAATGGATATATGTTTGCATTACTTTTGTAAGGGAAAATTGTTTTGCGAGTACTACCCACGATATTTAGCGTACTTTACACTTTTTCGGAAATTCGAAATTTGCAAGATAGGTTAAATTCTTTGAGCACTTACCATTTGTGATCTACTCGTGTTTGAAAATTAACGCTGGGGTAAATGACTTAAATTTTTAAATCTACCTGATTGTATACATTTAAGCGTAAATGAATTAATCGCATAAATTCATTTGTTTTACCTTACCTCAGGAAAGTTATTGTCCACAGGTTGCCTTGGTGCAAGACACACCCAAGTCACAACCAGCACCCAATTAGCACTGTAGCTTTGAATTTCCGTATTCGTCTCTACCTCATTACTTATCGTATTAAACACAGCCGTATTTTCATTAATATTTCGATATAGTCTGTAAGTGACGTTCGAATTGCTATTGTTGAGAAAACGCAAGTCAACTTGTGACCAATAAGGTGCAATAATTGGGAGACTACTGAAAAATCCTAAGTATATAGGATTGGCAGCGTATTCGGGGCCATCAAATCTCACCATTCCATTGGCGCAAATCTAGTAGTAAGTGAATGAAAATAAATGAATTTTGTCATCGTGCGAACACGATCGAAATATCTGCATCTAAATATATTCAATACGAGTCAGAGACATTTAAAAACTCTTATAACACTTTGATACCAATGCGCAACGATTTCATTTTCTGTTTAAAAGCAGTTACTCGCGATAAAAATCGCTTTAAATTATCTGGTTTCTGGAAATGATGCTTCAAAACAGTTTGCTCTTTGGCATGGACCCAGTTCTATTCCTTCATATTGAAATTCTATTTTATTTGTTCAGCTGTATCCAAGGCTAAAAAAGCATCAAAAATGACTC